ACTACAACAGCCACAGACACTACAACAACCACTGCAAATACTGTAACAGCGACATATACTACTACTGCTATTACTACAATTCAAACGGGTTCAAGAAGTGCAAGAATGCATACTACTATGAAAGGGATAAACACAGCAATAGTCAAGACAGCAAAGTTCAATACAACCGTCACAACAACAAGGGGCAAGCCAACCAAGATTACGGCTACCATATCAAAAATGGTCACCACTATTCCAACTAGTATCCCCGTCATAACATTTACTGCAACATGCTCTATAGCCCCGACGACCATAACGTCCTACGGCCAAAGCTTCTTTATCGAAACTCCCTGCACTACAGTCTTAAGAGCCACAGTAAGCGCCGCTTTTAAGAAGCCAGCGCCTTGCAAGGACTGTGGTACTCTCAATGCTGACGACGATGTGCATTCGAAGTTTTCCAGCAAGCTGTGTCCGACCTATTCTCGCGAGGCTATCCAAGTATCGCAGGTGGACGGACCAGCGTCAGAAAGCACGGCCTACTTGCAGCGGAACAAGCCTCTTGTGTCCACGCCAGCAGTATCCAAAAGCTCGGCAATTGTGACTGCTGGTGTCAGTATGAATTGGCCGAATCTCACTGTCGTTGCAGCTGCCTTATTATTTCTTATTGCGATTAACTTGCTCTGAGAGATGTAAAACTTGGAGGAGGTTATGGCCCAATATCTGATGATTGTAATAAATGTAGGCTTACCCATAGGCCTATTGTTGCAACTATATGAGCTGGGTAGTGATATAGGAATATAAACTAAACCTAGTTATTATAACAAACTGGGTTCCTGAAGCAATTTTTAGATTAGTTATTCCTAATGTATAAACTAGTAGTATAATTTATATTAGCAGATTGGTTAGGTTAGATGAGCTTGAGTTATTAACAAACGGTCTGGTTCTACCTTTTATACTTATTTATAGCTTACGGGACTAGGTATAAGAAACCTACTACAACTCTATACAAGCACATACGACCATATCCATTGGAAAATACGGGGTCCCGTCTGCTCCCCCAGAGTCAAGCCAATGAGAGGCAGATTAGTAGTTGAGTGGGTGACCATCAGCGAACACCGGCTGTTGTATGTTTTTTTTTTGCTTTTTTCTTTCTTATTCCTAACTCATCCACAAGATGCGGCTTCGCTCCAGCCTCCAGGCCATCGTGGAGACGGACATCATGAATGGCCGGCAGGAGTTCTGTCAGTAGCAGTGTAACATCACAGTCACCACGATTGGCTTCATTTTTGCAAACCCATCAACACCAACTGCGCGTAAAGCGTTCGACAAGGGGACATCTGTGTTTCGGATGCTTGGCAAAAGCTACGCAATGGCAGCTTGTGTGGCGACAGTAGCCAAAGATTTAACAGCTCAGGCAGATATGCTCAATAGTCGATTACAGGATTTGATGGCACCTGGCTGTATCACCATTCGAGTGGAGGTTAGCAGCAGCTTTGTATCTATCAAGGGCACGCCGACGTATGGGATGCTGCTGGGTCAGACCCATTCTAGCACGAAGCTTTGGGATTTTTGGTCCAGTTTACACGATTGTGTTTACGAATCTATGAAGAGGTATGTATTAATAGTGCTGTTTATGTAAAGAATATATTTAAATAAAGGAGAACGTGATACTTGATTCGCCCCCGTCTGCTACTTCATCGTCTCCATCAAGCAGTGTTCCATTCTCCACCAACTGATCAATATTAATGAGGAGGTCGTTCAATTGCTTAGTAGTGAGTATATAGTAAGCATTTCGTTTGATATCTACAGCGAGTACATCCCCACGCCATTTGCCAACCTCAATTTCTTTCTCGTCGGTGAGGGGAGTCCATGCAGTGTCATGCAACGGCAATGTACGGAGTGCCATTCGGAGCAGCGATTTCCCAAACCGATTTTTCGAAATTATGCGATTTCGACTCAAAAGCCTCAAAACACTGTTGAAAATATTTCCAACAAATTATTGGCCATTTGGTATGCAAACCGCACAAGGGGCGAGACCACGATTCAAGTCTGCGGACAGCGATAGATACGTAAACCCAGAGAGCCATGTGAATATGACGATTTCGATCGATGAAATCTTTTTCTGTCGCCGTTGAGACTGGGTGAAAAAAATGGTCTGATTTCTTGTTTCAGTAGTTAGCTTATGTTATGGATAATAAAACAAGAATTCATTTAATCTCACCCTATTAAGCGTTGTAAAGCGAATGCTCGGAAAAGGCGGGGCGAAAATCAAGAAATCCATTACAATTGTGATGAGATCTTCTAGTCCCTCCCGTTTAAACTTATATAGATTGAGGCACACGCGTTGAAGGTTGAAGAAGAATTGTACCTCCTTCTCCCTTACGAATAGCCACCAAAGACTGATGTGGGTAACCAAGTATATATAACCATATCCATTAGAAAATATAGAGTTTTGTTTACTCCCTTAAAGTTAAATTTGGGAACCATCCTCTGTTCTAACCATTGCTTTGCTCGAGAGAGTCTCCATTTGAAGCATGTATGATGTATGGGAATCTTATATGACAGATTTAACACTACAATAGCTACTACATCACTTACAAGGCTGGGAGTCCCGGATCAACTGGATATATATCACTTAGTAAAGTACAAAGATATAATATGCTGCAATCACACAAGGAATAATGACTTACCGATAGGGCCGTCGTCGCCTCCACTGCCTCCGCCAGGACACTCGTTGAAAAAAGTCTCGGCCTGCCAATCGCCTGGTTAGGTTCTCTCTAGTAAAACGGGAATAAACAGGGATCCTGTGTATTGGTCGGCTTACATTGTTCTTATCAGGCCAAACATGGTGAAGGTCTGCCCGCCCAAGACCCCCGAAATTCACAAAGTGCTACAAAGCAAATTGTTAACTCTGAACGGTAGTGATTATATGCATATGAATCCATCACATACCATATTCTCCCCACGGTCTATCGGTGAGTACACAACACCACGGTTAGTCCAATGGAACGAGCTCCCACCATTCGCGTCAACGTCATTGGGCTGGTACCCGTCGTTCTTGAATAATGTTGCGGCACCTGTGTACTTGTCAACATGGATGAGGTCGGCCCGGCCCGAAGCCTCTACATCGGCGAAGCGTATATTGGCCCTGTCCCAACCTTCACTGAACTTGACCTGGCCAACATTTTGGAGCCCTGTTGCTGTATTCAGCCAAGCCGTTATCCGTCCATCAGGCTCCAAGCACAGGATATCCGCACGACCATCGCCACTATCATGCCATTAGCTATAGACTTAGGAGGATCGGTGTTGACTGTGTGTTCATACTCAATATCGGCAATCCGCATGCCGCGGTCGAAAATGCCAACGCCCCATCCCTGGGTGCAGCCAGCGCTCCCCGACTTCACTCCCTGGTTACTAAACTTGAGCAACTTGGCGGCTGCATCGTACTTTATTGCCATGAGTTAGCACTTATTCCGGTTCTTTACGTTACGTTTAGACTTCGTCCCATGAGCCGATACTGGCACTTGCTCAGGAAACTAGAGACAAGCTGAAAATGGGAAAAGGGAATGTCTCGCGGATGTTACATACATCGTTATGCCACAAGGTTAGAGCTCCCGTGGCCTTGTTCTGCACAATTACGTCGCAGCGTCCATCGCCGTCAAAATCTGCTAGGTGGATGCCCACACGCGGCCCTGGGACTGACAGCGTGATGGAGATGCTATGGCCCCAATCTGGCGGAGAGTGAACGTTCGCAAAGAAATCGGTCGAATCGGCGTGGCCATCCATGTAGATCCAGACATAATCATCGCTCCCGCTGCCTGTCATGTCGCAATAGAAAACCCCATCGCCTAGAAAAGAGAACCAGGGTTGTTACTTATTCCGCTCGATACAAAAGGGGGTAGCACTCCAAACCTTTCAATTTTGTCCCTCCAGCTCCTTGATTCTTCCATACCAGCATGTCATAGTAAGTATCTTCTTCCTTGAAGTAGATGTAATCGCGTCGACCTGAGCCGTAGATCCGGCCGAACTTGATCTGCTCACGTACGCCAGGCGTGTTCATACCAGCATGCGTGATACCGGACGCGGACCAGTTCGGCACCTAACGCTCCTCACCAGTCAACAACTCAAAGAATTTCAGATGCCAGGACAATGAGATTGATGCCTACAATGCCAGCGCCTGAACCACGCTGGTTGATCCATGTATCGACGTCTCCCTGATCACCAACCCACATCCAATCGTCTCGGAAGCTATTTAGCCGCGAGTCAGTAACACTATCCCACAAGGAAATAGTGCTTTACGATTAGGGAACGCAACTTACTCTCCGTTTAGATCGGCTATCAGGGAATTGTTAGTGCTTGATTCAAGATAAAAGAAGAGACATCAAAAGGGAGTGGAGTCTCGTACCGAGGCGAACGCCGGTCTTATCGCCCTTGTTCTTGCCAGTGAAGACAGTCTCTCGCAGGCCAGTGTCGGTGGAGAAGCCTTGCCAATAATAGTTTCTTCCCTGGCCTCCGTTCCTGGAACAGCCAATGTCACCGTTATCGTGGATGAAACAGACATCAGCCCTCCCGTCGCCGTCTATATCAGCAATCCGGACGTCTGCTGATGTAAAGTTTCCACTCGCCGGGACAACCACGCCGATGTTCTCGAACTAATAACCAAGATGTGTCCTATTAGCAGCTGCTCGCATCTTCTTGATGAAGCATCACTCCGGAGTTAGTAATTAGCTTTCTCACCGTGGGAGGTCTTGTTCCCTTATTGAGGGAGACTGTGATCTTCGTGTCCGATCCAATGCACCAGAAATCAGCTATGGTAAAGAGTCCAGTGGTTAGCACGGCTCGGATTCATCGGAGAACCCTGCGAAACAGATATCTCACCAAGTCCATCATTATCCTGGAGGGTTAGATGAAAGCAGTTAGTACGATGGTAGAACAAGTAGCGGCCTCAAAGCACACTGTTTGGGGAAGGTTCACGAACAAAATCGGCCCACGCATAATCTAACAGACAACCAGACTATATTAGCAAGAATGCAACAACCACCCTATGGATCGACATGGGAAACAACTTACTTGGTCCTCCGTCACAATTCTGCTGAACGTCCAGCATCACTGACGACGCAAAACTGCCGTTGCCGAGATTTTCGCGGAACCAGTACTCGTTCTTACCATCCGTGGCAGACCTGTGGTAAATGCGAATCTGTTGCAGTTAGCCAGCATGATCAACCCATGGAACAAGGGGCCTGAAACTCGAGGCGTAGAAAGAAAAGGCAGCCTACCCAGTCATCTAAGGCCGCGCTTCTGTCGACACCGTTGGTATTGGTCAATTGGGCAAAGAACATGTGCGAAGGGATAGCATCAGACTCGGTCTTGTCTGTAGGCTTTTGGATCCTGCCGTCGACTAGGACGCCCATGCTAGTGGACTTGTGGACGTAGATGCCGTCATCGTGGCCAGAACCATTCTGCGTAATGATGGGCCCGCGCGAGACACCGGCCTGTTTGGCACAAGTCTCGGTGGGTTGGGAGTCGTCTTGACCGTTATCTAACGGCTCTGATAGGGCAGAAGAAAGTTCATTGATGGCCTGCCACCAGACAGAGGCCATGAACTCGTACCCATAGTCGTTTGGGTGGATAGGATCGTCCGAGAACATGGTCGCTTGATCCATAGCGGCGTTGAAGTCGGCGAGACCTAGCCTGCCGTTCTGGATCTTTGGTACAATCTGGCGGAACTGGGCGCTCAAATCTTTAGCACAGTCTGTAATACCAGGACTTGGAACTAGGGTTGACATGATAACAACGACACCAGGTACAGCGTCAAAGACGCTTTGAACCAGAGACTGCATTCGAGCCCCGGCATCCGGCAAGTCAATATTGAAACTGCAGTCGTTGGTACCGACGTTAAGCAGTACCAGGTTGGGCTTTATCCATTTTGCGGCGTCCCAGGCCTGTTGTACACCACTATGTCCTGGGCTTTCCGTAATGATCCAGCCGGGATGCCCTTCGTGATCCTTTGCGCACAAGTCAGCGCACTCGTGCTATATCGAGTAGTAGAAGTAGCGGCAAATGAGGAAGAGGATAGCCTCTTTATCCTAGGTCAATGGTTACCCTGTCTTTCATTGTCCCCGTCTGTCCTGATCCCACCACTGTAGCCAGCATAAGTCAGTAATTTGGCATTTACTTCAGTTGGGGCCACGAATCCCTCACTGTTCACTTGCCAACCTTCCCAGCGCAGTTGCTCTCGTATCCACTTCCTATAGCCGTTGTCGTCTGACGAATGTATGCCCTGCGTGATAGAGGCACCCAGAGGCATGACCCGGAGCCAGAAATCCTGGGCGGCTCTGCGACTGAGTCCGATCCCGTCGCTGCCAGTCGCACCGCTGTTGTTGGTCGGTGAAGACCTTATGCCTTCAAACAGCGGAAAGGAGGCATTCCAGGTCTTGGCGAGGCCAACATCTGGTCCGAAACCTGTCGCGGTATCCTTCCATGGCGATATGGCATCTTGTGCGCCGACGTGAGCGGGTAGAGCAGAGACGGATTGAAGAGCCAAGAGCACCGTGCAAACACCCAATTTAGGCGCCATAGATGGGACTTGTTGCAAAGGACCTTGAATACAAGGTCCGGCGTGTATTGTTGAAGATTCTTTTACGCCATCACGACCAGACGCTGATCCTTTGTATTGTCAACTCGGCAGATCACTGCGTATTTAATCGGGCCATGCGTATTCCTTCGTAAATAGCACTTGACTTAAACTGGAAACTGTCTACAACTTAGTGCGTATTCTGCAGGCGTGCAAGGGATGCGGCCGCGCAGACACGGGTGCTTGCAGAGGATTTAAGTGTTGTTTTCGATGTATGCTGATCTAACAAGTGCGTTCCCCAACGATCCTATAAGAAACTAATAGCCCTTTTTGGTAGTTGCGCCTATGTAACCCAAGCTTTTAGGCACCTACTTAAGTGAGGCGGGGGTATATAGAAGGATCATGCTTTTTGGTCATAAAACTTACATATCCTTAAACATGGGTACCCAACTGGAGCATCTGGGTGCGGTCTTGGGATGTGATTGATATGACATCACGAAGCATTAATATCCACGGCTCATCTCTCCCTAAGCCTTCTGCGTATCAGTTGTTGTCGAATTTGAGGACCCCAAGCACTATTTCCGCTTCAACTTCAGACACCAACACAATATTCAAATCTCCAAATTTGCTGATTGTGAATGGATTGATATATGGTCAAATATAACAACTGGGCTCTCGATACTCAGGCTCTTCATCCAAGGCTCCAGTGGCGAAAGCAATCGAATGGCTACAGTCCTGTGAGAAGCCGGCATCAGAGTGTTCAGGTAATGTCAACACGTCTAGCAAACAGGCTGTGCTCTGGCGAACTCTACTTGCGGACCAAGCCGGCAGCCAACAGCCTGCCCCAGCCGAATATCGCGACACTATCATACATTCCGCTAATCCTTTGAACACCTTCTTCAGATAGAGCTGGATGGAAAACATGATCCAGATCTCATCCTTGATGCGCGAAGTAAGTTTTGGCTGTTTGGTAAAGAATTAGGCTCTTGTTGCCGAGGACGGAAGCTAGACATCGTGCAGGGAGGTATGCTATGTCTTGTTCCAAGTACAACATTAGTAGGGGATCTCATCACGGTACTTGACGGCTGTCAAGTTCCAATCGTTCTTCGCCAATTCGGGGCGTCGTTTCGGGTAGTCGGAGACTGCTACGTTCATGGAATCATGTATGGAGAAGCCATAAACAGCGGTGGCATATTAGCATTGTCTTCAAGGAAAAGGCAATCCCGAGTGCATATGGCGCGCCAGAAATTCACCATTAAGTAGCAAATATACAGGTATGATCTACATATCTGCTATCTCATTTATGTAAGGTTACGACCTATTTATGCTTCATGGTTATAAATTGATTGAAGAAACAAACTAGCACATACGACCATAGGTAGAGGAGAATTCGGGGTCCCGTCTGCTCCCCCATAGACAAGCCTCTAACCGGCAGATTAGTAGTTGAGTGGGTGACCATCAGCGAACACCGGCTGTTGTATGTTTTTTTTGGGCCTTTTTGCTGTATTTATTAGATTTGAGGTTTTGAACAAGCTTACATGTACTCTTTCTGTCAAGCATATACGACTGCAAACTGAGGGAGCGACTACATACATGTAAAGATTCACTACATTTGCATTGATACTTGCCAGATAGAACCCGTCCTATCAGTCCGGATCAATCAATCCGACCAGCTTATTGTTTATATCTCAATGGTATAAGAATCCATCATGGAAGAGCTTCGTCATTGAAATTTTCATCATCGAATTGTGTAGAACTTGGAACTCTATAACGGCGGTGAAATTTGGGTTAGTATAATGCTACATAAAAGCGTTCTATTTTCCACAACTTCTTCAAGAACTGCATTCTTGCTGTGTATGTGTCACTTACCAGCAAGGTAGTTAAGAAACGTCGTAGAGCTGGTCAAATGTGCGACGATTGGGCTGAGTGGCCACCAATCAGTCCGTGTCTAAGGTAGAAAGGAAAATCCCCGTCTGCTCTCCCAGATTTAAGGCAATAAGAGTAATATTAGTAGTCAAGTGGTAAACACTGGCGAACACCTCCTGTCGTATGTTTTTTGTTCTTTTTTCCTTCTTTCTTATGTAAAATTAGGATGACTGATTCTGGTCATTGAGTGGCACTAATCTCCCTAGGTTAATATTGAGATCAGAGTGTCCATGTCCACCTATTGAACTTGACAGTGGCACGGTCTACATATAGGCGTATCAACTTACGGTACAGAGACTTACATTTCTGCTTTATATTGCAGTATTGTTCATAATGTGAAATAATACAGTGTTCAGCTTGTATACGACGTTTTCTACGTCATATCGCATTTCCCCCTAATGCTCTACTTCATCGCACAAGAACTGAACATGTTGATCCAACAAAGCGAGTCATGCCCAATTCAGGCTGCCAAGTCTGATAACCGTTTCCCAATGAGTTGAAATCAGGTAGTTATGTCTTGCAACTGTCTAAATCTAGGCTGCCACAAATTCCAGGTAACAATCAATATCTAAATCCGATTGCTATAAGTAAACTGAACTCCTATGTACACATATATCAAAATCAAGGAATATGTGAAATTCGAGTAACTGTGTCTAAATCTAGCTCCAAATCGGTGCACCATGTCCAATTCAGGGTGCCATATTTAAGTCAGGCAAGTGTATTCAACTGCTAGTATGCACATAAATTAGCACGCCTTCTTTATCAAAAATGTAATCTGCAAGCCTCCTATATAGAAATTTTGTTCAGCGAAGTCCATGACAGTATAGTGACAGAACACCTACGTCTAGGTAGGAACCGAGATTAGTAAGGTGTCGGGGGGCGAAAAACGCGTAATATAAAACTCGCGACCTCAATACACGACTTACGGCCGAGAGAGGTCTTTCTACTATGAAGTATCCGATATATCCATTTATCTAATATCTTCCTTACAGAGAGCTATGAGAAGTTCGTCGTCTGCGCTCCGGAGAGTGGCATTGCGCCAGCGCCATCCCTCAGGAACAGGCTTACCATCAGAATCTATCAATACAGTCGAGGTCATTGAAAACAAAGTAGAGAAAGTACTCCTCCTATGGGGCGACCTCCCAGCCTGGCGCCGCGACAATGCCTTCATTCACTCTGGCTACTGTCAAATTCGTCCTTCTTACCGGCACTCGCTTCACTCCCTCTTCAATCTGCATAACGAATCCGTCAACATCTGGTCGCATCTCATCGGTGCCATTGTCACTGTCGCTAGTTCGCTCTACTTGTACTACGTCATCCGCCCGCGTTACGATTCTGCTACGCTATCTGACGTGCTCGTCTTCGCATGCTTTATTGGTGGCGCAGTGTTGTGCCTTGGCATGAGCGCGACGTTCCATGCTGTGCTGAACCACAGTCAGAAGGTGGCGCAGTGGGGGAATAAGCTAGATTATATGGGAATTGTCGTGTTGATTGTCGGAAGCTTCGTGCCGGCACTGTATTATGCCTTCTTTTGCATGCCTGCGCTGCTCACGGCGTACTTATGCCTAGTGAGTTTGGCTTTGAGAGGGCGCCACGAAATAGCGACGGCCACTGACAAAGACCTAGATATGTCTGCTTGGCACCGGATGCGCCATTGCCTCGTGGTTAGAGCAGTTCCGCAGCCCGAAATGGCGGCCATACCGAGCCATAATGTTCGCCGGTCTTGGCTTATCCGGCTTTATTCCTATTATCCACGGTGTCACCATCTACGGCTATAAGGGGCTCGAGGACAGAATCAGCGTTACCTGGATCATCATACACGGCGCCATGTATCTCTTTGGCGTAGGTGTTTATGTGGTTAGCTATACCAATCGTCTCTTACAGTGGTGGTGACTGACTGACCGACTGGGAATGTAGGCTCGATGGCCAGAGAGGAATTTTCCAGGAGTATTCGATATCTGGGGCAGCTCCCATCAGATCTTCCACATGTTTGTCCTGCTCGCTGCAGCAACGCATTTTTATAGCATGGTGAAGGCATTTGACTACCATCACACGGTCTTGGGATCCCATTGCTTGACCGAATAAATCGAGGCGATTTCGGTCGCTACCGATCTCTCTATAGACGGAATAATATGTATCATTCTTATTCCGTTACTTGAGCTTTTCACACACCCGAGACATACGATGCGCGCAGGGCCGTTTCTCATCGCTACTGCTGCCCTGGGCCCGATAATTCAGATTCCACCCCCCAACGGTGATCCTCAGCAGTTCGTGTGTAACGCCAGGAGAGGATCTACAGACCCGGCAACGCCGTCATCAGTCCTTCACATCGCCTGTAACGGACTGACTCTATGGCTTGCGTCGTCTGCTACCCTTGTCAAGACCTACTCTTCTTGATGCTAATGCCTCTGCATGCCGCTACCTGAGACTCAAACACCCTCTAGGGACATTAATATTCTACACTAGAAACAATAGAAGCGAACAATGGCACTGGGTGAACAATGAAATGGGTCAGGTCTGCACACGATGCTTGACAGGAGGCAGCATCAACTCCGTTGTTACTTCACCGAAGTCTTCCAGCGATGTTGGAGAGTGCGACCATGAGAGGAAGATACCTGTACTAAATACTGTTTTTATTCACGCCCCAATAAACCCACATTGGTAGTCGCCAGAGATGGGGCAGTTCTAGACTGCGCTTTCGCACGGTGATAGCGATACGTTGTTTCTCTAAGCCCATCAGAATTTCCTGAGGATTATCGAGTCTGCATTTTCGCATTGTTGCGTTGTAGTAGCGGGTCGATGGTAGGAGGCATGACGCAATACGGCTTCAGAGGCGTCTTTGCTGGTGGATGAAGATAAAACTGTCGTTGATTGGCCATATCCAAGCGGAGTGCTCCGAAGAAGTTGTTGGGGGTTGGGGTTTAATGTTTCGGTAAGAAATGGCGTTCTTCTTCCGTCCCTCCTCTCACCCGCTTCCCCTCCACCGTGTCAAATATACGTCTGTGACACGTTTGCATGATACTGTTGAGTTTGTGATAAGATATTGTGATGAATATCATTTATACAGGATCCTTAGAATGATGGCCTTTATCGCTATCGCAGGAGTGTTAGTATTCAACACATGGGCACTCGAACTGTGGCAATGAGTGGCGCGATTCTTTCCAAGAAGATCATGCCACTTAGCATTTGTATCGAAATTCGAGCTCAGCATCTCCCCTGGCTTTGTATCTTGTTAGAAAATCTACTTCCGACCGTCGCGATTGTTAAGAGTTGGAGTGGTGGATGGAACCCCCCCAGATGGGTGACTATGTCTCTTGTCCCACCCCCACCAGTGTAAGACTGCAAGAATCGAAATCACCAAGTGTGAAATATTTGGGGTCGCTGCCGCTACTGGACTAACTACAAACGACTATTCGTCCGCAGTGAATCTTCTAACGATATCTACCAACCTCTTTCTCGTCCCCCTCCGGCTAAAGACCTCTCCGTGATCTAAATCTTGAAACCACAGCACATCCAGCCCGTCATCACCTTTCCAAATTCCATTCTCCCAGCCTTCGGTCTCCAGGGACCAGTCATCTGTGCCCGTCAGATACGCCATAACTGTGCTCGTGTCCACGATTATGTCTCTGCCGGCCAGCACAACAGCCACGCGATGGTGCTGGATGTCTTCCTTCCACAAGACATTATCAGACCATATGAAACGTCGGAATAGCGTGTGCGCGACGCCCATGTCCTTGGCGCCAAAGTAAGAGAGCAGGTGTTCGCTAGCGTTGGTCGGCTTCCGGCAGATCTGAAGTGTTAAGGTTAGCAGAGGCCGTTGGTAGTAGTAGTGCAAAAGGGAATGTTACAAAATTATATGCTACATCGGGGAGATGGAGCAGGAATGACACAGGATCAACGAACAAGATCGGCCCGATCTTGCTTGCGATCTTTGGCTTGTGGAGGAGATGCGTAGCAACCACGCTTCCGTAGCTTCATAGAAAGGAAGTTAATATACGGCAATGACCAAGACACGAATCCAGGGGAAACAAGACGGCGACTCACGAGTGTGACACTAGTGTAAATCTTTCCCACCCATGTGCCTTTAAAATGCAATGAACCTCCTCGCACATCTCATCCTTTAACATTGCCTCAGGTGTTATCCGAGAGCTAATTGGCATAATTTCTATAGCGATGATCCCAACCTGCCCATCCGACGGGTCCTTGCTGTCTTGGGCATTAAGGTCGGCCAAAAATGGTATATACATGTAGAGGCCAACACCGATACCGTGTATAAATAACACGGGGAGCCTGGCCTTGGAAGTATGCGGCCGGTACCAGTAAGTGAGAGCTCTGGCAGGGGAACGATAGGCGTTGAAGAGATTGAGGAGGCGCGTGGGGAAGACGGCGAGAAACTGTAACAATGACGTGCGGTGGAAGTCGAAGGAGTAGAAGCGCAAATAGATGGATGCTAACGTATCGACAATAAAAACACACTATAGAATCGAGTTAGTACACCTCTCCAACTTGTACTATAGGCAAGAAGTTCATTGCGTAGCCCACCATGAAGACTTACCAGATACCATATCAAACTTCTATGTAACATCTCGACCTTATCAAGCGTTAGTCTAAGGCACTGCGCATCACCGCGGCCAGGTTCCAGCTTCCTCCCCAACAACTTCTCCATCTCTCCAACATACTCCTCCAGCTCCTCGTCATATGCCGGATCAGGTTCGCCAGTGTTTAGGAACGCCCATCGGAAGAAGTCTTTAACGTTCTCCCGTTTAATCTCTGCTACCGGCGCATCCCGGAACCATTTCGTTAAATACCGGTCCGGATCCGGGATATTGCTGTGGCAGCGCAAGAACAACCTCCGGCGATCGTCACGGTCGGCTGTGGGATGTGTCACGACTGTCTGGAGGTAAATTTTGCGCGGGAGAAAGACGACAAGGTAGAATATTGCCTCGAGATTGAGCCACACCTCTAGCACATGGGGGACATGGAACGGGGGATGGATTAAGCAGCTGACGAGCGAATAGATAACGCTAAGGGGTGCAATGAGGTGCAGGAGGAATATGCATGTTCGGATGTAAACGTAGTCCCAGGCGGATATACCTATCATGGTGTAGGTAGGTATATTGCCGCCAATGGAGTAGCCTGAGATGGGTGTAGTTTGGTTACCCGGTGAGTGATGGACGCCCCCGGAAGAAAAACATGTGCGCTGCCCTAAGTTCAAAGAGACATCCAAAAGTTATCCGTGGGAGGATGTGTTTATATCAGCAATGTGTCCATTTCACAAGTTTGGCATGTGCATTTCCGTTGAGGAAAATATCTTTAGTTCAATTTGTTGGGTAATGTTTAACAATAGACTTGCGCGGCATACGACCGCTAATCTCTCCATTCTCCGACGCACCGGAAATGCCAAAAATTGACATGTGAAAGACTGCTAGTAGGAACGGCCAAGGGTGATAGGGGTTCGCCTTTGGCTCCGATTGGCGGATGGCTTTTGGGGGTATGTGATCACGGCACTGTATCAGCCGCCTTAGATAAAGGCTGGTAAGATACAATTCGCAAGGGACAAGCTGTTAAGGTTTAGAGAGCGGTCCTGGTTATGTTGGCGGATAGGTCAGGCTGGATATCCAGGCAGTGTCTTTTGCTACCTACTAAAAAAAGTATATCGAGCAAGTTCAATTCGATTGTTGTAATATGAACTGGCCATTTAGCTATTGTAAATGAGTGTAGAGAAGAATATATATAATATATGGAGTGTTTATTTGTGTTCCCTTAAGTGAACATCCTTCTAGAATAGGCAATCGTTGACTTGTGTTACACACTTCTGATTGGCTGGTCGCCTAAGGGCTTGTCTGTAGCGCCTACCCTGCCTGGGCCGTGACAATGCGTACCAGAAATGTACTTATTTGTGTTCCGTTGTATCAATATTGTCTTATATATAAACATATACACTTTAGTGAGCTGTGTTATTAATTATCAACAATAAAGAACGTTAAAGAACGAGAGTGTCCGCATTGGTTGAATCGTCCTACAATTTGAGCTTTCTTCTCCCTTCTGTCCTCGACTTGTTAATCAGCTGCACTACTGCTTCATACACCAGCATTGTCGTGGCAGAGGCTGGTATTGCTCCAATCAAGCTAGTTCCCATCCCCGAATACAAAGCACGCCAACCTTCATCTCGCAATATTAATCTGAGTGTGTTGACTATGCCTCGGTACATAACGGAAGACTTCCATGGCCTCCCTCCATTATTGTTTATTTCCTTGAATTGGCCACCTGCATCCATGGATGAGCCTCTGTATGATGGTGGCATTGCTAAGTGTTGTGTTTGCAATCTTGTTCGAATAACTTCGTGTGGATATGTGGCCGCAGTTGCACATGCTTTGCTCGCGGAGCTGGCTGCCAGAATCCCCAAGACCTGAGACCGGCCCTGGTCCTCACGCCAACTTCCAAGTCCTGTTCCTGTCAAATATCTCTTGAATTGTTCATACAGCGGAAATTGTATAGCCACGTTTGTTACACCAAGCAATGACGGAGTTAGCCCTGAATAAAACGAAATGATGCCTTCTCGGTAATACATCTTCCGAACGACATCTATGATGGACTTGTACTCTCTCGTGGTATTCTCGATAGAGATGTTTGATTGAGACTGTAATCTGGTTTTGATAAGCCACAATGGATATGTGAATAATGTAGAACAGGCACCTCCAGCAACTGCTGATACACATGAGGATACCAATATACGTTGTGGGCCGTTTGGTACAGGTTAGTACTACACGCAGCTATTAGGACGGAGTGTGTGTGGCAGAGGTGACTTACTGAAATTGTCTAGTAAAAAATCATTGATCTTATGATATATTGGGAAGTGTATTGTTCCCCTCAGGAAGCTTGCGAGCATGACGGGTCCCAGTCCTTGATACATACCAACCAATCCCGCTTCATGCCATATTGCGCGCCCAGTACCTATCATGCCTCTGTCTTGAAATGAACGTCGTTTGCTAACGGCGTCGAGCGTCCATAGTTGCAGACCATGTCTAGCTTGTAGTTTGGTTTTCATAACGTCCAGAGGACATATTACAATACTAGAGGCCACCCCGCTAGTAGCTCCGGCCAAACTTCGAATTGACGTATTCGATAAACTGAGTGTGAGGTCTTCTAGATGGGAAAGTCGGGAAGTTGACTCATGTGGACATAGTTGGTGGCAGTGACCCACGACATGGGGGTTTTCGGTATTCTGAGAATTGCAAAGAGATGGTTCCTGGTGCTTGACACGCATTATGGATAGAAAGAGTAACTAAAAATGTTTGAATCATCTCATTGAGTGCATTTACTTCGCCTTGTCCCAAGCTTTAAGCACTGTATATATTTATACTTATGCTCCCGACGCTGATGGAGCTGCCATTATATAGCCAAAGCTAGTGAAATATATGCGAAACACCGTGGAGTGTTTCGCCGCTTTTACGTCATACTTTTAATGTTAAGCGCAGGTTAGGTTTCCCTCGCCCTCTATTCCTACGTAGCTGTTAGCCATTCGATGACCATTGGATATTCCAGCCAATAAGAAAAGTGTAAAAACGTCATCCAATCCAACGCCATCAGGAACTTTACAGTACGTCAGCTTGTTGAATCTGGGATTGTGTGGCGCAGTGATCAAGCACACAGGTGACTTAGAGACAAAGGTCATAGGAACAATCCAGATTCGGCACCCTAACCTTGTCCTTGCACACATCTCGAGAAAATCCGTCATCCTGCATCTTTCCCAAAGTATTAATATGAAATGTCAACAAACGAGATATGGCCCCAATGGTATTATTTCACCCTACTTTGCACCAGGAACGAAGTTTTCACCTGCCTTCCGATCAAGCCCTCCAATCCAATCCACGCCTCAATCGATTATACAAATGAGCTCTCCATGCTCTTCATCAAGCGTTATACTCAAGGCTGTGTCTTCCGAACCAAATAGTCTGATGCCCGTACTCTTTGCGTCCATTCACTATGAGATAGTCAGGTAAGTTTAACTGTCCTGATGAAAAAGATTTGTAGGAAGAGTGGGAAGGGAGGGAAGGGGGGGTTAGAGGCTAGAAACTGACCTCCAGCTTCCATCGTAAACCTTACGTGATTCGGAAGAACCGTATTGCGTCTCATTCAACGCTGTTTCAATTACATATGCCGTGATGCTTGTTCCACTCGAGATAATTGGCTTTAGAGGATCCACACCTTTCGTTCTGAACAGTTCCATCAGTTGATCAGACGGCAAGAATGCCTTCGTTTCCGGATCCAGCATTAGGTCATATGGGATATTTATGGAGCCGGGCATGTGTCCTGACGGTGAGTCTGGTCCTGATCCTGGATACTTTCCGCTGAACTCGTCGCTAGATCGTGAATCCAGAACCTGTATGCCCTCTCTACCCTCCTTATTGTGGTCCATGATTGCTTCGCGAACTTCCTCATAGCTGGCAATTTTCCCTTCGTCTAGCTTGGGAACCGGGTACGCACAATGCTTGAATCCACGTATCTCCCCTTGTTCTGTCGGAAGGTCCTGTTCCACCCAAAGCCGGAAGTTATTGAGGATGTGCACCTTCGGGTGGCCAAAAGCCTTCAACATCCATCCTACCCTCGGTGCCGAGAAGATACCTAGCTCTTTTGTATCATACACTACCAGAATGTCCTCTTTGCGAATACCCAACCCACTCATAGAGGCGGCGAAATCCACGGCGTTGGGTATCATATGAGGAAAGGGGGAGTGCGTGTTAATAACCTTGTCGAGATCGAAGAAACGAGCTTTCGGGATTCTCTCCTGGCGGAATACCTGAGAACCCGTGCGGCCCTTATCGTCATTGGATGGAAACCAAGAGGCGCATAAAGGAACAACTCGTGGCTCGGGGGAGATGTCGGATGGTGGATTCGTCTTAATGGCATTGTGTAAGTCGCTCGGACTCACGAGATAGGAGGACATTGAACGACGGGTTGTTGGCAGGCTGCTGTGATAACTGAGAGATAGTAGGAATGCGCGAGAGCTATATCTAGGCAAACTACCGCTCAGAAAGGGGAAACCTGTTAGTACAGCCATGGCGTCGTATTTTTAGCTGTCCATGGCTGATGCTATAACGTCGGAGATGAAGCTTTAGTTTCCGTACTGGCCACGCACCAAGGGAAGACGGAGGCTACTAGGTTGACAAACGGTTTTAAAAGTGACAAGTTGTTGGCGGATAGGATGCGGCGTTCGAGATAATATAATCTATCTTACTACTGACGTCAAGAGCAAAGTGGCGCGATAACTAAAACTTGATTTCTCGCAAAGCCCGCGTCTAACTACATCCAATTTAAATGGATGCGTGGGTGATGATGGTGTGGCCGTCTTAAAGATGTTGATTATCATCATTATAAGGCGAGCGGCTACTTCAAAAGCCTGGGAGACGACCTGGGGATACCATTATGAATGTACGTCAATATCGGGGTGACATCACGATTGCGATACAGTTCGTGGTAGTCTACATTGCTTATTACGCACTAAAAGTCTGCACATCTCCTTAGCTGTTGTTAACCTTTACCCCGCGCCGGGCCTTATATGACCACTATGAGATGAGGAAATAACTTTGGGGAACTTCAAGTTATCTCCTTGTATGGCTTGAGCTGATAGGTTTCATATTTCCCACTGATTCAGGATGCTCGCCGCCGCATTTTGCCCAAATGTGACCAAGCGTTCTCCAAATGACTTTTCGTCTGGGGAAGCTATGATAGAGTGCTAAAATGCATAGAGCATGCCCTTGGTCACTTCTTCTGCCTCGTTTGATGCTTGGCCATTCTTTGATATAAAAATGGACGGCAACTCTTAAGCACTGCCTTAATAACATGCCATAAACACAGCAGGGCTTTGGACGAAGAGGACCAAATTACCGCAGCATTCATCGCCGCCAGGCACTTGTCCGTCAGTATGACTAAGGACAGGTTACGCTGATAAAGAGGCTGGAGGTTTTCTAAATACTCAAGCATTATTCTGACTAGTTTTACCTGAAAGGAAAACAAAAGCTATGCAAAACGACCGGTGACAGGAATCGACTCCAACCATGTCAAAGAGTAACATCTGATGCTGGTTTGTCTTGTAGGTGCAGTCAAGGAGCAGCACGTCTGGATTACTTTGAAGGAATGCAATTGAATCTGGATGAGCAAAAAGATATCTGGTAAAGCATGGGCTCTTGGTCAACAGATTGGAGGGGAAGATTTGTTTTGCGGGCGTGTAAAAATGAAGGGAGCAATATAGAAGACACAAATCTTTCCCAATGACACAAAATTGAACTCGGACTCCCCATCACTACTTTAGGACTGTTGCCATATATGGAAAAGCAACATGATAGGCAATCTCAATCTCATCTAATATATAAGCAACAGCAATATCAGCATTCAACGTAGTCAACACAACAATATTGATGCAGGTTCAGAAGTTGACTAGATATACGAACCTCGCATTCCCGCAATGGCTTCAAACGAAACGGCGAAATTATTCATTGCCCCGATGATATCCTCCAAGCCATGCCGGAGCTCGTCGAGGAGGCGTTCTGTATCCACAGATAAGTCGCCTGATGATATTCGTGCGGCAGGGAGTATGGCGTGAAGTTTATAGAATTGCATTAGAAGAACGTAACTAGCTTGCATTGCACAGCATGTACAGGTAGGCATCGCTCGACTAATCACCCCGTCAGATGTCTGGGGAATCGGCAATCTTTGTAGCTGCCGCGCAATTGTTAGAGCTGATGCCACGCAAATTTCGGTGGACTGATCGTTTGTGAATGGAGGCGACTGGATCATATTATAAGCGGCGACACTTGCTTCGGCATCACTGGTCACGCTGGAAGCAGTATTGAGAGTATTAGGAACCGAGAGATCACAGTGATTCTCGGCGAAGAGTGGCGTGTCTGAGAAGGCTCGAAATCGATGAAGACGGATTCTTGTGCTGTAATGTGGTTAATAACCTTGGGATATGCAAAAAACTGCGAAACTAGAAGCAAAGGTACCTGGATAATCTGATGCGAGCAAGCCTTCGCATTACTTCTGCGGTCGCTGACTCGTAGGCAGGGTCAAACTCTATTGAGCTTGAAACAGGTACATAGCTTTCGATCCGAACGGAGACCTGAAGCACCCATTTGTCGAGCATCTTCATCTGCTCGAAAATCCTAGACATATCCGCGTGCGAGCTTAAATGTTCGTTATAACTGGCAGTAAACTTGACACTCGCGACCCCGATTCGTAGAGCTTCGAGGAAGATCAACCATGCCTGAGATGCCAGAATTAGTTTGCGCACGTACAATTGCCAATGAAACAGCTCACTTCTGGATCGGATTCCAACCTTGGATATGGAGTTGTGAAATGGCTGTCATCGTCTACGTTTAAACAGGCCTATTGATGTTAGCAAGTTCGGATTGGTTCTCAACGTGTCGTTCTCCGACACTCACACTTTGTCGAACCACAGAACATAGATGAGCACAGAAATACTATTCGCCAGTTAATGATTTGGCATATCTCCATGTGTGAAAATTACGAACTGTCATCCACCAAGCTCTCCTCTTGGCTTCTGAAAAAGTGTCATTTTCGAGACCCATCCGATGAAGGGACATATTCTTTGCAATTATCAACGCTTGGCTTGCTCGAGCTGTCATTTTGAGCAAATTGGCACGCTCTGTGTGCTCATAGTTGCTCAGAAGAAGCAGTGCCAGGATGCTTTCTAGCTCCACTGGCGTTTGTGGGTGCAACGGATCGCGGGATATTGAAAGTTGCTCAAATGCGGTCATAGAGCTTATCTGGCGATCTGAGATAAAATCGAGATATTCTGAATCTGCGTCAATACGTTGAAGGGCCGCCTGTGAGAATTTTTGAGCTAGAGCTTTTCGAAACGAGACACATGCCGCGGCGGTACAGCGTGTCTCCTGCGATAGAGGAATCAGAGTAAGTACGGCAGAGAGTGCAAGACTGAGTGGAGAGATCGATTGATGCGGAATTATCTTTTCCGCAGCCGAGAGCGGCCATTGAATCGGACAATCGAGAGTTGGACGAGTTTTCGGTGGAGGAAGTATTGGAAAATACTGATGTACAAATATGTAGTATGCGTTCAAACTTTGCTTCGTCATCAGTCAATCTAATTTTAAGATCAGCACCAGAACATATTGAGCAGTCTAACTTACATTGCTTGCTCGCTGTCATATATCCTCGCACAATGGTCGTCGATCGACTCTGTCACTGAAAGAGTTTCGCTTTTCGCATATAATGGTTGCTGCTCTCCAATGGTTTCGGGGCGTCTGAGGCCGGCGCCTGGGGAAATAAAGTGTTCAATACTCTCGGGGTTAAGGAATTCTAAGACGAATTAACTATGATTCAAAAAAGTCAACAACAAGAGGAGAAGACAGACGCTGAGTTGAAGGAGACCTCGAGGCATCGCTCTTGTTAAGGAATTTTCTCTGAACGCGGCTTTTCCGTGAGCCGCCTCTTTTACTGGGAACATAAGAGCAATCACGATCTCTGATTTCACACTAGAAGGCAACGTTAGGAATCTTGTTGTACTCGCATTGCTAATATGGCGTGTGTATTGTTATGCAACTTACGTTGTGGCATGGTAGTTCACCATCACAACGTGTTCTCGATGCGCGACTGCGGCCCGTTAGAAACAGTCTCAGGAGGGGAAAAGAAACGGCATGTACCAATGCAGGCATGCTAACTTTGCCGGGGGCATTGCCATTTTCTTCACTGCTCTTTTTGCTTGGGACATGGTACGTTGATGGACAATTGATGTGGAGGAGACAAAAACCCCTTGCTTTCCAACAAGACGCTGCGGTTTTACACCAATCACGAAATGATCCTGTGAACTAACCGCGACTCGATTGAGATTGATGCTAGCATATCTATGAGTCGCCAGGTGTTTCTCCAAACACCGCGGGATTTGATGTTTTTGTATTGTTCAATTTCTCGAGCAACAGGACAACTTGACTAATAAAGGTGGCAAAGGAAGATGCCGCAAGCTAAGCCGGCGGGAATACAAGGGCAATAGCGGCCGAATTTTGTCCACTGAACAAGCTTCTGGCCGGAGATCCTTATTGCGGAGTGGATTTCTTCATGCATAGTAGTCGAAGCCACCAGTGGAGCTCAGGCGGCCGGGCCGGGTATTGTTCTGCTCGGTGTTTGAGCCGGTGATTCAACAATTCTTCTTTTCAGCTTTTAGTGATTATAATCTGCTTTATTATACGAACTACGGCCTTCCTTGGCCTACTGTGGACCGCGAAATGTCTACAATCACGGCAGATTCCATTGAATGTGTAAGTTGAGCGGGCTGGGCCGGGTATTCGGTGAGCCCTGTTCCACTAGTCAGGGACAGCGCCCTACTGGTCCAGCTGCGACCAACGATGTAAAAGGCAGTTCTAAAGCTTTACGGGTTTTTATATATAATAAGTATTGAGACCTGCGCGTTTAGCCGACAAAATTCGATACCCTCTGGCATAGTATCCCGCTGCTGATCTTTTTCTCCTGCTACCTTCGAGAGGGCCCCTCCTTCGTGTAGGAAGCGATACCATCATGGATGGCAATGTGAAGAGAACATGTGCTGTTAATGGAACAAAGGTTTTGACTGATTCAAGGCACGGGACAGAAGGCGTCACCGCCTCCTCGACAACTCTATTATCACCGCCCGACAACGTGGCCGTAGATCCTACGGTTAATGCCCCGCAAAGCGAAATGGACAAAATGGACATTAGTCCGCCTCCGCTACAGAAGCGCGAGAAGAATATTTGGATCGTTGTTCGCGCGTTTACTCCAGCGTACGTCTACACATTGCCCTTTCCCCTCGCCCCTCATGTCTTGGCCTGGTCATTGGAAGGGCGCGTTGTGATTGAACCTCCTGGTTTGTGTTACTCTGCGCGGATGGAGTCTAAAAGGTTTACAGATGGTTTACAGTCAACATGGGCACTGGAATTGTTTCGATTCTTCTTCATAATCTTCCATATAATGGCGCGTGGCTATACTGGATCTCTGTCATCTTCTTCGTCCTCAACCTTACACTATTTATCCTCTTCACGTTTATATCCGCTCTTCGGTATTTGATATACCCTGGGCTCTTCATGACCATGATTAGACACTCGGCAGTACCTCTTCTCTTGGGAGCATTTCCAATTGCTCTCTCTACAATCGTTGAAATGATTGTCCTTGTCTGCGTACCGGCATGGGGTCCCTGGACGGTTACATTGGTTAGTCACAGTAACTAAGTATGACAAGTCTCAATATCTAACTAAAATCTGTTCAACAGGCATGGACGTTGTGGTGGATTGATGCTGCTATATCGATCATAATTTGTTACTGGATACCATTTGTCATGTAAGCCACGTCTGTTACCGACCTTTTATAAACTATGAAACACAATCCCCAGAACTAACGTAATTGCCAGTATGCATACTCACGACATCAAGTTGGCGACGCTTTCTGCAACTTGGCTTCTGCCTATCGCCGCTCCCATTGTTGCGTCCGCCATAGGTGCAGTTGTAGCCGAAGTTTTGGAAAACGAACAACATGCTCTGTGGACTCTCATCACATCATACTTTCTTTGGGGTACCGCAATGCCTTTGTCTCTCACCTGCCTGGTGATCTTCTACCAACGCCTTTCAATGCACAATCTGCCGCCCCCAGAGGCCATTGTGTCCATGTTCTTGCCCGTGGCGCCTCTTGGTCAAGGCGGATATGCAATCATGCAGTTGGGAAAAGTCGCAGCAGAAGTTTTCCCTAAAACTGACACTCTTAGCATGATGGGCACCCACTCCGGAGAAATACTATACGTGATAGGCTGGATTGTTGGCTTCATCATGTGGGCAAACGGCCTGGCATGGATCTTCTTTGCGTTGGCTAGCATTAGTCGACGTAAATTTCCCTTCAACATTGGTTGGTGGGGGTTTACTTTTCCTCTCGGTGTGTGGGCTGGCGCAACTATTGCGATTGGACAAGAACTGCCGTCTAGATTCTTCAATGTTTTGGGAACTGTAAGTTATACATACCTTTCCTATTGTAACCATTTCTCTTTAATGTTTGGCTCTGCGATTGGTCCTCGCAAAAAAAAAAAAAAAAAAAAACCATTACGATATTAGGTGCTAATTTAACTGCAAACTAGATTGCGTCGGTCATAGTAACGCTGCTGTGGATCATGGTGGCCATAGGTACGATCCGGAAAATTGTCGATGGCAAAATCTTCATGGCACCAGATTTTGAACAGTGGAAGAAGAAAAAGGACCAAGCCACGGAAGCGGCGTAAGACATCAGTTGCGTGAATCTGGCGCACCTACTCACTTCGTTTGAGTATCATCGCCTGTTATTATTTAAACTCCTTTAGAAATCGAGCAGTCTTGTCTAATAAAATAAAATACACGTTACTTCTTTCCTCCATCTTCCCCTCGCTTCAGAACCGGCCAGATGTTCTCGGGTTGGACTCTATCCCAGAGATTTCCCTTGCCAGAGCTTTGCAATACCTTGTCCTGTTGACGGAACCAATCTTCTGCGCTTTTGACTCTCTCCGGATAAATTTCATCTAGAAGAGCATAGTCTACCTTGAATAGCTCATGTTTAAACGCGTTCCAGAATCCAGTAAAATTTTGTTGCGTAGTCATCGTATTGGGATCCTTTGGATCAACTCCAGCGCCCACTGGTGAGTGTGCAACTTTTGACAAGGCCCCCGTGGTCCAGTACTCATCCAATGATACATCCATATACTGTGCTTTATGACCTGTAACACTCTCAAATGCAGTAGCTAAGTCTTTGAAACTGATATGCTCCATCGCAGTTACAAGATCCATACCGCTGGCACGCTCAGGGTTATCGAATTGCCAACGGACATAATAGCCACAATCCTCGAGGTAGCTCAACGGCATACGACTCTCACCGAGTGGAACGCGCCAGGTAAGAGTCCCGTCCTCAATGGTTGGCGTCATGACGGTTTGAGCACCAATAGTCATGTCGATATATGGAGCCACTGTGAAAAGACTTGCGCCCATTCTATCCTTGTTGTCGATATTTTGGAAGAGAATCCATTGTCCAACTCTCCCTTTCCCATTCATATGTCCGGCGTTAAACTTTGAGTCATACCCTCCTAGCTTAAGTGCATAGGGGAGGCTGCCGTATACAAAGAATTTGACACCTTCCTCAATAGCAATCTCATATGTGCGAATGGCCCAGTACATCTCAGCCTTCTCGCCCGTGTGAAACCCGTCGATGTTGACAAATGCTCCATCACAGTCCTTGAAGCCGTCACGAAGAGTCTGTTCATTGTCGAGAGTGCCCTGAAGCAGTTCCACATTGCCCAGAGCGAGAAGCTCAATGGCGCGGCGAGAAGAAGTATCCCGAGTTAAAACCCGAACTTGATACTTCTTGTCATTTACCAGCGCTGTAACGATAGGAACTCCTTGGACTCCTGTGCCACCGATAATAAAGATTTTGGAGACATGGTGTGAGGCCATTGTGAGCTTCTGTAGAATGTAGCAGACGAAATGGCGGCTAAAAGATTGTATAAGTGAATGAGATTGTTGATGGTAGCCATTTTAAACTACTTATACACAAAGAGATATAGGCAAGCCTCCTACATTTCCAATTGCCATTTCTGAGCTTATCGAGCAGAGACGTCATCTCATCTTACCCTTATGAATCTAGCAGCAGTCGAATCCGTAGATGCCACAGCATACACAATTTGCCTGATGTAGCCTAGTTTTGCCCGGAGCCAGATCTGCTTGGAGCGCTAACTGTCAAAGGTAATTTTTGTATTACCAACAGGTCAGATGGGCGCATGAACATGTTTGGCTGAGACACTGTCTACGTAGCATCTATCGTGCAGCAGTTGAGTAAATTTGTTCAAGTTGGCACGATAAAACACCATCATTAATAAATGACCGATATTGCAGCGGTCATGTGGAGCAGTCGAATGTATTTGGTGGATAAAGCTTGTATCAGCTGTAGCGGAACAGAAACTTATTTGGACTTTTATTTCATTGGAGACTTTTCTTCAACCGACTTGGTCGGTAGGCTACAAACTTATCTAGCAATCTAATATGCTCGTCTGTTCAAACCAAATAAACTTTTATACAGCACATAAACAGATAATGACTACCATTTCCAAGCGACATCCCAGACCAGCTAGCCTTATACCAAGGGCAAATGCCATGAGCCCCACCTATAATTCAGGTCGCAATCACTGCTCCCAAACTTGTCTAAGAAAATCTTCCACATCTGCAAGCATAACTTCGGGCTTCTCCATGGCGGCAAAATGGCCACCACTCTCATGCTGGCGATAGAACTCAAGAGTGCCAGTCGTCTCGGCCCAAGCTTGGGGGATTGGTGCAAGCTCCTTTGGAAAGAAGGAGTAGCCGAAATGCTTTTTGATGTACCATTCAGGGTTCTCATGAGCTCCAATAACGCCGGGGGTAAATAGCTAATAAATTAATCAGCATATGTTTAACAAGAATAATTTAGAATTAGACTGCATTTACCTGTCGATATGGGTAGATGGATCGTGGGAAAGTCTCAGTCAACCAGTATAGTGTAACTGAAGTAAGGATCTCGTCAAGCGGCGGGTCCTCGTCGGTCCAAGCAAGAAATTTTTCACCAATCCTAATACATTGATCAGCTTTCTTGGATCCTGGAATGACATTGTGGAAGAGTCGCGTACCATGCAAGAAGCGCAATCGGGTTTGAAGCAAGTACAAGTCCAATTGTACTGGGCTTGGTTGCATGTTGAAGAGCATATGAAGAGCCGAGATTTAGGAAGGTATTAGCTCGCTTCAGGCTCTCTTTCTCAATATCGCTAATATGAGCGTCCTTGATACCCTCTGGCTCGGGCATGATGCAGAAATTTACTGTATTGGGTATTAGCATTGTATTTTAATGAAGCAAATCTAGCTTGTAACTTACTATGAATAGCCTTAACCGTGTCAAAGGTTGCAGCCATAACACGCGAAACCTTGCTGCCAATATCTCCGCCCTGGACTGCATATCCATTGCCAAATCCCAGGTCAATCATCAATGTGTTCATAATACTCGCAATGTTTTGAAGTTGAAAGTCTCGTGTGAGGGGCGGAGGCGAAGAGAAGGCATAGCCTGGCAAAGAAGGGACAACAATATGGTACGGAAGTGTTTCCGGGGTGTAGCGCTGAGTCAAGATCTCCAGAATGGAATAAAACTCCAAAAAGTTACCTGGCCAGCCGTGCAGGCAGAGAAGAGGGACTGCATTGGGCTTCTGAGAAAATAATGCCACGAAGTGGATATCGAAAACATCTCCGCCCTCCTTGATAGGCAGAGTGAAGTTGGGGAAGCTGTTGATGCGGTCTTCACATTTGCGCCTACATGTAATGTGTCAACTACGAAGCTGCCCATCGGGTGTTGTTTGTGAGCTGCAGCTTACCAGTCCCAGTTCCCCCACTCTGCTTTGGCTTGAACTAGCCAGTCTCGGCTTATACCAAATCGGCCATCTGTCAATTCATTCTCGTATGTCTTTGGTCCAATCTTGGATAGCTTCAATAGAGCTTTGAAGTCGCTAAGCTGTTGCTCTGGAACAGACACAGTAAAGGGAGCTGGAGTGGACTTTCTGTTGGTGGGGAGGTTTGCAAAAGACGCCATCTTAATAGCTTTTGTAGCTGAATTATTTCTTGAAGATGTACTTAAGCTGTTGGCTTGGAGTAGTGTTGTTTGATGGTTGGAGTTGGTGTCTGACAGAATCTTCATGATGATGGAGAGCCAAGGCTACTTTATAGTTCTCATCTTGGTTCTTTTTGTCTTTATCGCTTACAATCTTTTTACAGCATCAATGGAGTTTCGTCCTATGAATAGGTCTTCACAAACATGGCCATTGTTCCCATCTGAAGTTACTCTGAAAGCTTGATTCCATGCCTCGGATTGCCTATCGGAGCGTCTCACCTAAGTGTCTTATGCCCAATATGGAAATGCCATCCGCCACTGGGAGAGCATTCCGAACTATGATTTATGAAAAGGTATCGCCTTGACGTCATTCTTTATACAGATTTCCCAGGAAAGGTAAATATCCCAGACTGGGGCCTTTAATAGATGGCTTAATAATTTGAACAGGATGGAGAGCAGGCTTTGCTCTCAACTACTGGTATTCTGGTGTTTTGGAGCTGGATGCAATGATGACTTTACACGCTAGGTTTTACTGGAGAGAAGATTTAGTTGTGAAATCATGGACTTGGACATATCTTCAACATGTCTATGCAGTAGTATAATGAACTTGTGTATTGTAGCTCGCTGTCAAACAAAAAGCAATAGCCGCATTAAGTGAAGAAGACTCTCCCTAATTGCCCACTATGAGTTATGATCACGCTTCCTTGGATTTTTCGTGCGTGAGCTAAGGCCTAAAGCTTCGTTTTCCTTCTCAAGAATTATCACCCTTTCTCGTAGGCTCTGGAGAGAGTGCATCACGTCACCCTGTCCACCTGTGCGCGCATCTTCTTCTGATGACCTTCTTGACGTTACCCTGGTAGATGAAGTTTCAGTATCGTCAGGCTTGGCCACATCCTTCTTCAACCTGTTACTTCTACGAGTCTCCAAATTTGGCTTGGGCTCTTCGGGCTCGGCTGCAGGTCTTTGAACAGGCTCATCAGCTGGTTTGGCGTGAAGATGATTCGATTTATTGTCTTCAAATGATGGCGGCTGCATATGCCATCCTCTCTTGGTACATGCATCGCAGTAGAACTTCTTTTGTCGCTCCGGTACCTTTGGGACAACACAATTCTGGTGATATGACCGGCAGCACGTGTCGCAATCTAGCATACTGCCTGGTTTGCGACATGTGTAGCACAATGCATTGTGTGGTGAGCCGCTCTCTGTGAAGCATTAGCCGTTGGTATTCTCGATTGTGTGACCAACAGTTGGGATTATGATGCAGACGCAGGCCCAACCGCTTCAAATAAGCAGAATCGTCGTGAGGACGAACATTACAAATAAAAATGATTGCGACCACGGGATTTCTGCTTTGGTTTTTATTTTTTTTTATTTTTATTTTTTTATTTTTTTTTTCGCAGTGGAGAGAATATTTTCCAGAATAAACAAAAATATGGAATACTCACTCTTCCATGCATGGTATATGATTTTCTGCTCATCCATGGTCAAAACGGTCCCCGGCGCGGCATAGGTAGAGATTCTGTACCCGGCGATGACGGGATATTTACTGATCTCCGCCGTGGACGTCCGCCGTCTTTTGGCTTGAGACTGAGTAGACTCTGCCATGGCGCTTTGCTTCAAAGTAGTGAAATAGATCAGATACGACGGCGAGGATTCAGGAACCCTTCACGAATCAGGCTCTATTATGATCTAGCAGCGGGCATCCCTCGAAAAGTGATGTGGAGGCAAAAGAACCGTGAGATGCCGGACTGGGGAGGTTTGCCCAAACCGGCATACGCGGACACTTTAGCCAAAAGCAGCAACGTCATCCTACCGACATTGGGCCGCTCAGCTTGGAGCGAGTGAAAGAGCTTGATCAAACTCAATCTGAGCATTTCCCTCTCTTGTCCTCATGTGACATGGATAAAGCTGTGTTACGTCTTGTTAATTCTTAATTCAGTACTTCGTACATCTCCTGATTCTGCCAAAGCTTGAGCTGTTACCTCAATGGGTAACATCCTCCACCGCCCGCCACCAACACCTCGCCCGGCCGTCGTTGTTAGCTGAGAGAGGGGCATAATATACACTGGTTGACTGCTGTATGAACCGGTAAACGTAGGCTGCGAACGGCAATGTCCCCCGGATCAGCGTGTCAACGATGCAGGCAGCGGCACATCAAGGTATGTGATTTCCGGCGTCTCCCTTGGTGTTGACATTGCGACAGAGGCCCTAACTGGTAGTATCAGTGTGATGCGACAAGACCCAACTGCAAGCAGTGTGTGTCTGGTAAGCATGAGTGTCCGGGATACCCAGAGGACTGGAAGTTCATCAACAATGGCGCCGAGCCGCCTCGAAAGCGACAGAAGAGGCAATCTGTACGAGAAGCCAAGGCTCATGATGTAAAGACATCTACTGGGAAACTCACCGAGACAAATGAAGATGCTGTCATAGAGATCCGCCGCAATAACACGGTGTCGACCAGCCAGAGACCAGAGCATTTGGATATCCCGTCATTGGACTTTACCAAAGATTCTGATGACGCCCTGCAGAGTTTGGATTCATCTGTGCCCCTTCAGGTCGAATTGGGCTTCGATTTCGGCGATAATCATGTCAATGAAGCGAGTGTTGTTGGCCACTTCGGAGCTCCTTTACCCGCCCCTGAGGAGTCCCCGGGATTACTATCCTCTGGATCAACTGGCGAGTTTGAGATGGGACTTGCTGCCCTAGCCTCGGAGTTTATGCTCGAGAGCGAACAAGAGATTGTCTTCCTCCTCCGGCACTATACAGACAATCTGGCTCCATGGTATGTCTCTATCCTGGCCGCGAACTGCCCTCTAACTTTCTAATGGACAACATTAGGTTAGATATATTCGGAGACAAATGCTTCTTCCAGACTTGTGTCCCTCGTCTGGTTGGAACTCACCCCGTGCTCAAGTACGCAATAGCGGCACTTGCTGCAAAGCATTTGAGCAATCTGGGCGGCTTCCGAGCGACTAACTGCGGTCCCATGAGCACCTTGGCCTTGACGGAACTTTATCCCAGTGCAGGAAATGTTGACTGGGCCTTCAAAGCTGCCAGCTACTACCATCAAGCAGCTACAAACTCGCAGCACCCGTCCCCGCTTTACACTACTGAAGCTAGTTCGATCTTGACGGATGTTGCAATGGCGAGTAATGCAATCTTGACCGTTTATGAAATGATTGACTCGAATTATGATGAATTTTACACGTAAGTATTTGCCTTATGCCTGCAAATAGAATCATTGTCAATACCTTACCCCGTCAATTGTTGATATTTCTCATGCTGTTCGCTGTTCTGTTCTGCAAAACATGGGCGAACCTTATGAGTTGATTATTGAAAAGACGTGAGCAAAATCTGACATCGACTTCAGGCGGATCCGGGAGATAAAGAGCCAACTAGTAAGATACCCCAACGATGGCGCAATATCACAGCCGACATTCACACCCTTCAAATTTCACGGCAGTCCTGCGGCTTTGGCCAGCTACTGGCACTCCTTGCCCCACGATCTCCTTAACTCGTATGATCAAAAAAGGATATCGATACTAGACTGTGAAACCCCGTATAACGGGCTGGGAGGCTCCGATGATGAGTTTAGTCTCAATGAGCCTTCATCCATGACCAAGACACCCTGGGTGCAACTATTCATCTTAATAACTCAAATCATTGACAAGTTCGCCACTAATCCTAGCCGGCGTGATCAAGGGACCAAGGATGTGGACCGGAATAGCAGCTGGGACTATCTCTGGAACGCCTTGGATCGGTGGCATGCCCAACTCGATGTGCAATTTGAGCCATATTCTCACTATAAGCTTTCCAGCCATCTAACACTCTCACAAGGCCTGGTGGAGCCGGTTTTCGACGAGATACTCTTTCCATCACCAGTGTCCGCAGCGACGCTGTCATACTATCACTTTGCTCGCATCCTTTTACTCCTCGCAAAACCGGCCGACCAATCAAACCCCCAGGCCATGCTGCTTTATTACCGAGAGATATTGACGGACATAGAGGACCATTGTACAAAGATATGCGGAATTGCAGCTGGCCGACCAGGCCCTGCCGCTCGGATACACTCAGTGCAGCCACTCTTCCTGGCTGGACAATGCTTGGTGGAACCACGGTTACGGACAGCTGTTGTACAGCTCCTACAGGATGTTGAGGCAGATACAGGATGGCCAACAGCAAGCCATATCAGCAGGCTTCATCAGGGATGGAACAGGAATACTCGGACAAATTGACGTCTGGGAGATAAGAGCTAGCCATGTTGGTGTGATTTTGGTCGACTGGAATAACGGAGTACATTTTTGGTATGAACATCTTGTTAATTTTCTGTCTAAGCGTTTGTTTTATTCTATAGACATGGTAAAAGCAATCCCATCAATGTAACGGCTCGCATCTCTCGTATATGTGCGTAGATATCGGATCCTGCTATCATTTCTCACATGTAAGTGCCTATTGGCTGCTTCTAACACACCACCTGCAGCGATTCGGCGACCGTAGCGCACTAGAGTCTCGTTGCAACACAACAACAGGACGATTTGTTCAAGGGTTCCCCAGGGCAGCGTAGCATTCAATGCAGAATTCTGCAATCTCTGCCAGCTGTTTATCCAATCCTCGCTCATGAAGCTATCGACAGTAATAATATCTAATCTAAAATGCATCGCGCCATATCTTGTATTCATAATCAAGGCGGCGGGCCCGTATAAGTGTATGAATATATAAAATCGAGGAACCGCCGCTTCGCTGCAATTTCTTGCCCTCTCCTGTTTTGCTTGCTGAATTCCCTCAACCATAGTAATCCACTGTGAAACCGCCGCAAACATTTGCGAGGCGAGCTGCTGACAATTGCAGCCAAAGAAGCCCCTCAGCCATCGCATTTTCTTCCCAACTTTACTGAGTGCCAGCTAACAGCTCCGCAGCTTAGGGTCGTCCGTCCGTGTCTAGCACAGTGTCCTACGCCGGTTGTTGTCTTTTAACTGGCTGGGCTCCCCGCTTCAGGTGCAAATAGTTGCCGTGCGCTTTTACAATTTTCTAATGGGTGTACGTATGTTGGCAGTATTAGCGAATCGCCGAAGCCGTAGTGGGCAACTTGGGCCTCAACCCGGCTTTCAATTCGGTGCTCAACAATGGGCAACAATAATTATATAAGTGCCCTGCTTGATCCGGGACTCAGTATTCAATTCAATCTGCATTGCTTTCAACTCAATCAACCACTCAAACTCTTTTCAACCAAATTGAAACGAACTCTTAAGCCTCTTCTAAGTCTTACCAACTACAATCTTCGCAATGGCCCCTACTCTCTACATCGCCGATGACACTTGCTCTCGCGCAGCTCAGCTGGTCGCCAACGAGCTTGACATTGAGCACCAACTTGTTCACTTTGATGTGTTTGGCAAGAGCACATCCAGTGGCGAGGACTTTACCGCTATCAACCCTCTACTCTATGTCCCTGCCCTGAAGCTGGACAACGAGACCAGAGACATCATCTCGGAGACCATCATCATCTGTTCATACTTCGCCGATCAGAAGCCCGAGGCCGGTCTGGTCCCCGCTGCAGGGACCCTGGAACGTGTCAAATACGACCAGTTCCTCGTCCAGCTGGCTACTGAGATTGCCCAAAAGCACATCCCTCTCATGCGCAAGCTCATGACCCCTGAGGGTGTTGAGTTCCACTCCAACAAGCTCCAGAAGGCCTACAAGCTCCTTGACGACCGCCTAGCCAAGACCCCTTATCTGTTCGGCGACAACCTCACCGTTGCCGACGCTTATGTCTGGGGCACTTTCTGGAACTCCCGCTCTGGTGTCGACCTGTCTCACCTTGAGAACCTCGCCGCTTGGAAGACCCGCCTCGAGGCCCGCCCTGCCGCTATCAAGACCATCAAGGATGAGGCCGAAGTTGTCGCTGTTCACAAGGCCCAGATCGCTGCTAGTGCTTAAACGTCTCAGACATGATTTATGACATTTTTTTTTACGAACGAATCATAATAGGAGAAGGCGACTTGTCGAATTAGCGGAGTCTTACAAAATACAGTGGGGGGGATTTCTCGTATTAGGAGGGTGCAGCTATAGAAACGATACCACGAGACGCTATAGATTTACAACATTAAAAATAGAATATAGATCAATTTAAAATTGCTTTTTACACCTTATGAGATTACGAGTACAGACATAAACTAACAAAATTCCGGTGATAGCACACTAAAAACTGCTCTGAGCATCTCTCTGTCAACATATAATGAAGCAGGGGAAAGCCGAGCCTGACTTGCTGAATTACTGAATACTTACAGGCGCCAAACACAGCGCCAACCTGATACAGTAGCTTGAAAAATGGCCTGAAAACTCGACAAGTTCATCTCGTAATTTGCACTGAGTGGAGTCTCATCCATCAGCATTTAGAGTTACACTTAAGCTCTCCTAGACTAGTTCAGCAAACTTGGGATGAACGATGCCAATTGGTTCGGAGCTGTATCCTTGTATCCGTCGATATGCCCCAAATGCGTGAGCTTGGCGTGCAAGGTATAAGGAATTTTTGAAGCCGATAGTTAGGCTATCGCGTTGTTGACACGAATACAGAACGGCAGTGAAGTCGGCCATCTGGCCTTTCTCACCAGCCTTAACTTGAGAGAATCCCGACTCTCCCCTTGAAGGGAATCGTCAAAATCACATCTGACTTTTCACTTCCACCAAAATGAATCGTGAAAGCCTGCGTTTCAGCTGGAGGTTAACTCTCCTTTGCGGCTTGATTGCCGTCATAGCGAGCCCCCTATTTACTAAAAGCCTACTACTCCGCTATTTCCCTCCAGAATCTACCGAATCAGAACCCGAACAAGAACCAGACATTCCCCTGCCCGTATACAAGGCAAGCGTGGTGACGAGACCGAACCCTGAGGTTGTCGGTTCTAACACAGATGAAATGTCCAATTCATCGGCCCACCTCCTCGAAAGGGCGTCCAAAGGTTGGACACATATACCAAGCGACGATGAACGCATGAGCGAAGCAACGGAAACAAACAAGCCAAAAGGCCCAGAGTCGCGCGTTGTCCTACATCACTCCTTTGGGGATATCAATAGAAACAGCCAGCTAGCCGTGGTACCTTATGGGAATGGTTTTGTTGATGGAATTATCCGAGCGTTTCAGCAAGATCTTCATCTCGTCCTCCGTCCTGATGACATCTGGTTGGCTATTACAGTACAGCTCAGCTTTTATATCAATGCCCATGCCGAAGAGTTGAGAAGCTTATTCGTTGAACATGATGGAAAAAAACAACTCGTCATCGACTTGTCACCTCAAACCATGATAAATCTTGACATTCCATATGCGGCAAAACTCTTTACCAATTTAATCCAGGAAAACGTGCGGGATCCAGATCTTCAAAGCTGGATATTGCCCGACTTTTCCACAACAACCGACAATGACATAAGCGTCGCGGCAATGGTTATGATGGCAACTACAAAGGCATATTTTGAGTACATTGTACTATGCGGCTGTGGCTTCCCAAGCGTCACACTTGTAGGTGAGAGAGAAGATTGGGTAAAGCTCCTTGAGAGACTGCCCAAACTTGCGACATTCGGTGATGAGCCTGCCGAATGGAGCAAACTACTCGTTAAAGTCGTGGGAAAAATGATTGAAACATTTGACCGACCAGATGACGAAGCTACGAAAGAGTTTTGGATGAAAGCAGTCCACAGAGCTGGTGCTGAGGCATCAGGACGAGGAATCGACACACTATCCGGATGGATCACGGCATTCTGCTTCTGGGATAAAGAAGGCCAGAAGATTCGTCAATATACAGATGAAAACATCAAAATGTTCTCATTCGACGGAGAAGGAGATGAAGACCGAAAGAGACTCGTTATTGATGACGTTGTTTTCCCAATCATCAGAGCTAAACACGTGCCACAGGCCGTGGTCGAAGTCCCCGTCAAAGTTCTGGATACGTCGACAATGCTTGACTATGACACAACCATTATAGCAGGTTCTGTGGGTATGATGGCAACTGCCAGTGAGAATAAAGGAGTATTTGATACTTTCCAACCACGGTCAGGCTGGTGGATGCTACTCGATGAGGTTAAGCCGATTGATCAGGAGGAGTTGGATAAATATGTAGATATTCGACGTGAGGAGGTGAACGTACCTTAAAGGCTACGCAATGGACCATCACTACGGTATAAACAGAGCTTAATGCATGCGGAACCTATTAAATATGCGTCTTTCACCTCAATGTCACAGGTCTTTTTTATCCGTACTTTCATAGTCTCTTGCATTACCCACTTCATACAAGATCAGGCACGTCTAAGGTATTTTATCTATGCAGTAAGGTTTGGACGTATTGACATCATAGTTCAGATCATGAGTTTTAGGCCATCTTAGACTCAAATGGCCACTTTCTTCTCCTCATCGAATTCTATTTTGCTTGTTTCATTCTATCCCTCAGCATGCTCATAGTCCTCGGCTTGTTGTCCACATCATCTACCGCTTGCATGCGGATTACCGTATCACTCGCTATTATCGTCTTGGCATAGCAAAGCATTCTATTTGGAACTAAATGTGGTGCTTTACGAGGTGCTGTGCCTCCAATTCAGTGTGATATGGTGATCTTTATGCATAAATGGATATTTGATTGGTCCTTTTGCAACCCGATGGCGCTTTTCTCTTCTTCTTTCTTACGTGGCACGGCTGGCTTAGTTCCAATAATTTCGGGACACGTAGGCACATATCCAAGCTGAATCAAATCAAAACCTTCCGATGGGCTTATCGGAAAGACCTTGTTTACCCCGCTGATCAGTGAGTAGGATTAGCTAGAATGTCTCAGATCAGGATGGTGCATGAGCGATGAGTGTAAGTAAGTGGTCAAGCTACTATGTACTCGTATGTTGACCTACATGATGTAAGGGCAATGCAGGCAGGATATTAGAACGGCGAATTTGAATGCCACGTATAAATTCAGGGCCAATTCATGCGCTTTTGCATGGCCAGTGCAATGCAATCGTTGGCTCCAGGAATGTAAGGGAGTAAAGTGCGAGGACGTGCATATGCCCAAACCGCGGATGCCGCTCCAGATGCCGTCTCGTCAAAATCACCAATAATTTTTCACTTGGGACCTTGTGGTTATTTTCAGAAACTGGAAACGACAAAGCCGGCACAGATCTCCGAGTAATGGACCTAGGCTTAGGTCCTATCCGTTCCAGACTACGAATAGGAGAAAGCCTTTGCCTCCGCCCTTACATCAATGTCTTGTAGTGCATCTTGGGGTGGGGCAGTGTGACACCTATCGACGCTATTGTTCTTCCTCGTAGTACTCAATAATGTTGTATCTCTTGAGAGTAATAGTTATACGATGGATGCATTTGCACAGCATAAGAACACAAACACAATTTACTCAGCTCTCTGGGGAACCGCCTCCGTTGCGCAAATGTCCCGAAATCCATCCTTGGGCAAGCCTCTATCATCTAGCTAGCAGCTAATCCACTCACCTCTATGCGAAAAGAAAAAATGGAAGAGCACATGGCTTTCATAAGCCTAAACTCGTATCTAGATACAAAAGTTGATTTGTGACAAATGGAATTTCTAATGCTCAATACTTCATAATAACATACGTATCTCGCTCCCATGGGCTATAGCGGGGACGCGGCTGAGATGCATGAGCCTTACGCACAATTGCGTTCACCGGCTGCACGTTCCTTGTCCCTGGAAACTGGAGCCCCAAGGCGCTCCAAACGATACACGTAGTTACCTCTACCCGACAAATAGTCTCTCTTAATGGTTGGAGCCATTGACCGGTAAGACACTTACATAGAGTAGCGTCATGCAGCGGCTTCAGATCTGAGTCGCCCAGGTGGTTCCAGGCTCTTGTTGATGCGCCCAAACATTGCTCCATGACCCCGGTCTCAGCTTTCATGGTGGCTTGTGTTTAAAGCCGTAGTACACTGTATATTGTTCTCCTCTTTGACTTTTGTAACACAGAAATAATTTTTGACTTCATTTCAGAGCCTAGGCTTTAGTATCGGAGAGAAGCTTAACTGTCAAGACGTGTAAGTGTGGCTTGGCTAACGAGCATAACAGAATACATGTATTAATTCCACCCCATTTTATCTATATAAACATGTCCCATGCCCCCCGCTACCATCCCCTATTATACACGCAGTGTACGCAAGCAAGCTCATTTTACGAATTATTTTGACCACAATCTGTCTTCCATCAATATGTCTACCAGCTACACCATCTCTGTAGAGAATCAGCGCGGCGAGAACACTAACTATGCCGTCTTTATGAACCCTCCGGACTTCACTGGAGGCCAGCAACCTTGGATGAATGTGTGGTACACCTCGTTCGTTCCTTATCATGGAAGCTTTGAAGTCCGTACTGGAGCGGACTTTTATGCGTGTAGGAAAATATCCGAACTAGTTTACACATGTCCCTCAATGCTAATGAGCGACTTGACAGGGGTTGGCACTGTGCCTACGGCACCAGCGCCAGGCGTTGTAGTCACTAGTGGCATGAGCCTGTTGGCTCGTCTTGGTACAACTGGGGTCCCTGGAAGTGAGAACGAACTGACTACCTAAACATATAGAACAAGATCAACAGGCTAATGACTTTTCTAAATAGGCACTTTTGACAAGAAGATCATTCAAAGCTTCCCCACGATTACCGAGATCAACCCAAGTGCCATTCCTGGTGCCTTTGAGATTAAAACTGGTACCGACTTTGCGGTTCCCAACAATACCTATCTTGTCGGGCTTGCGAAAGTCAATAACCGTGGACAAGTTGCCCCAGTTGCTTCGGTATGCTGATCTAGCCACCCTAGAATCGTGGACTACCTGCTGACTCGGACTTACAGATTGCCCCACGCAACAATATGAATATCCAGATCACTCCAAAGATGAAGTTCTTCGTCTCTGAAAGCCAGCAAGTTGCGGGCGAGATTGTTGACTATGATGCTGTTGCTAGAGACGGCGCTACCATTGACTTTAGCAGTGGTGAAGGTCAGGGCAAATTCTACGCCCGCGTGATCCAAAACACTGACGGCAGGTTTACCGTTACTTATTATGACAACTTCGATTAAGAATCGGAAGGAGCTAAAGATCTGTACCTACATTTAGCCAGATAGATGCAATCATCGTAATTATTGTGTCGATTACATTAAACTAAAATGTATCAGCTTCCTCAATTTGGAACCTCATTTAGTCATTGTTAGTTCTCATGTCTACATCCATCCAGTATTGCATAAATACATGTATGTATTAGCCTTCTATAAGAAAACCTCATTTTCGTCTTCCCCACGCATTTGCCGCCACCAATTTGATGCATCCTGCATCTCATTATCTTCTTTAAGTAAAAACCACCATTTTCTCGTAAACCATGGTTTTGCCTCTCAGCTTCTCATATCCCAAGGCACTCCGTTACGTCGGGTGCCAACGCCATTGTCAGCGTTTCCCCAGCAGGTCAAGCCACCTGATATCATATCATCGAACAATTCTTGCTGATCTCGTAGACAAGGGTCGTTGGTAGCGAAAGTGACCGCACGCTCTCTGAAATGAGGAATGATGATCAAGTCGAGATATGAAGCATGTAGCTGAGAGAGTTGAGTCAGGCTTGGTCGAAGGTGCGGCTTCACAGTTTGCTCGAAATAGTGCGCTGCGGTTTGTACAGAGGTGGCGTTGCTGAATGTGTAAAAGGGAGAGGGTCTGTCGTTAAGATAGTCTTCAGAGGTAACGCCAATTGAAGCTGCGATTGCGAGAGTGGCTGCTAAGAATGTCATATCACGTAAACGGATATGGTTGATCAGTAGGAACGGCGTCGGTGGGATTATTGTTTGCCGTTCTCTCCCCTCATGGTTTCCATCCACCCCCGTCTGATCTAGGCGCGTTGACGCGGTCAAAATATGGCTGGTCGACGGTATGGAAGATGAATAATCTTGTATCTCCGACACGGAGAAGTAGCTGTTGGAGTGTTAGGTTCCAGCTCTCTAGACACTATCATGTCATTATAGTCCCACTGACTGGTACCGGTCGTGTCATTCGGCCTTCTTGTACTTGGTAAAACGAAGGGTTCAGCTTGGGGTGGAGTATTTTCCACGTGCTGCAAAACATCATTCTGTGCCTCAAGAAGTCGAAAGGATGGGGATAAGAGATGGGTAAATATAGTAGTGACTTTTGGTTGCTCTAACTCTTGGGGAGGTATCAAGGTGGCTGCTGCATTAGGCTGGTTGTCAAGTAGCGCGGCCACATCGGATGACTCGTCATCAATTTTGGACTCTGTTCTTGCTGATTCTTCTTCACTGAGTTGTCGTTGCTTCAGTCCTAATATAAAAAAGCACATCAGCTTAGATTCTCGAAGGAAGAGAGCAGCACATACTGTATCTTGCTTGGGATGCTCGGTTCTGCGCTCGTCTCGCAGGAGTAAGTAGACGCCTTTTTGCCACACGTGGGTGTTTTGGTGTGGTTGACTGGAACACAAGCTCTAACCCAGATGACTTTCCAGAATAGCCAGCTTTATTTATCTCGGTCATTGGTAGTAGGTGAGTTATTACTTATACCCGCGAGATTGCAGACCGTAACGTAGGTTGAGAGAATTGAGGGTTTGGGCAGAGTTTGCGACGCCTCCCGTCGGTCATTCGGTGTTCATGCCTGGTGTAATAAAGTACGGAACTAAAGTGGTTTACACAGAGTGAGATTTATTGTAAATACATTAGGAAGAATTACACTGTACACTAATTACATAATTCTGGGTTCAAGGCTCAGCGTTACACTCTGCCCCGGCCTTAGCTGTGATGGACTTGTTTTCAGTGCCCATCTTTTTGGTGGAATTTCTGGCACTGTGTTCTTGGAACCAATTGTCAACCTTTGCTGTACACTATTGACTCTTCTTCTATACCTCTACCATTTCGTTGAGTTGATTGGCATGTGCAAGAAGCGGAAGACAGGTGCGACTTTTGCATATTATATCTCTGCCTGAGAGGGCAAATTTTCTGACTTTCCGACCCGAGGCTCGCCAAAGAGTATTGAGTAAACGAATTGCGTATCTGTAGAGACTCCTTGCTCCCTGTCCCTCCTTAGGAAATAAGCCATTTGGCTTACTCCCAGTCTACTACACTAAACGCTAGGAGTAGTCCAGAATAGGTAGTAAGCCACGATAATAGCACTGACACTAAGTAAATGAGGCTGTTTGTACATCGTCCTGAGATGGAGGGGATTGCCTCTGGTTACGCACCAGCATCCAGAATTTGAACCTTACTCATTAGTGGGTGCAGCAATGTGGTTCGCTCCAGAGGGGTGAGAGACGGTTATGGTTGATTTTTGCAAGCTGGACTATTGTTTCTGTATTTTGGGAGATAGGATATCCATTACTTGCCTTCAGCCTCCTTGATCTTTGAACGCCGCCATTTACTCAATCTAACCGAAGTCCGGGATGTTAAGAGGATCCATGTATACTGCATATTTGTTTGCATGTGTTTATATAACATTGAAACACGATTTAAGAGTATTCTGAATGGTTGGTTCGTGATACTGAATGTCTGAATACTGCCTGAATGTGATTTTCACGTACACATTGACAGTTTACAGAAAAGTACAGAGAGATTGCCCCCGAATCAAAAGTAATATACATGTAAGCTACGTGTTCAACTACGCAAGTCCCCCTTCATAAGAGCTATCTGCGGGAGGGTCCGACCAAGCCTCTACCTTTCCATTTATATATTTCACCTTCAATTTGCCGAGCTCCTCCATTTTACTTCCGTCGGATTTGCCATCGATTGTCCCAGCATTAACAAATACCTCAGTGATTTCCTCTCCACCATTTGGAAACGAGGCCATGAGGAAACCGCGGACACCGCAATGTGGGCAAAAATAGTGATGCATCGATTTGGTATGGAAGGTGTAATCGGAAAGCGCTGATACTCCAGCCTTTGGTGAGATAATCCTGAACGAAGACTTTGGCTCAGGTGTCAGAAGCGCATAACCTGCTTTACGGCAAATAGAGCAGTTGCATTTTTGAAGATGTGATGAATGTTTCGAAAGAGAAAAAGATGCCGAATACTTCAAGTAGCCGCAATGGCAGGAACCATCATAGAGTTCCGGCTGGGAGATAGGTGCGGGTAAATCAGGAAGATCATTGGAAGAGTCGGTAGACATATTCCTGTTTCCAAGGGTGGTAAAAGCAAAGTTGAATCGGCTTGTGGAGATTTGAAGTAATCGGCTACTCTGCAAAGAAAAATAACAAGTCAGAACACAGATGAAAAAGCTAACGATATAAGAACAAGTTACATTCTGAGAAAAGAATCTTCGAGAAATACGGCTGCAGGAAGCCATTGAGAAGCTAAGAAAGCCAAGCGTGAAGAAGGTCACAAGAGGCACTCTCTCAAATTGTAATGAGAGAAGATCAAAGGGGAAAAAGACCTCTATTGAAGGATGATATACTTTAATAAGAGCAGAAAGAACTTTCTCCTTTATAGTAGACAGGAAGCAATCAATGTGGAGCAGTGGAATGATGAAATGATGAAATGGATTTTTATTGCTTGCTTGGTGGAGTCTGATGCAAATACTGGGGTGGGCAGCAATGGCTTTACCAACAATCAATGGGAAGTTGATATTGCGGGGAACATACAACACAAGCAAATTATTACCTTATTGGAAATTGGTTCCGCCCTTTCGTTACCGTTCCGGTCCGATGGCAAAGAATGGCTTACTGCCCTATTTAGTAGCTATTGGATATCTATCTAGCCCTAGTGCGACTTGTATTAGGTTAAAGAGATTTGAAAGAAAGAATTACTGCATGTTCCGTTCACATTATCGTTTAGATTGGCTGATTATCTGACCCGTCACGCCTCTTGGATTGTTTCATTGCCAGCCTATCGAATTGCTGGATTACTAAATAATCCATTCACTATCTATTACCAATAACGAACTTTAAATCCCTAGACCTTGGGTTGCAATATGTCGTCACTCTTGATCTCAGTGTCCTGTTTGCTCGGTGACGCCATTTTGTCTTAGCCGCGGTCTGTGTATCCTTTTGGTAAAATCTCAGCTTCCTTTCCGTAGAAACCATCTATAAAGGGGATAATTTCTCCCCGTGGAATCTCTTGTACCAAGAACACATCCAGATTACTCTTCAACTAGTACGAAAGAAAAAAGAAGTGAGTACATAGTCGCCCAATAAATTTTGTTAAATGCTGACCGGATTTTACAGTAGCAATTTCAACTTTACGACAATTCATCCGACTGTCCTAAATTGGCAACAAAGACAACAATGGCAAACAAACAGGCTCATGAGATCATTGTCGTCTATTTCAAGGATGGCATCGATTATAAGGAGCAGCTTGAGACTATGAAGCAGATCGGAATCAACTCTTCAAAGACTGAAGGATTTTTTTCCCGGGAGATCTTTCATTGCGAGCCCGATAATCGTTGGGTTGACTATTTCATTTGGCGCGATATGGCAGCAGCAGATGAGTCAATCGAAAACTCCAAAAAGATACCCGGCGCTGCCGAACTGTTCGCCAAGATCGATCAAGAAAAGAGCGTCTGGTCGCGTTATTACAAGGTGTCCGACAAATAAGGTGCTTATATCTTTGTTGTCTGTGCATCAATAGTGTAAGGCTGGGCATTCTTCCTTCAACGGCGGGTGGTCAACTGATCCTCCTGGCTATGCACAAGCATGTATGAGGGAGATTGTGGTGAAGAGAAGACCGATAGAGATGATAAATAGAGCGAATAAATGAGTTGGAGATACGTCTTTGTAACTTGCTGCCAACAACACCGAGGTCGGGCATGACCTTTGCTGAGCTGTTTTAGTCTTCAGATGCAACTTTATTTGGTTCAGAGCTAGCGAGTACTTCAAAATAATATATACAGTAGCTAGGTATAATTATAGACAAAATGTCAATTGGCCCAAAGCAATTGTTCATTGTTCAAGTAGCCGCAGCTGCGGTTCATGCCTGACAAATTCCGGCGTTGACGCAGTCTCTATATGCTGTGTACAGATAAACGGCGAATGCCTGGCCTTCAGGTGACCCAGCAGTATACTTAGTTCTGTCATGCCAGTTATATGGGTTAACAGCCGGCGAGAAAAGGCCACCGCTGTTCTGCTTCTGTGCTAGAGACTTTCTATTTGAGTCGGCCCAGGTGATGTAGGATTGCGGAAACATATTAGGGTCGTTAACGGCCATTCGATACGCCACAGCACTTAGAACTGCAGTTCCGGAAATTTCGCCAAACCAACTGGAATCATTAAGGTAATTGCGCAATAAGCCGCCGTCTAAGCTCGATTGAATCGCACCGTCCAGGATCTCTTTGATCCATCCCTTGAGTTGGTTGGCTTGCGAAGTCATTGAGGCCGAGCCACTCCACTTCTGGAGTGTGTGCAGCACTCGCACCATACCATAGCCGGCCCAGCCGTTGCTTGTTGACCAAAGGCCCGTGTCTTGGGATTGGGGACCGATGATGTGTTGCCAGCTGAGACTACTGCCTTTCAGAACAGCGCGTTGCAGGCCGCACTGTTGGACCGTAAGAGACATCAATGAGGTGTCATTATGCTGAACGGCAAGATAAGCCACTAGAGACAGGCAAATTATATTAGTTGCGCCTTCTTTATGTTCAAGTAATAAGGTAAACGACGTACAGAATGGGAAAGACATGGCCATATTGTCAGCCCACAGCTCGGCAACATCTGGTCGATGGGAAATCGCACCGTTACTCCATCGCGGGGCAACGTTGAGGAGAAAGTCAGACTCTCGGTTAGCGGCGCCGATGTAGACACTGTCCGACTGGCCAAGGAGAATCGCTGAAACACCCAGCGATGCCGGATCGCCGACCGCGGTATCATTGACAAGTGTTTGCGAATTGCGGTTTATGAACTGCTTCGCATATGCAAGGGCGGCGGTGCTAGGGTCGGCCTGAGGAACTTTGCCATTGGGGAAAGGATTGGATCCAAAGACAGACAGCTCAGGGTTATACAGCTCTAGAAGAGCTTCTGCGGCTGTTCCCCATTCCCAGGAATGAGAGGACTTGTCAACCATCACCTGGGACGCTGCGTAGGCATCAAAGCCGGCGTCGACATCATTGACGGCATTGGCGGCCTTGGGAAGGGCAAAAAGTAGGAGTGAAAGGAGACCCGGATTGACGGACGGCATCTTGACTCTGGTCATGCTTTGTCTTTTTCCGGGTAAAATTTTCTGAACGGGCGAAAGAATGTATTATAATATTTTCAGGTGCCATGTCAGATTAGAAATTGAGGTTGATTTTCAGGAGATTTGTCTAAAAGTGGAAGGTATCATTTAGGCCTATGGAGGCCATCAGTTCACTGTCAGACTGCATGTAAGCGTCTTCGCATGGATTTCTGGGGCCGCAAGATTCGTTTGACCAACTACAGAGGGTTGCTGATTGAAGTTTCGTACCGGAAGCTGTAAAATGGGAAGCTGGCGAATTGGATTTGTATGGAAAAATTACTATGTATGTGGATAACCAACCTAACGCCTGATCAGCAGGGGTCTATCTGGTCCGTAGCTTGAATCTACCTGATCCGTAGTGCTCAAGGTGAATGAATGCACTTCTCACTTTTTCCGAGGACTATAAGAGCGTTGCTAAGCAACATGGCGTTTCCTTATGTATACAAACCAGTCTAATAGGCATAAGGTAGTTATAGTTATGCTTCATTCCTTCTGTGTCCTCTCTTCCGCGAGCCTCCGTTCAACCGCATCCAGATGCTTGAAAGCCCCATCAAAAAGAAGAAAATTCTCCATAGTCAGGCACGGTGTGTAACAATATGCGGAGGGAGTCTTATTCTAGTACAGTGGGTACATGGTGGGTTATCTCGTATAGCCTCTTTCCCTTGCCATTAACCACCTCCATTGATGCTCGCCGGTCTGCCTTGGCCTTCAAATTGGCGTCTCACCGCTTGGTATTATGAACAAATTAGCTGTAAAAACGACGCTGAGATCCTGTTGAGGCTGGCCAGTGCCATAATACGTAGTCAAGACGATGAAAGAGAAAATTTGTTGACCAAGCAAATATATGCAGCATTTGCCACCAATCTATATATCCTTTGTGATATATATACTATTCCATATTCATTTCTTGTCATATTGACTTAAGAAGATCTTGTACAAGCTGTCATAGCCAACCATGATGTACCGTGTTATCCTATACTCATGGTGAAAAGACAAAGGACATTACCCACAATATATGGAGTAGGCCTCTGGTGTCATGATCAAGTGCTTTACTTTTCCTCACTGTCGAATTAACTCGATCTACTCCCCAGCTTATTTACAGGGGTTTATGGCACACGCATTTCGTCTTATTCTCACATACTCTCCCTCGCAGGAAACAAGTCTATATAAGTTCTCGCCTCAGTTTCTCTAGCACATACGACCATAGGTAGCGGAAAACTCGGGGTCCCGTCTGCTCCCCCATAGATAAGCCGCTAACCGGCAGATTAGTAGTCAGGTGGGTGACCACTGGCGAACACCGGCTGTTGTATGTTTTTTTCTTTTTTCTTTTGGCTTTTGTTGTCTTTTTCAGGTGGTGAATTGTGACCCTGGTTGATGTGATCTGTTTGTGATCCTGGGCTGATTATTAGCGTGGGAAACTTTATCGCCATAGGCTGAATCCTTAGCGGGCATTTCCTTTTTAATCATAACCTACTTTCTATATACGCTGGTCTGCAAACCCTTTGCAAGTCAAGCGTCATCAGGGAATGTTTGCCATTTGCATACCTAGACAAGAATTGCAGTACAGCATTCTTAATATGATCAACCGCTTTCAAAATCCGTTATCTGGATCTTCTATGGCTCTTTAGTATCCCCTTGTGACATACTGTTTTGTTCATAGGAATGGGCTAGCTACAACACTCTCTTAACGTGAGAGAATACATAGACTTGGTACTAGATAAGATATGACAAGATCACACTATTGGAGCATTAGCATTAGCATCTAGCCAGAGTACATGTAGGTTGGCGAAACATTCTTGCTTTCATTTGCTATCAAAAAGAATACCAGGAACGACGCATGTTGATGTATGTCTGACCTCTCAGATGCGAATTTGTACCCTAAGCCCTGATTAAATGAAGCCTGAAACCCTATTGGCAATTGCTTTGGCTCTACCTATCGAAATAAACAAGGCTACTTTCAAAACTCGGAACTTGAGTCCGAATCCTCGCTGTGAAAGTCCAAGTCTATGTCACTGGAAACCTCATTCCCCGGAGCCACTGCGTCAAGGTCATCGTCCACTACAGCTTCCATCTCCTCGCGCAATCTTGAACCATCTGCCAAAGTCAAGTCGGTTTCCACGTCGCCAGGATCTACCACAGATTCTCTGCGCTGCGCCAATATTGTCAGTTTATAGAGAGGCCCTATCTCTTCAAAAGAATGACCTGAATCGTGGATGTCATCACGATGGCCGAAGCATTTGAAGCAAAAGGAAATTTGACCAGCGCATTGTTGACATTCCCAGCGAATCCCCAGTATTTGCTATTAGTCATTAGTATACTTAACTTTGCAGGCGTATCAACAATCAACATTAACACTTACCGTCAAGCAACTCTCACAATTAATCTCCTTCTGATCCCCCGGCAAGCTTTCGTGGAGGGAGTCGTTCCATTCCTCGGTACCACCATCTGAGTTGACTCTTGTACTTTCCTTGGGCGTGAGTTGCTCATACCACAAAGAACTCCTATCAGAGAAACGAGCCAGCTTTAACGCCGACCACGTGTCCTCTGGCTTGGAGTCTTCAACTCGCCTTCGACCTCGGATCCATACGTCAGCACCTCTTTCACACAACGGGACCATACCGTAAAGGGCGCCCGTCCGACTTGCCCATAGCAGCGGGGTCCAATTGTCATCGTCTGTCGCGTTCACGTCGATATCTTCGAACCGGCCTAGCAAATATTCGAGGGTGTCCTCAAATCTTACTGAAGCCGCAAAATGAATTGGCAAGCGACCAAGCTTATCTCGTACATCGATATCCGCACCTGCTCCAACAAGAGCAGAGAGGCCGTCTTTCCATAAAGACGCTGCTGCAATGTGCACTGCACGACGCCCCTGATCGTCGGCTACATCAAGTCTCGCCTTACGCCGGATGAGCAATTTGAGCGCCTTGAATCCAGCACTGTCGGGTCCACGTGCCCTATGAGCGGCTCGGATGATAGGATATTTGAATTGTCCACCTGGTTGGTCAAGCGGAACCTTGACCTCATCAACGAGATAACGCACCATCTGGCTGCATGCCGTCTCGTCATCTATATGGAGTGCCGTGTAGAGAAGCGACCTGCCATTTCCCGGCTCTATTACCTCGGGATCAGCACCCTCCTGTATAAGCAGTTTGACAAAATTCAAGGAACCTTGTGCACAAGCTAGGTGCAAAATGCTACTCGTACGAGAGGCTCCGCACTCGATGAGGTACTTGGCCGCTGCTTCGTTACCCCTTTGGACGGCGACGGCCAAGGGAGTATATCCATCCCGATTCTTACTGTCCACTGGCACCCCGGCTTTGACCAGAAGCTGTAGCACAGATATGAGCGTCTTCTTTTCAATCTGATGCAATAGTGTATTTCCTTGTTTGTCCAACTTTTGCGCTGCCGATCTTTTATAAGGTCCAGATAGGAACATTCGGAGACATCGTTCAGCTTTTTCGAGATCCCCCACACGCATGAGTATATCGATAGCCTCGATATCATCTTTACCACGGAAGTAAGGATCCGCACCGGCCTTCAACAAGAGCTCCACACACTCGGGCTCATAATTCTGGCAGGCAATTAATAAAGCGGTTAGACCAAGCTCATCTCGAATGATGTATCCTGAATCCGCTTTCTCCGAAAAGATATCAGCGGCCCCGTATACGAGGTCCAGGCTAGGCTTAGGATCCGATTCCAGCAAGACTTTCATCGTCTTTGAGAGGCCCCATCGTGCAGCCATATGAAGAGTGCTTCCATATATACACTGATGATCACGATCAAGGCCTCTGTGAAGTAGCTCAGGAATCACCTCTGGAGTATCGTAAGCGCCATTGAGAATACTCCACCCTAAATTTGTCTTCCAATCTAGATCGACATCTCGTTTCAACAATAACGTTGCAACGTCTACGTTGCCTGCATAGATGGCTTGAAATAAAGGTGACTCCATGGACCCGTCTTTTTTTATCTCATTGATGTTGGCCCCTTTCTCTAGGAGCAAGCTCACGGTTTCAACGCTGCCTTTCTTAGCCGCCATTGTTAAAGGCGTTTCAAAGGCATTGACAGACGCACCATGTTCTATCAGCAGCGGAACAAGGTGGACATTGTCCGATTCAATGGCTTCAAGAAGGAGCTGCTTAGCGCTTAGAGCGTTGTTTGGCGGAATTGGACCATTCTCAAGCAGCATGCACGTAATGTGTGTGTGGCTGCTCGAACTAATACTGAGAGACACATCTTCTGGGACTGTGCTAGTTTGAGCATTTTGACGGGCAACGCTTGCATCCAGCAGCAAACGAGTGCATTCTAGGTAGCCAAAATCCACTGCCGAAAGCAAGGGCAGCCGTACGTATATAGTCTCTGCATCACCCTCCTCGTCGCTCTCAAAGTCCGCATTGGCCGCCAGAAGGCGCTTCAGCGTCTTATACTTGCCCTGATTAATGGCTTTGTAGACAGGTCCGACGCCTCTTTTGTTTTTGTAGTGAATGTTCGCACCTGCTCGAAGAAGGATGTCGACCATGTGCGGCTCCCCCACCTGTGAGGCAATCAATAACGCATCGTCGCCGTCATCAGCGCATATTGAGAGGTCAATTTTGGCATCAGAATTTACCAGAAACTCCACAGTGGATGTTTGATTCCACCATGCCGCCGCTACTATGGGGGGTGAACTCCACAAAGGACCTAGCTCGTTCATGTTATAGCCGGCTTGTATGAGAGCTGCGAGAATGTTGTCTAGTCCAGCTGCAGCAGCTTGATACGAGATATGTTCTGGCCACTGGAAGGTACTGAGATTTGGTATATGCTCAAGGAGAATGTCTGCCACGCCATCTCTCCCATAAGCTGCAGCCCAAAATAAGGAGTTTTTGAGCTCGCTTTCATTCACAGGAAGCTGGTCAAGCAATCGCTGAACGATAGCTTTATTTCCCACTCTTGATGCCTCTGTGACGGCATACCAGCAGTCCTCGAAGAACCCGTGCTCGTTTCTGTTGGACTCCAAATACTCATCAATCAGATCTTCGAAACCTAGCCTGGCGAACATTGGCAGCGAAGACACGTAGCTTCTGTTGATCCGGGTGAGTGGATTGGAGAAGAAAAAGAAAGGCACCTCCCAGGCGGCTCGAGTTGCGCGAACGGAAAACAGGTCATGTACTAAATTTCTGGGCTTAAATTTGCCACTGGAATTATAATGCTGGGGCCAAAACCGCACCGCATATTCAGCCATGCTGTCTCGCTGGTGAGCAATGGCGGTTGCATCAAGCAAGGAGGTCCATGGACCACCGTCGAGGATTTCAGGGAAGAGCAATAACTTCTCCTGTGTGCCTTTAAGCTGAAAATATCGTAAACAAGCTGTGGTAATCTCGCCATTTACTCTGTCTCTCTCTTCATCGTCTTTTTGTGTCGTTCCGTCAATGCAAACATTGTAGAATGACGAGTGGCTAAACTTGATATCGCGGTTCAAGATGACGATAATTCCACCAAATGCCTGTTCAATGCTGAGAGCAAGATCACTAGGATGAACATCATCAATATATGGCTCTTTTTCGACAGCTATTTCTTCAGACAGTTGCTGATGGACGGTAAGCGCCTCGCTTAATGACTCTGCAGTCCACGGTTCCGCTGCGTATTTGATCCAGTTATATATATTTTTCATCATTGACTGATCTTCATTTCTCAACGAGGAAACAAAGACCCTCACTGTATTTTCCACAGTGACAGGCGAGAGCTGCTTTATAAGCTGAGCAATCTCAGACTTTGAAGCTCCACGACGGTAATTGCTCAGCCATCTTAGGATGATGAACCCAAGATATGGCATATCGCTGCACTGTTCAAGTAGTGCCTCTAGTTGTAACTGGGCCATTTCATAAATGGGACGTCTCGATATTAGATCAAATAGATCAGATCGAAGTTCATCAGTCAACGTTGTTTTGATGGTTGGATGATTGGCTGCTGGGCATTCCTGCAGATTAATGCGCCTATCTTCGGGTAACGATTCGATCCCTAAACCATCTCTACTAGAGGTAGATAGGATGAAACTAGGGCTCTGTTCAGTATAACTTTGAAAGAGCAAGATGCGCTGTAAAAACCACTTGCGCTCTTCTTCGGGGCACTGGTCAAAGCAACCAATGAAGAACGTGAGCTTTGAGACACTGTTGCCAAGAAAATGAACAATATAAAAATGCCAGATGGTCTCCAATGACCAGTATTTGGTGTCTCTTACGGGGGTTTCCAGGTATTCGAACCAAAGGTTGAGTGGCCAGAGGCGCCAGGACATAACGTTTATAAAATATAACAGCATAGACGAAATGTTGTTGTATCTCGAATCCCATCGATCGAACTCAAAATAAATGACACTTCTAACAAGCGTTCGAGACCCATCATTAGCGATGACTCGCGAGTTATCATAATTAGTGTAAAGGCGTCGAGAAATTTCACGAATGTCAATACGATGGCTCCCATCTCCATGCAAATGGATGATTTCAGGGCGGCTGTATGTCTTGTTGAGCTCTGCAAATAACTTTTGTTCCATGATCCAACATACTGTTGCATTTTGAGGCATCATTGGATCATATGATATATCGAATTGCCGTGTCGGAGGAGCAAGCGATAGGAAACATGCTTGTAGCGGAAGAATCTGATGATTGAGTTTGATGGCTGATGCATTGGGCACAAAGTGTTAGAAAGGCAAATTGTGGGTTTGTTTCAAACATCTGAATCATGAAGAAGAGGGACTCACGGGAGTCATCTACGTTGAACATATTGAGGATTGGTGTAACCCAGGTTTCGTCTGGCCCGTCTCCCCTGACTAGATGTAGATGATCTATATTATTTAGACCATATCTGCCCACTGATTCGAATGGGTGTCCAATCCCGTGCCCGAAGCGCGAGAAAGGAGTAGCCGGGGCAGGCATGTCTAGAACCTCTAGATTATTCTTCATGCTTCTTGTGTGGGTCACTTCGTCCTTAAATGATCGTTGGTTCCTGGCGTCGTGGATATTTTGAGCGAAGATGTTGAAAATCGTAACCCGAGAGAATAATTTGGTGTTTAGAAATGTTTGATTAGCTCTCTCTACCTGACCAGCAAGCATCTTGACCTTTTTAAGTAACTGGGCCCTGATAGCAGGGCCTTGAAGCAGGATAAGTGCAAGGAGTTGGTCCTCAAGGTCCTCAAAGGAATGGAATTGATGAGGAGAGCCAAGGAACACCTATTCAAGATGATCAATACCATACTCCATTAAAAAAAAAAAAAAGTCCCTAAAGAAAAAAGACTCTCGATTCCTAGACTTACAATAGCTGTAGTTAACATTGCTATCCTTCCAAACCTGTCGGGACGGGCCAACGCCATGGAAAGAGCCTGGAATTCTTAGTGAACAGTACCTTGGGTAGAAGATCGGTTTACCAATACTTCTTTCACGATTGTACCGCCAAGATCGTGGCAGACCCAGATTATCGGGCGGTCCCTCTCAGTCTATCAATTTTCTTGTCAGAGCCGCTGACGTGAGTAGTTTTGTATTGTCGTAAACCTACATCTTCGAGCTCCCTACGAACCTTCGCGTATGCAGTAATAAGCCGTTGGGCATGCAATCGCAGACCATCAGTTTCGTACAAGTCTGAATCTTCATGAATCTCATATGAATAATCAATTTGCCTAGCCGACAGATCATGGAATAGTTTGTTTTTTATCCACCATGAGCCTTCTCTGTCTATCCAGGCAGTCGTATAATCGTCGCGTATACCATGAACCGTGATAACGCTATTGTTCCACAGTGAGTCCTCTAATCTTCTAACTTATATTCAGAATTTACACATACTCATAATCGTCATAATTGGAACCAGACCAGCCAAGGTTTCGGACAATGCTCAGTCCAAGCTTCCGTTCCTCCAAATCGATTTGTGGCTCCGTCGGTGGGTTGAAGATCTGATCTGTTGTCGTCTTTATACTTACAGCATCGATAGCGTCGTCTTGAACTTCATTTCTCATCCTTTCAGAGTCGGCCTCCAACTCCTGGGAGACCTCTTGTAGGGGAAGTGCCAAGTTTGGTTTCTCAATTAAAGCTGGCTCTTCACCTGAACTAGGCGCTCCTTCAATCATTTCTTCTGTCATGAATATTTTCAGGATGCTGCATTAGGCCCTCTTCTGCTTGCATAGAGCGAGTTTTCAGAAAGATTTGGTGACTGGTAGGAGGAACACTGCGGGGTTGCTGCATTTCTCCCCTCACACGCATCCTTGTATGTATTTATTTGGCGTAACCAGTCTTAATTGATCGAACTGCCCACGGAGTACAAATAGCAATAGCCAATTGCTACCTGTGCAGCCATGCAGCATCATAATAATCGCTCATGGGGTGGTGGCAAGAGGCTCTTTCACCATTTCAGAATGTAACCGGTCTTAGGTAACAGTGGTGCTGGTAACTCGCCCAGTATTAATACCACTATTCTACTGCTGCTCACTAACATTAAGTATGAGTAAATCTAAAGCAGATACAGTATACGCCCTATTGCAGCGTATTTTCCCCATTCGTAATGACAGGTTTAAAGGTCACATCGCCGAGCTCGTTAAGATCTATACTTCCCAGCGTTTCATCGCCATAAGCCACTTTCTTGTTTGGGCGCGTCCCCTTGTCATGAAAATCTGGTTGAAAAACAATTGGGTCATCTTTAGGGATTTTCTTAAAGAAGCTCTCGGCCGCCGTCCTTATATCCGTCTTGCATGATAATCCTAGTCGACAAGTAAATTTCTTCTCCTCCAGTCTCGAGATAAGAACAGCCACTTTCAAAGAAGCCGGGATACCTGCAGGCTGTGATTTATTTTCTGAGAGGATCCATTTTGCGATGCGATTTGGTGGCCTGTTGTTGACGACACGTTTCCCGCCGCTCAGTGTGATGGCGTCTGAGGTTTGCCTACTGATTACTTTCTCCCACTTTCCGCTTAGGCTAAAGCTGGCCAGCTGGTTAATGCCAATGCCAGCATCGCCTCCCATAGTGAGGCTTTCTTGTTGTGTTGTTGGCATCAAGCTGTATGTACCGTCGAATGAGATCCGCTCAACTTCAACATCATTACCATCTCCCGAATCTGCTTCAAACAAAAGCTCAATAGAAGCCTCCGAAATACGGCGTTTATTGCTCGACTGAAAGAACCACTGTAGAACAACCAGGGTTGCGTATCGCTCGCTGTCTGCTGACATTGCCCCGTGGATCACCTTTTCAAGTCTACAGGTAATATCGATGGCACCTGTTCGCTGAAGAACCTCAGCGCGATGATATTGGTTTGGAGCGACATTGAAGATGTGAAACCCGCTTCCTTCTTCTCCTCCAGCTTCATACATGCCCAACTTCATGGTTTCAATGGCATCTTCATTATCAGGCGTACAGTTTTGTTCCATTTCAAGCATGTTGAACAAGGTAGGAGATCATAGAATAGGACTAAAGGTAGTGGCAAGAGAAAGTTAAAGATGAAAGCCTCAGCCGACTCTCAAACTGTTTGACGTAAGAATGTGAAAGGGATGCCTTAAATGTAGATTCGGTTTGAGGCTCTGTCCCGAACCCCGCCCGTTTGCCTGTTTCGGGTTTGAAGATACAGGGCCCTCCAGCCGGAGAACAATATTCTTTAAACACTCGTGGAACGCGGTCCGCTATAACAAATTGCGTGAATATTTCAGCAGCTCAATGGGTCACACGCCTTATTCATGTCTCCATGTACACCGTACACTGTGTGCTTCGTCAACTTTGGATTACGATAAGAGTGAAGGGGTTATTGCTACGTGCCCAGTAATTGGTCGCCTAACAACTTTCCCCCTCATTCTAATACTAGATACTCTCTCACCTTCATCACATGTTTATTTTGGATGCGTTCTTTTTTTTTTTAAAAAAGAAACTCGATATACATACGGTTTTAATTTGTTGGTTCCAACATTTCAATGAATCCTACAGCACCCGATATGGCGGATTCGGATTCTGACTCTGACTCTGACGGCTCAGTCAACTATGACAATGAAAATGAACAAGGTGTGGGCAGTTATGTCGACAGCAAAGATGTCAAAAGTTTCGAGGAACAATACAAGGCAGCAGTCAAGGCAATAAAAACAACAACAAACGACAGAGAAATCGATGTTGATAGGTTTCTTTCTGCGCACGGCGCCGTTGCTGGCCAGTCCGCTGGCCATGGCTCAGAGAATCTATTGCACGCTATAGTAGATATGATCAAACGCGACGACATGAAATCAGAACATGTGAGATGTCTTGTTCAGCGACTAGTCGAGGATTATCCGAAGCTTCTGCTGCATCAAAGCAACGACGGATACAACCCATTACATATGGCAATTAGGGACTCCGCGTATCAACTTGCCGAGTATATGATCTCTGCCTGCATCAGCAGCAAGAATACAGATGCAACTAGACCGTCTGCTAAGCAAAACCTTGAAATAACGCTCCTACAGACCGCGCAGGGCGGAAGAACAACTCTACATGCTGCTTTCTTAGGCAACTTGAACCTCAGCACGGCTAAGTTATTGATAGAGAATGCTAGTGACGACGCTTTGGAAGCTCAAGACGATAAAAATAATACGCCGATGCACTACGCGGCATCGTTCAAGCAATGCACTGACGCTGGCGCTGAAATCATAGCTCTGCTTATTGCCCGAGATTTGGAGGCTCTTCGCCGAAAAAAATCATCCGGGGCAACCTTTCTCGACTTGGCAAACGCCGAAGGACGCTCCGTCTATGAAGAACTTCAATTTTCAAGACAAAACGAAATTAGGCGACAACGAGCGAGGAAGAAGCAGCGCACTCCGAACCAAATACCTGATCAATCGGTCAGTACTGCTCGCCCCGCAAGTAACATACCACCCAAATATCCCAAAGCAGACAGCAAAGCGCAAATCAGCGTGCAAGTCAGCGCAAGAGATGCTGCGCCCCTGTTGGATTATAGTATTAAAGAGGCAAAATTAGACGACCGCGAAAGGGAGCGACAGCAAAAAAAGAAAGAGGAGGCTGAGAGGTTAAAAGCAGAGGCAGAAGCCCTCGCACGAAAGAGCCGTGTTGACTTCGTAAAAGGCCAAGGCACTACTGGCCGTGACGCCAGTAGGCACTCTCAGTCTCAGACGAACGATATAGAGAGTCAAATTCTTACAGTGCCATCCACTTTGGATGATGGAAGGAAGACGATCAAGTCAGTCGAGTCGTTAGCTAATACGTCTATCAAAAGAAGAGACACGGGTCGATTGGATGGCAAGCTAGAACAAGGTGGTCTTGCCGCTGAAGCTCCTCCTGTCGCCAGTAAATCCAATATCCAAGGCGACTTCAATGTGAAGCGAAAAGTCTCCAAGGAGATTCTCCTAAAATTGAAGTTACATTACATGAGAACTAGAACCTCCGAGATGGTCCTTGCTTTTCTTTATGGAGCAAATATGAATGGTGAGTTTCAATGGATGAAAATTGATGAATATGTAAACTGGTTAACTAGAATGAGTCTAGATGTCCAAATCAGCTTTGATTACGATCGTTTGCCAGCCAAGGTTGTGTGGAACGAGTTCGAGAAGCAGTTTGGCAGAGACAACAAATCCGGGTTCAAATTTGATAGAGTTTTACAATACGTAACTTTTCCCCAAGTGGAAGTCACCGTCAAGGGCCGTCTTATGGACCGGCAGATGGGAGCAGACAAAAGTCAACAGGAGCATCTTGGCCGTAAAGACATGGTGCACTTCTTTAACTGGCTTTATGAGAAGGGGGTTCGTCACATCATTAGAGTAACCGTCAATGACTCTGGCGATCCAGGAGAAAAGATTCACACAGACCAGTCAATTCAACAATGCCTTGAGCGCTTTGTTGTGGAATCCCTTGACTGGCAAAAGACAGACTTGGACCCAGAGACAATCCTCAGAGTCAGCGCGAGGAGCTTAGAGAAGGCTGCACCGACAAGTGAAGATCCAAAGAATGTGGAGCTTCTCCCTGATAGGCAATTGAGAGAACTACGGCTTAGATGGAGTGGGAATAATGCTGTACTTCGGGCATGGAGCGAGCCAGAAGGCTTGCCAATGCTGCCTCGATTAGAAAGTGTCCATCTTCTGACTCCGCCGGCTAGCAAAGTATGAAACCCCTTAGAGAGGTGGCCCCAGACTTCAAACGAGAGGCAACTTGCTAATGATAGGGACTAGATGTTTGATGATCCTCAGTGGGTTAAACAAAAGGTCGAAGAGTTTCGAGTGAGACTCAACAAGAACTTTAGAAAAGCTCGAGATGAAGATCTAAAATTGGGACAAGAGGATGCTTTTCAGGCAACCAACGAAATAGAAGTATTGCTCGAAGCCATAGATATGGATGGTGGCTCCAAACTCACGGCTCGAGGTGTTTCGAATTTCACAACATCCACTTCTTTTAAGGGCCTCAACTCACATCGATGGTTGAACTCTACATCTAGATTTGCCGGCGAAATGAGGTCTTTTTGGAATAATACATTAGAGCAGTGGAATAACATTCCTAACAAGCTACTACGACCCGAAGACGACTTTGAAAGCGACGTTGTTGTTGCTTTGATCGACGACGGCGTCGATAGGTTGGATAACACCCTATCCGGTCAGGTTCTAGAAGGGAAAAGTTTCGATTATCACGATGGTCAGGTACGGCCGCCGTTTTCCTCGGCAAGGGGTCATGGGACGGTCATGGCCAGTATGATCCTGCGTGTATGCCCGATGGCCAAGATTTATCCTATACGACTCAAGACGTACGATGTGACCGGAGGCAAAAGCCAAATTGACCGAAAATACGCGGCGAAGGTAATCATACCCTGTCAACAGTAGCCAAGGGCCACGAACAACACTAACCTACCAAACTCTTCTTCCCCAGGCAATTGAAGCAGCACTTGCAAAAAATGCCACTATTATTTCTATGTCATGGACGCTGCCGAAATCATCGGCCGAGAATGAAACTAAAGATGAGCGTAAGTCGCCCTAATGAATGGATGCCGTATCCAATATGATTTAGCAACTAACTGTTCTTTTTCGTTTAGTCCACGAGATCCTAGAAGTGGCTGTCAAACGAAAAGTTATCATGTTCTGCTCATCGCCCGATGCAGGGAAGTTCACCGAACTCGATTACCCAAGCGGCCCCTGGCGCAGTCGTTTCTTTCGTATCGGCGCTGCTCGTGCTGATGGCACCGTTTTTGAATGGACAGCCGAGGACGGAATTTCCTTTGTCCTCCCCGGCGTCGACGTCGTCAAAGAGCAGGCGGGGAGGACCTCATCCGAGATGCAGTCGTTTGGCGTGACAAGTCGTGTAACCGACTTCAAGTACGAGACTGGTTCGAGTGTGGCTACGGCTCTGGCCGCCGGTTTGGCCGCCATGATTATTTACTGCGTCAAGGCCAGCATCATGGCCCTCAGGATCGCTAATCAGAACATGGATTCTGTGATAGGCATTGCGATTACCAACGGCGATTTGAAGAGGATATCCGAGCACGATGCCATGAAACAGGCCTTCTCCACCCTAGGCAGTGTAACGGCTAGCAGATTTATTCAGGTCTGGGAGAAGCTTGATGCCATCAGCGATAAATTGGAGGCTGCACAGTCCAAGGTACTCATGGATGATGAAAAAAGGGAACTCACACAGTCGTTTGTAAACTTTGCGTCGATGCTGCTCAACGGCAAGCAATCAGATGCGAATATGGGAGAGTATAATGGGCTCGGCATGTAGTGAACTGGATAGAAACCCAAATTTTCTAGTTTATAAACAAGCTACTACCAGTAACTAGGAGTTACAAAGGCAATCGATAGCAAATGTCGATTCTTGTATGCTTTCGTATTTTTTTCTGTATTCAACTTGACCATTTCAACCCAAGTATATCGGTAATAAAAGTACATATAACTATACTATACACATATAAGTCCTGAAGCGCTATTATTATTTATCATGTTACTAGGGTGGGCGTTGTTCAGCTCATCTACGATAGTCATACCACCTAGCTCAGAAGAAGACCATATGACATACCTATCCACAGACCATCTTCCCTCAGCGGGATTGGGTAATGGCTCGATGACAAGACTATGTGAGTCCATACTGGTAGGAATCAATTCTTTGCGTCCATCTTGTTACTAGCACTTCTAGTTATTATTTTGCGAGTTCTTGTATTGGGTACAGTAAATCTTCGCACTCAGCGTGGCAACTCCTGCATCATTTTACCTCTACCTCGGATAGCAGGACCCTTCCACAGTAGGATGATAGGAGCAAGCGTTAGGGTCAAAGCAACGAACCCGAGCAGACTACTGGCCCACTGGTACCCCAAGTCCTCGTACATGGCCTTTGTGGCCAAAGGCAAGAAAGCCGCGACCAAGTTCTCACCAAATGCAACAGCGGCGATGGCACTGGCAGCAAACCCGGCATACGAATGTGTAATGTAAATCGTGACAGCCGTCACAATCACCATGCTTGCGTAACCAATCAATAGCAGCGCTGAAGCAGTGACAACCCAATGGGTCTGGAAGATGCTCCAGCCATACATGAACAGGCCGCCGGATAATGCTATCGCTGTGCTCGGAATGGAGAGGTACAAGATGGATTCGGGAACTGGGTCGTGCTGCTCCGGGCTTACTTCCCCATCCCCGACACCAGGAATGTCATGCCTCGCGCTTCTCACGTATATGTGGTTCTGATAGAGGCAGGCCACAAAGCCAATTATCTCTCCGATGGCGATGGCGGATTGGACCAAGCCGCTGCTGTAGGAACTCCAACCATATGCCTGAGCGAACACGAGAGGGACCGACTGAGTCGAAATGAAGACGAGGCCGAACGCAAAAGAGGTCCATATTGTAAACGAGGTGATTGTTGGCTCAGCAACTAAGAGTTTGGCAGAGCGTGTAATGGTCTCTTTAAGCATTTTAATAGGATTCTCATCTTCAGACAATTTAGCCGGGGCAGCAGATTCGGTCTTTGACAAGACCTGCGCTTGAATGACGGAATCTCGGGTCTCCTCAGCCCAGAAAGCAACAAGAGGCAAGGTCGCTCCACATATGATGAGCTGAATCCAGAATATCCTAACACATCAAGTCAGAAACCGGCCAGGCGCAGAGTAAAAGGGTCAGGGATGGGCACGTATGAAGCCTGTGGATGCAAACTGACCATCGCCAATTCAGAGGCTCAAAAACAGCACCGAGCACGGGTCCCATGGTTACGCCCATGAGTAAGGCCAGGATATAAATAGTTAAAGGCAAGGCTCGCTCATGGTGATGGCGAAACACATTGGCTATGATGCCATCGGCCGCATTTTGCACAGTGCCGCCAAATGCGCCAGCAAGGACACGACTCACCACAAGGGTGGCGAAGTTCTCAGCCAGTGCCTGCGGAATGATGAAGATGGTGAAGAGTATATAGCACGCCTGCATCATGTGTCAGAACAGTGAGGCAACGCATATCAAGCTGATAGCAGGGGGCCGAACACATGTAGTGTCTCTAGATCAGTTGTCATACCAAATATCCTGTCCTAGTACCGTATGTGTCCATGAGCGGAAGCGTGACGAGAGGTACAAACGCGGCAGCGGCGTTCCACGCCACGACAGCGAAGAAGTTAACCTCGATTCGATGATCCGGGAGGTGGAATTGGTGAGAGATGACTTCGGCGGCAGTGGTGATGGATGTCGCATTGAGGCCGGTGATGAAAGTTACCCAGCACGCCACGGTGATGGTCGTCCATTTTCGGTGCCGGGTCCAGTTAAACGGGTTCCTGGCATCTTGATCCCAGTCGAAATGGGACTGAGGTATGGAAATCATGTCCGTTGCGAGTCTTAAACCAAGCCATCCGCCATCCTCACGGATTTCGCTTGACAAGATCTGTACGTGTGATATTCCTCAAAGCTGAAGAAGAACGAAAGGATTCAATCTTCTAGACAGATTCCGAGGTTTACGCGAGCGGCGCAAAGCTTGTTTAAGAAGACAAGATTGTTATGCTTCTCCCACTAGGCTTCTCCGTGAGCCAACCGTCGGTTGTGGAGGTTATTCGTTAGTAACGCAAGGTATTGTGATAGTATTTCGATCACTCTTGGATCTGGGTGGCTGCCAACTGAGAGTAAGACCCGTTGAGTGAGCGGCAGTGTTAAAGTAAGACTGATGATGCAATGCCCTTCAAAGATGATAATATAGTTATGGAAATTAGAAGATCCTGGAAGCGGCTGACGCTGTATTTGATACGCTGTGTCTAAAGTCAGAATATATAAACGACGACTTTTACCATGACAAAAGCGATATGTGGAAGACATTTGAGATGCGCTGTATACGCTGTATACGCCGTATACGCCTGTGCCGCGGATTACATGGCTGATGATACTCCACTTGCTTTACGAAGGTTGGTCTAGGGAAGAGAGGCTCCTCTTCGATCGGGACCAGCCACACATTAGCAACTCACTAGCTCAACAGCTAGTGTTAGTCTTACTTCCAACCAGTTATCACCACCATGTTACTGGCAACTCCGTCATAAGCCAAGATCCAATGGCATCAGAGTCGCGCTCTCACATGGCGGACGATAGTCCAGATGGGCTATCCACGAGCCCCCGGGGTGCCCGAAAGCAGCGGATGCGGCGCAAAGTCTCGCGCACAAGAGCTGGCTGCATGACCTGTAAATCTCGAAGGAAGCGCTGTGATATGACCAGGCCATGCTGTGGAGACTGTACAAGACTGAACTTGGTAGGGGTCACATACCACCATTCAAGTGTCTCACTCACAGCCTCCCCAGGAATGCGAATGGCCTGCGGTGAAGAGAATCGGCAAGACCACGGACAGTACAGCGCGAACTTTGTCACCGCGTGTCGGGACAGTACATGTACCTGAAGAGCAGGGATTATCCTCCGGAGACACAAGTCATCCAGGATCCTCTGTTCCCGAGCCCAGCCCTGACAGCATTTCAACATCGACTTTGCATTCAGGCCGGTCTCATACTCGAGCCGACGCTGTGCCTCAAGATCTGTTCGGAGGCAATCCCTTCCCTCCCCAATTCAATCCCATCGACGATGTGAGTGAGAAAGTCCTTTTTTGAAGCCGCACCATGCCGAGACTAACATTGCAGGCCATCTTACAACTCTGGGCGGAGACCTGTGCCCCTTTCCTCTCTGATGACGCTGGTCAAGCTGTCTCCGGCGGCCATCGACTATCATATTTGCCCTTGCTAGCTACAACACATGTATCTGAGAGTGCGCCCGACGCCAACGATACAATCTCATTGATGCCAGGCGACTCCTCCAGCACATTGCCAGATGGCACCACTCAAGCCCAGATCCTACAATACTTCCGCGATCAGCTGGCTAGTCTTCTATCATATGACCAGGTCCTTTTCCCGAACGCTTTCCACGCCTTCAACGCTACAGCCTCTGCTAACATCGGAAATTCTGCTGGGAGAGCACTGCATTATGGCATCCTAGCTCTGGCATCAAGACACATGTTCAACAAGGGTCAACTATGCTACGAGCGAATTAGTGAACAACTTGGTGTCGAGGGTTCGGCAATCGTTCTGCAGAGATTGAAGGATATACCCAAGGTCGAGGAAATCGCCGAAGAAGAGTCGATCACTCTCCTCGCTGGGCTACTCATGTTTGTTATGTACAAGGTATGTCTTGAGCTCACCCTGTCGTGAGAATGCGTGCTCACGTCATGTCATAGATCTGCCGAGGCGATGTTTGGGGTTTCGAAAGCTACTTCACGCAGCTAAAGCGGCTGTGCGCGGCACTCTTCACCCTTGAACAAGCGCCGAAAGGCTTGAGTAACACCAAATTCTCTTTGTATGTCTTAACTTTCCGCTAGTTAACATACTGATCAGTTATATCAGCTTAGAAAACGTCATGTATCACGATATCTACGTAAGTCAGGCCATTCCCATGAGATTGAACAATGTTGAGATCAATCACATCTAGGGCTGCTCGTTGTACGCTCAGGGTCCCGCGGTTGACCCTGAAGTGTCGGCGGCATACACGAATACGCAAAGAGGAATCCCGCACGCTCTGACTGGATTGGCTCTTCCGTTATACTGCATCCTGCCGCGTATCGCGAAGCTGGTCAATCAGAGCTGGGCTCACGGTAATGCCAAATGGACTGATCAAGAACTGGTAGAGATTGTCAGCAAGGCGGAAAATCTCGAAGCAACTCTTGAGAAAGAGAGGATCTGGCTGGAGAATTTCGTCCGAGGTGTGTCCGTGGTTCCAGTTGCGGTTGTAATCTTACTAACTCCTTCGCCAGACCGACCGGACATGGCCAGTCATCGATATTTCCACGACGCCTTTCGCATAGCCTGCCTTCTACAAATTAAGTGCTTTATCCTTTGCCTGCCACCCGACGCTCTTTCTGTGCGTTTGCTGGTCCGCAATGCGCTTTCATTGCTCGAGACAATGGAGGTCTTGAATCTGCCTGGCTTCGTGTCATCTCATTGGATCATCTTCACAGCGTCGATCTGCTCAACATTGCCCAAGGACAATCGCCCAGACACTACTCCCACTAATCGCGGCGGGTCAAGGGAATCGAATGTCAGCGACAGACAGAGAGCTAGCAAGCTATATACGACTGCTATGTGAGTCCTGCCCCTGTCAGCGGTAGGCTATCATCTAATCCTCAGGTACTTCACAGTGATAAGCTAGCGTTTCTTAACATGTCTCGGTCAAGACAGATTGTGCAAAGGTTATGGGACCAGAACCAAGGTGGACGCCTTTCCGTCCACTGGCTCGATATATTGGCAGACTTTGACTGGGAGATAATTTTTGCTTGATATTTGTCGTGCTGGCACGGTGGAAAGCTTACACGACTATGATGACGAATTCAGAGAGTCAGTCTTGGCCTCCTGCTATCCGGTAGCAGCCCATGAGCTGTGGAAGTAATAGGTCTCTTCTTCTAATCCACACAGCCTCCAGTGCTCAAACGTGGCTCAACGCCTTGTTTATGGCCAGATACAGCACGTCCTTTACCAATATTTCCATTCTTGGCGAGTGATGTAAAACGTCCAGAGCTTGGTACATCCCATACTGTGACCAACAATGGGTTGTGTGGCACAGAAACTTCACATTACGCATATTAGCATCAATCTATGCGCTATTAATTTTCATATATGGTCGTATAATCCATCATCATGGCAATATCGTGAAATGAATACGCCAGCGTCTCCGCTGTCGCCGCAACAGGGTCTGACATGGCCAGGTCCAAGTCGACCATGAACGTCGCGCGGATTTCGCTCGAGTCCAGCTCCTGGCCTCTCTCCTGCAGATGTGCCATGACCCGCCGCGCCTCGTCACTTGATATGTCGCCACTACGCATCGCCATCGATAAAAGCCCCCCGGCGACGGCCTCAGCCACGCGATATGATGGTCGTAAGCCTTCGTAGCCATACAAGCAGAGCAGGAAATAGAAGAGCCAGTCATTTTCTCCCTTTGTTCGCAGCAGCGCGTTGGCCACGTAAAGCAGGGCTGTATGCCAGAGAATGGTGTAAGCCGAGGACGTGTAGTTGAAACGGTAGATGATGATGAGCCGCTTGAGCTGCTGGACCGACGCCGCAAATATTGCGTCCGGAGTGCTACCTGAAGAAGAGAAGGTCGCGACACGGAGCATCTTGGCACCGGGATTCTGGAGGAACGGCCGGAATATATCTAGGATGGCCGCGTGCAACCAAAGACTCCAATCAAGTCAGCAAGTCTCCGTCTCGTTCAAAGGCATAGCATGAAGCATCGCTATGTACGACGCCCTTCCATGCTTACTGAAGTATCACCACGTGGTGTGGATTCCGCTCGCTGCGAACCAGGTTCATGGGTAGGCCATCCGCCCAAGCCAAGAGTTCCCGAAACTTGTTCTCCGCAAAGTGCAGCGGCACACGCTCAGGGATTGCTGCTGAACCAGCGCCATAGTACACAGCAGCCACCTCGTGCATAATACGCCAAAACTGGCAAAGCGCACGAAATGTCTGACCAATAAATTGCGGCAATACCGACTGCATGTCTCCCAAGTCTTGTTCGGCTGCTCTCTCGTCGTCGCCGTCATCCGGTATGGCAAGGGTCGGGGGGGATTTGAGATATTCGATGCCCGGCTGGTGGTAGAATAAGCCCATGAGCCTGAGAGGGTTAGCTCGAATTTCAATTCATGACAACTATTCATTATGCACATACGTGATCCAGTTGAATACTCCCCATGCTGAATATGCAGTGGCTTTCGCCATCTCTGGTGTCAAATTATCCAAACGAGCATCACCAACATTCGGCTTCACTCCGAATAGCTCCAGCTGAGTTCCTATCTTTATAGCTTCAGACAGGTACTGCAGCACGGCGTGGTCTTTTCCTTGGACTAGATAACCAAAGCTCAAGAACTGGGCAGCAACCATGGTCAAGGCCGACGGCGCTGGTCGCTCTGACTTCCACAGCGTCTCAGCCTCTTCGCAAAAGGCATCTACCAAATTTAACGCCTCTGTATCAAGACTGCTGTACATTTGCTAGAGCCAAGTCAGCTATTCTGGACATTACCAAAGGGCATCAAAGCCACACCATTGGCACAATGGAAGAGCGCTCACACAGGCCCAGTACATAAGAGAATTGACAAGGAGCGAGGTGCAGTACTCTCCTTCCATAGTCACGAGAGTATGCGTAAACAGCTTTGAGTCGAAGGAGCTTAAGAGTGGGTGGTCCGTCGTAAGATACAGCGAGATGATGCGAGACGCAAAATCATCCGTGACTGTGACATTAGTCCACCGGTTTATTTTGAGGCCGCTCAGCTGTTCGTGTGGAGGCGTTTGCGGCGGGGATAATTGCGGCATCACTCTTTGAAATTGATTAGATGTTGGAAGATTGACTTGTATGCCCCTTTTACTCACCCGTTGTGCTGCACAAGCCTTTGCTGGATAGGATAACCTGACCTTCGCTCGCCATTATGTAAGCTAATGTCGCCTCCTCAAGCCAGAGCTCAATACGAACGTCATATCGGGTTCTTGAGAGTTGAGGGGAGCATACGGGATAAACGGACGAGGAAGATTGCCGCTAGACTCAACCAGCCGTCTGAAGGGGCTCTCGGGGGAGCTGATATCGATGGGAATGAGGATTGGATATACAAGCGGGTGTCGAGTCTCGAGCTCGATGTCTATATCACGCCTTTGCGCCGTGCCACTGATAGCTGCTATCGTGGACGGTTGTATCACTAACTTGGTGAATGCGTCCCGCAGACACGCCAGAATTGTAGGCGCATCCTTGATGTTTCTCAACGTCACCAAGAGCTTTGCTGCCTCTTGAGGTGGTACGGCATTAAGGATCTGTATAGCTTCGACGAGAACTTGCCCGCTGCTGTCGATTTTTATTTGTCTCGACTCTTTGCTTTCGTAGACGCATTCATCCGACCGTTCGTCGCATGCGGCGCAAGTAGGCTGCCTACCATCACACTATATCGAATGGCCTGGTCAGCTGAAGGAAACGCGTTGGTTTGATAGACGTTTAGTCTCGACAGCATCAGCTTGTGCAGAAGACGTAGGTGAACTTGCTCGCGTCTTTCTCCGCCGGCAGGTGTTGCACGCGATCACCACCCCGACTCTCTGACGCTTCTTTTCCAGATTGGCAGTCGAGGGGGCATCACCAGTCGGCAGTGCCGGCCGCAATGTTGCATACTTTCTCTTCGTCATACTGACTGGCTCATGGCTTCTCATCCGCTCAATTTCAAGCCTTGTCCCAGAAGTCACACCTCGGAGTTGACCCTTATCTTTGTTGGAAAGCTGTGTCTTTCAAGTTCCGTGCCAAATTGTGCCCACGGTGTCAGATTTCTGAAAGCTTACGGAACTGACACTAACGCGTACCCCTTTGGCCACCAAAAGGTGCCAGGGGCCATGTACATACTATACGTAACGGACAGTGGTGGTTTTACTTCGTGCCAGTCGCCCCATGTTCTTGAGAAGGGCGCTCATCAACCAATCATAATAGCCGATATCCGCCGGAGGAGCTCCGACGCCCCTAGCCAATAAAACTACGTGGCTAATGGTGGCAAAGACGATATAGCATCATAGCCAAGCAACCAAGGCACTGATTCCCCCATTATTCTTATGATTACAGATACTACCAGGCAGATAAGGTCGTAAAATCTGGTTATAGTGTTTCTTTTCGTTTCGTTAGCACGATGAGAATGCCTTTGGATCGTGGTGTTTCGTGAATCCGACCCGCCGATCAGTCCGTGCTTTGCTTGAATACCGCTCCGATCGCAGTGCCTGCATGATCAGGTCAGGTGTGCCGGCCTTAACCAGAGCTCCTACCCTCTCTACACAAGCACCTGTCCACTTTCAGAGACAAGAAAGTCGGAGAGGTGTGAAGGGTACGGACGATCGTAAAGGTACGGTCCACGAGTAACTATCATGATTTGATCAATGTGCGTTCTATTATCCCTTGAACAAATTCCAGTCTCAATTTAAAGCTATAGCACAGTATTTGCATAGTAGAATGCATAAGACCAGACAATAGCCTGCATATGTTGTTATATAAAACGTACCCAGAATATAGAGTAGTGACGTTAGCGATAAAATAAAGTTCGTAAGTACTCCGTAATGATCAGCAACATGTTAACAGCCGCTATAATCTAGCCCTTCGTAACGGTTGATCCCTTATAAACAGCTGGTTTCGTTACAGTAGTTGTTATAATTGCGATTATTAGCCTTACTCTTTGCCCTGTTGGCTTGACAGTATAATGGATCGTTATGACGGCTAACCCGACATTATATCAATAACGGAGACACACTATTTGTATTACATATGTATATATTATAATCTTATGGCACTGGGTAGAAATGAGGCAACTGAACGAAATTAAACAAGGGTGTATACAGTCAACATCCGGGCATTACATACTGTGTTCGGAAGATGCCTAGTAATCTTTACAGAGACATGCCGGGTGTATCCTTGAAATACATATTACTTTTGATGAATTGCGAAATAATTTTTCTTCCGCCACTGATGAGCCGATTGGGTGGAGAGAAAATGATTTGCATTTGTCAAGCAACTTCAATGGATAACTCCTTTCCTCTTACCCCACTAAGCCCTCTTTCCCGCTTTCATTGCGCAGCTCCGGCTACTAAAATTGATTATTCAATCCTCCCCTCCCTCCCCTTTTCAGTGACATCACAAATGTCTTCGATTTGAACAGTGAAGGTGACGTCTTTATAAGATTTTCTTGGTGCTTCAGTGGCATGGCCGCCATCACCAGATCCAAGGTTGGGGATTACAACGTCTCTCAAGGTAATCCTTCCCGTTCTCACTGCCAGCCTAGAGTAGAGTGTCCTACAGTCCTTTGGCAAGCTAACAGCGTGGCGATGAGCAAGGTCTTTAATAGACCAAAGGCTTTCGTTCGCCACGGGTAGAAATTCCCCAATGCTGTAAAGCAGCTGACAGGCCATCATCACTGGCTTTGACATACTCGGATCGGCGCCAAGCCTTACTACAACGGGGATAACTGCTGCTTGGCAAGCTTGCATAAGCCAATACTCATGACGAATCCCGTAAACGGCTCTATAAACCCAAAGGTTAGATATTACTGAGGCCCCATACGAGGCCTGGGTCGACTCTGCTGATTCATGTATCCAATCTTGGATATGGAAACGACAAAGGCAGCTCAAGAGTTTAAGGAGGGCCATTTCATATGTGACACTGATGAGGTAGTTAGCACTGTAGCCATTGAGTGCAGGGATGGCCCCCGGTGTTTGAACTTACTTGAGAAATAGAAGCGACGGCAGTAAACCATTATTCGTCAGAAATCCCCGTGAAGTGCAAGCGCCCCATCTCAGCAGCTTCTCGTAGATAGCCTTTGTCTCATCATAACTTTGAACAGGTGATTTGTGCTCCCTTGGTGCAAAGAACAAAGAAGCTTCTTGGATCAATTCAGCGAGTTGGCATTCGAGTGTGAAGACTTCCCGAAACAATGATGGCCGAGGCCAACAGTCGTCGGGATACGGCGACCATGAATTTTCTGGTGCATCGTGGCTTGCAAAAATGGATAAATAGGCGCTCTCGAAAGACCTGAGTATTTGTGGCCGTTTGATTCGCATCGCGCGCGAGAGGGATAAAGAAAGCTTTCTGTTTAAATTAGCTCTCATCACTTCACAAGCTGAAATGATTAACTTACGCTTCCAAGCAGAATATTGCCCAAATGATGCTGGAGATGATTTGCCATTCTGGCGCCAGCCGAGGATCCTGAGGGGCCTGTGCACCATCCGTTCGAGGTATTTCTATGTCGCTAAGTCCTAAATTACTGTGAACGTAATAAAACTCATCAAGAAGAGCCACTGCCTGTACCTTGTTCCCGTAATTAACTTCGTAAGTCCAAAGTAGAGCCAATCCTTGAACCAGAGTTATTGATAGATGTTGACGCTCCTTGGAAAGTATCCGAAGTGCTTCATCAGTAAATATACGACCATTGGAGCGCAACTCTTTGGTATGCGGCAGTGATGCTCCTTGAGAGATATAAAGCTATAAAGCTATTCATTAGCGAGCGAATGGCCCGAAAGGCTCCTGAGCCGCAACGTACATGAGAGACTGCGATAATAGAATGGACAAGAAAGCTTGAACAAAACTTCCTTGGCTCAGCAGGCCCCGCTTGGAGATCCTTCAAAAAGGTGCTTCGAACGACAATGTTGCTGAGTGTGTTGTCCCAGGTGGCAAAAAGATTTAGTAGATGCGTCAGATACCTGTCATCCACGGATAAAGAAGTCCATTGCGAGAGAGGCAAGATTCCATGGGGAAATTTGGCGACTATGTCGTCTGCAACGGCGAAAGGCTCTTGCGTCCTAGTGCCATTAGACTTGAATGCTTGATGTTCTCAAGGGGGGACGCACTTGGGCAAACGGCTGGCCACACTCGAAGGAGAATGGACTTGGAGATTTTCGGCAGGCAAGCTTGACAAGGCTAATGATGACAATAGTCAATTACCCAGTTAACCAGTTTCATGATTCACCCTGGGGGCACAGGTTACAGTCACAGCTTACTTGGTGGTAGCAAAGCATGGTTTAGCAATAGACTGGCATCGCTAAAAGACTCGACAAAGTCATTGATTGATGATGCCGCTTGGATATTGCGTAGAAGCTGAGCAGAGTGTGTCTCTGGGCCCTCTCGCAAAAGATCGAGGATCATCCGGAGCGAAGATTCGGTTTCAGAAACTGCTTGCAGTTTATGCGCCAACTCCTCTTGCCCTGCCCTATTTCTTGAAGCGGGGAAGTAACATTCTTTTCCCGAAAGAACACATTGTGAACACTCTGGGCGTCGGATATCGCACTGATTGATTCAGTCAGCCACATGTTAAAAAGAGTAGCATGGAATATAACAACTTTAATCTTGCGTTTCCGGCATGCTGGTGTGGCACAGTCAGCTTAGTTGCGTATCAATCCACTGGTACGAAGACCAACCTTCACACGCTGTTTGAACCTGAGTACGCTTGAGCTTTGAAGGCGGTTCTGATGCTGTGTTCTGCCTCGGAGACCTTGGCAAGAGTTTCCGCATCTCGTTTACATTCAGCCGCGAAGGATTCGCCAGTCAAATGGCAACGTTGTTTAAAGATGGAAAAAGGCCAAGGGAAGGCCCTCCAAGTGTAATCATAATATTTCAATGCGGTCATGTTACCAACACGTAAGTGGCGTGGCGTATGTATTTTCGCCACACTTTAATTGGGGCACTAGAGACAGAATAATATGCCGGAGAGATGGCCGATCACTTATTGTTATAGGCCATGTAATATGTTAAGGCCGCCCCCGATACTCTAATCGCTGAGTTCCTGTTTAACTTTCGATTTTATTTTATTTTTCTATTTTATTTTTATTTTTATTATTTTTATTATTTTGGTTTCAATATCATTTTTTGGGGTTTTCACCCTGCTACTATTATTATACGTAAGGAAACGTAGTAAGGAAAGATATGCCCAGGGCCTCCGAGTATTTACCACCACATGCCCAAAAGAGAGGCTTATGTTGGTGTTTCGCCAACTTATCCCTTCATACGTATTCAGCCTCCAACTCCCTCCCAATGTTCAACCTCAATTCCGCTTATCCATACTTTGCGAACGTTTCTGGTGGCTGTTATGTCCTGTAGCGGATCCCCTTTAATTAGCAGCATGTCCGCCCTCCTACCAGACGAGAGCACACCGCGGTCGTCCAGACCAAAAACCAGCGTAGGAACAACCGTTGCAGCTCTCAGTGCATCAATGGTTGACATCCCGGAGCGAACAAGGAGCTCTAATTCGTCATGAAGGCTCTCGCCAATCGACACGGGCGCATTGGATGTCTGGTTTGCCTCTGTCCCCGCACAGATACGTACGCCGGCGTCATAGAGTATCTTGACATTGGCCAACGCGTAGTCGAAGTTCAAGTCGATGCCCGACGCACCCTCTACTCCTTCTAGGAGGAGCAGTTGAACCAGTGCTCGTGCCCTACAAAGGGTAGGGATGCACGCTGTGCCACGCGCGGCGAGCCTGTTGGCCATGTCAGCATCTATGAGCCCGTCTATAGGTATCAGGGTGATAACATCAAATCCCGCTTCCAAGGCTCGAGAATATCCGATCTTCTGAATGGCGTGCGCGACAGCCAGCTTCCCGTGTCGATGTGCTGCATGTACAAGGGCGGTAAGTACCTCGCTATCAATCCCCGGCAGGTCGACGAGCACTCTAATGTAGTCGGCCTTGCTTGGACCGTTGACTCCAGAGGTAACGAAGTTTTCAGCCTCAGCCGGGGACCGGACGATTCTGTTCTCACGCCGCGGATAAAACTGGTTACTGTGGGCGATCTCTGCTGTCGCTAAGGGCCCGCACGCCAGATATGAAGGCAGTCCTGGCTCCGCGGCGGCCTCTGCCCTCATGGCTTGGATCTCGGTTTCTGTGCTGCTCATATCGAGAACTGTAGTGATTCCATACGAGGCAAAGATATGCAGGTCCCTATTAATCGCGGCAGTATCGATGTTTGAGTCAATGAGGCCCGGGAGTAATGTACAACCTGACCCCTCGACTATGGCGTTGATACCCGAGAGATCTCTTGCTTCCGCCTCGACGCCGAGGATATCTCCCGGGCTGGCTTGGAAAATGAGATTGCCAGGAGGATGGAGGTTGCGTCCATTGAATATAGCAACATTCGAGATGGCGTGAATAGTCATATTGGTGAAATGCAAGTTATTGCAAGAAAGGAGAACGGCGCGGGGTAAGACTGAACGTTATTACTTACCTATGTAGGTAGACGCAAGAGAAATATTATTATAGCAAAGAGGCAGAAGCTGCGTCATCTTAAAAAGGTTTGCTTGTATAAGGTAACTGATAGCTGAGCATGCGCATGAGTGGCAACTACTGCGCGTAGTGGTCCTGTATAATATCTACATTTCACCAATCATAGCTCGTTCAGATTCATCTCCGTGGTGGTGTACGGAGCTACCTCCGTAATATCTATGGGTTTGACAGCTCACCAATCATAACCCATTCGGTTAAGTCTCCGGGCACAAGCCTAACTACTTCGAGTTGCTCTGCCTAATCATGACGCCATTTGTGACAAGCTTAAAAAAGGTATGATAGGTAATGGCCGATGAAAGGATTGCCCCTCTTGTGTTACCCATTGCATTAAAAGTGACAACATCCACAATTTGAAGTCTAGATTATTGTCAAGTTATAGAACCTATACTTATAGTAGGAGAGGGAAAAATAAAGTTGATCGTTAGGAAAGGCAAACTGTTGCAATACCCAGAATTTCAAGCTTCTAAACGGTTCTCGGCATAGCTTAATATGCTATCTGAATCCAAACATTAAGAATTTCTTTCCTTATGCAGATTCCTGAGCTGACACTACTTGAAACTGAGTGGAGCCTGAGTCGGACACATCGTGAGAACATGAATTTAGGCGACGCAGAGATATTCCCACACCCCCACTCAGGCAATACAACAGCCCAGACTTCACTTACACAATCTTTTGTTATTGACCCCTACACCGGCACCGCTGCTTCAGAACTAGCCAAGGAGTTCCTATAGGCGTTGCCTTCCATGAGGGACCTGAATGCGTAGGCTGATAGCCTGGTGAAGGTGAATATCAGAAGGCCGCCTAACATGAAGCCTCACAAGGTTGCTTATCGGGGTCTCTTGAACAATGACAAAGGAAGTTTGTGTAACTTGAAGGCTACAAAACTTACAACAATAAACAATAGTATGAAACGTACTACTACTCCTGCTTTCTGTGCTAACGGGATACCCTGAAGAGAGAGAGAGAATGTGACTCATATATGTAACCTATCGTAGGCCAGCGGATTACCAAAGAAGGCAAATGCAGATTTGGGCTCACCTTGAACCTCCTTTCATGAGTTGAAACAAGGGCTTATCGTCATAAATGGAAGTTCCATCCTGGGATTAAAATTACTTGAACAGCAAGTTCTCATTCACCGTAAATGGGTTAAGAGGACCGTTGTCGCCCGAGCCTGCCGCAATGCCCCTGCCAATTAGGCTGAAAGGGAATCCTTGGAATAACGACGATTCAACTGCAACGTCAGCATATTTACAGCAGTCTCTTGTATACACAGCATCGCTACGATAGATAATTATTATGAGACTCGACTATTGCTGGCATTATTCCGATGGTTATCTTCGCATGTTTCTCCCATAAGCAGAAGTGGAAGCTCCTTGTTTTCTGCACTCGGTATACTTCGAAGATAGTCCTATTTGGTTGTTTAGTAGGGAAAGTAGAGACTTCAATTATTCTCAGCAATATTACGCTAGAAAGTACGAAGTCTTCTAGTGTTCCTCACAAATACTAATCTTTTGGGTCAAAGAGATAAAAACAAACCACTTGAAGCTCGGTTACAGCCTCAAACGACATCAGATTCTAGATCTACCGTTGAAACACAAGGCCTCTACCAGTCTTGGCAGCTAAAAAAAAAAATGAATAAGAAAAGACTGTGGAAGTGTTGCTATATTCTTTTTCTCACTTGCCGTTGATCCAATCTATTACCGACTTCCGTGGCCGGCTATGAGGCCGCTGTGGCTCTCGGCATTCTCTCTAGAGGGAGGGGAAATTGGCACTCATTACTGATATTTGTTTCATGAGAGGCAGTGGATTGTAGTAGCCGGAGACAACATAGAAACCGAGACTGACTCCTTTTACATAACTATGGTATGCCAAATAACTCATAGCTCGGCTCGTAACATCTTGTAAGATACTTTGGAAGAGAGTATCATTAAGGAACCAGGGTTTTAACTTGGATATGGCCATGGTCACTGTTTACAAGAAGGAACATCTAGCAAACTATAAACTGTCATATAATTTATGCTGGGAGACTATGGAAGCAAAACTAGTAGAAAGCCAGATTTTCTGAATGTCAAAAGCTGAAAGTTATTACCAAGTAGGCGGAATAACATAGTCTTTCCAACGGGCTGTTCCAGCCTCCTTGAACGTATCAAGATTGCCTTGCACTCCTTGTGGCCCAACAGTCCAGACATTTTGCTCAATGAGCTTGCGCCAACAGTCAAACAAACGTTCCAGCCTCTGAGGCCGGTAGTAGTCGCCACCAAAGGGTTTGTATCCATGCTGGAACAGATCAGTCAACCTTTCCCTGGCAATTAACGACCCGTCACTTTTCCGCGCGCCGTCGATCGCATCCCAGCCACTCTCGAAGCTGTACGGCAGTAGCAGCCAGAATCCCTCCTCGGCGTAGTCGTGACCTGCATCCCTCTCAACAGACTCACTGTAGACACCGGCAATGACTTGGGACGGCACGGCTGAATCGGCAGTTATTGCGCGAAAGTCATTGCAGAAGGGGTTTGAAGGTACCGTCAGGTTGAATTTAGGCTCGCCTTTTGCGGCAGGGAAAAGGCATACTGGCGGTATGACATGACGGCTGCGAGGCAGTCTGGTGAAAGGTTGCGCTGCCATAAACTCAGCTGCGTCTGCCGGTGGCAGGACAAGACCTGGGGCAATGCTACGGAAGAGAGGCCGGCGCGCGCGGGTTAGAAAGGAGCGAGCAAAACAAGGGTTGGGCACCGAAGCCGCATCCAAGACAGCGGGATCGAGCAGCCGGGCTGGATTCATGGCATCGGAGGTCGTGCTGATGGTGATTTGTGAGTTACGCGTCTCGATGGCCTTACACAGCTGATCCCACGCATCCAAACAAGCTACGACCTGGGCTTCACTATACGGCAGCCACTCCCACGGTCCAATCTTTTCGCTGCCATACCGGCCCCCCTCGTCTCTCGGTGAAGGCGTGATTTGAGTCTTGCCAAGATGAATCAGCTCGATCCAGTTGGAGAGCACTGTTTCAAGGGGGTGCCAAAGCTCTTGGTGTGCCGCAACAGGCAGGGCATAATCGTGATCCCACATATGCACGAAGACAGCGGCACGATGGTAGCCTTGATGGTAGAATAGGCCACCGCCACTTCCTCCACCTTGGCCAACATTGGGGTAATATAGGCGGACCAGACTGTCAACAGGCTCGTCGAACAGATCAGCGGTTTCGTTAGCAAAGAAACTATCAGTCTCACAGAACCCAGACACAAAGACAGAGAGGGGCGCGGGATCAAGGCCATCAGACCCATCGGGAGGCAGCAGGGCGGCGTCAAGGAAAGCTGCTAGCGAGGGGTCAAGTCGTTCACGAAGGGCCTCTGCTGCAGCTCCGTAGGTGGTGAAGAATGTTTTACTGCTACTCTTTAGATCAGCGGGCGGGCGTCCTTCAGCAGTCCAGGCATAGTGAACCAAGTGGTTGTGCAGAGCGACACATCGTGCGTGATCCAGACCGAGCGTATCATTACGCGCTGGGTTCTCTACCGTGACAAGCAGGCCGCTCACGTCCGGAAACTTCTGGTTGTCCATAACCTTGCCGACTTTAGAAACAATGGTGTATGTGACTGGATTGCCTGTTAAGAACGCTGTGTAAACATCGTCGACCCTGCACAAATTTCCCAAGCTTCAAATAGAATCACGATCGGAACAATCTAGTAACTGTCTGCCCACCAAAGAGATGCCGGATCGCCTCGGGGTTACCAAAAGCGGAAATAGTTCAGGCTTTAGTACAGAGTACGCACCAGCCAATCACATATACAGTGGGGTGTCAAAAGTCTGTTCTTCTGCCCTCTTCTAGTTTGAAGAGCTATGTGCTTATCATGACGATGTTGAAGATGTGATGATGGCAAAAAAGACGTGAGGAAGAAAGCCTTTCTTCTCTTCCTCGTGTTTACCATAAATTCCCCTGATAGTCATAAGATAACTAAGCCAAATTGCGAATAAGGTTTCGTATTTCCCAGTGTCTATAGTCATAAAAATTTACGTAGATCTGTGGTAATATGGACTAGTACACTTCTCCAATCCTCCGGTCGCCCCTATTATAACCGTAGCATTATTTCTTCTCTGTCATGCCACTTACTGACATGATCGTTATGCAATGACCGATTGGCACTTGGGCACCTCAAAGACTTTATAATCAACCGCTGCAAAAGCAGAGCTCGGAGGCATCGCGACTGTATCACGATCGAAGAAGTGGATCCATTGGTTCATGAGACTGGTTTCAAGCGCTGGCGATACGGGGTGGTTCTCATCTACAGAAAGCGCGCTTTCGAGAACAGTTGCCCCTCGTTCTTCGAGCTGTTTCCGTAGCCAGTTTACTGCATCTGAACGTCGCTTCGCGCCGCTGATAGCGCATGGAGAAGAGCACCGACAATCTCGACGATGGTAGTTGACAAAAGATTCCAGGTGATATGTTGTCAAAACGGTGTTTTCTTGAAGTTTGTTCAGAACCTGGTGTGAGACAGCATGCACATCAGTTTCAGGGTTGAGTTCTAGCATCTTCCCACACTTGACGTGTACTCTTCCAAGCCTCACACGGCCGAGAATCATGCTGTATGTCCACCTGATGAGGGCCAAAAGGCTCATGCGAGGTCTCTCTTGTTCCTGTGTCTCTCGAATGAAGGCTCCTTCCTCTGGTACTCGTTCGTAGCTAATTGAGACTGGTAGAATCTTGAAAGTTTTACCCGTACTCTGCAATGATCGCAAAAGACCTCGTCGTGGGGACAGAAACTCTCTGGAGCGGCTTCGTTGGCCTTCGGGAAAGAAGAGGATGTGCTCGTCTTGTTCAACCAACTGCCGAATCTGGTCATTGAGCTCTGGATCTGCTCGACCAATGCCGCGCCGAACGTAGAAAGCGCCGAGCCGTCTCAGCAGCCATCCTAGAACGGGTATCCGCGAGAACTGATCTTGGGCGGCGATACATGGGATTTTGACACCCAGAACAGGGAACTGATAAAAGAGATAAGGGCAAATGACGAAGTCCATGTAGCTTCGATGGGTGGGCATGATTATGATCTTTTCGTCAGACAATCCCGAGTTATAGCCCTCAAGAGCATCGAAGAAGGATTGTTGGTCAAATGTTACGCTCTGAAACATTCGGCTCAAAGCCGCCCCAACGACGACTGCAGTGACGCGGAAAACGACACTGGCTCGAGAAGTCAGAAACAGCTTCAGAGCATTTTCACCACCGTTATTAACGTCTTCTCCAGCAATTGGTTTCTCAGTGGATACCAGATTCCGTTCGCGGGTGCGGCGCATCATGAACTGTTGCGCTCCCCGAAACATCATCTGCATGTAAGCGGCAGGTTTAAAGTACGGGGCTCTTTGGGCCAAAGTTGGACGACTTGCGGCAAAGTTGAACGAGTTTGAGAGAAAGTATCCAAATGTGTGATCAAGTTTGTCGATGTTTTGGGTGGCTCGCGTCAGCTGCCTCACGGCACGATGATCACCTCCCGCCCAGCAGAATGTCCTCGCCAGTTTAAGGGGCATCGTCTGCCACACATATCGGTAGAGGTGAGTTGTTGGAGAGCTCCGGTAGTTGAGCCATTGTATTTCAGATTGCTGGAAATACACGGCGCCAACTGAAGAAAAGGTCTTTGGTGTGATAGTTCTCAGACCTGACACACAATGAACGATTGGCACTGTTGCCGACGGAGCTTGTGCGGCAAAAACCTCGTCGATAATGAAGTCGGCGACAAAATCAACAGGGACCAAATCTATGAAAGCCGTCGGATTGCCTCCAAGAGCAGATACTCCTCCATCCTGGACTCCCAGGACAACCCCAACAACTGCCGAGGCGCTATCAGACCAACCAGGAGACGGGCGCTCCAAGGCTGCAGTTATAATGCTCGGGCGAACAATGGTGATGGGGATTTTACCTCGATTATGCATGACAAAATATTCTGTGATGCATTTCGAGAGAGTGTATGTGTTGGGGTGGCCGGTCTGTTGCAATAATTCCGCCTCGGTTACAGATCCAGAGTGTAAGGCACCAAGTAACTCTTGTGCATCTTGCCAAGGACCCAAAGGTGCCAGTTCCTCACGGATTTGGTCATGCCTTCCATGAGGTGTCACGTATGCAGTAGAAGTGTATACGAAGCGCTCAAGGCTGGAGCATTTTCGAGCAAGTTGGATGATGTTGAGCGTTCCTTGCAAGTTAATATCCAGAGAACTGCTGAGTGAGAGATCGAATTGTACGCAAGCCGCACAGTGTATGATATGAGTCGCTTCTCTGCTGATCTTCTCATAGGTGGCAGTGTCCAATCCGCATTGGGCCTGGCCTAAGTCTCCGTATACTGGTTGAACATATCGAGTCCATCCAGGAGTTATCTTTGCAAAACACTTGGATGTAACGACTTCGTCATGAAATCGAGATGAAACATGAGACTCTCTGGTGGTAGCCTCATGAGTTGATGGCTTAGATGGACGGATCAGAACTGTGACTTTTTCAACTCCCAATTCATAGCGTCGACGGATCAACTCTTCTAAGACCACTTTGCCCAGGAAACCTGTGACTCCAGTGAGGAAAATTATCCTTCTATTGACTTGAGCTTCAGACATGTCGTGTGTTCATGCTCTATCAGAACAGACTTTGCCTTTCCAGGAAAACTCTCGGGGTTGCTCTGCTGTTGATCTTCTCTAAACCTTCAAACTGGCCACTACTAGTTCAAGCACCAACTTGAAGGAGAGGGTGGGTGTGCACACTTCAGCCAAGCTTTGCGAACAACCTTGCGGGGGTGCGAAAACGAAATGTGATAAAGGGTTTCTGTGAAGGTACTTCGTCAGCGCGAACATGAAGGTACGTATAGAGACTCCATCAAAGAAGCGCAAACAGGTTTATCAGTCAGCTTGCTATCATTTACATGTAGCCTCTTCAAAGTTGCAAATTCCCCATTTGGACTCCAAATGCTAGCTAATGTAGTATCTCGCCAAATGAGGAGTCTTACTTGCGCATGCGCCAGCACAAAATTGAGCCTCCTTTCTGGCCAAGGCCACGAAGCTATTCCAGCTGAAATCTCACCCTCCTGGTCCTTGCAAGCCTACATTGACCGTAGTTTCTAAATCGCAGAATTTATCCCACTTAATGTTCAAGAGCAGTTACTAAATTGTTGGTAAGGCAAGTAGTGTAAACAGTATTCCCACCGCTATTGGAACATGGGTCAATCAATTTCAACTAGCCTACCACAGATATCAGCCTGCTGGTGTCACTGGAAGTGGGATTCAATAAAATAGTGGAACTGAAATGATGGTTGCCAGGAATACGAAACAGAAGGACTCTCGAGAAGGTTGCGGGTGTAAGAGCGGAGAACCTGGGAGTGGGGGCTACCAAGTCCTTGGCTGTGGACAAAGGTGTGGTAGCAATCTATGAAGCACTCCTAGCACCGTTGCTAACAATGGGATCATCAATAGTCATGGTTGGTGAATTAACGGAGCCAGTATTATTGTCCGGGAGCCTTCTGAGCCAAAGGTCGATAATAGAGGATTGCTGCCGGTAGACTCTCGAGGGTGAACGCTGCTGCTACCTTTGGTCATAACACCTCCTGTGGGCATGACAACCCGCATGTCAAGTACGACATCTTCAATGTTTCCATATCGGTTCTTCTTCATGCCACTAGCATTCGTTGCAATCCAGCCTCCCAGTGTCGAAAATTCGCAGCTATCCGGTTCATGACCCATGGTGAATCCTCTCTCTGCCAGTGCTTCCATAATGTTGCTTCCAACTGCCCCTGCTTCGATCTGGGCGAGACGGTTCACAGGGTCAATCCAAAGAATTTTGTCCATTCGTCGTGTATCAACGGAGACAATCACGCGATTCTCACCATCTTGGTTGGATGGACATCTCAACGCGGCGCTAACATTTGTTCCGCCTCCATATGGGATAAGACAGACTCCCTTTTGTCGAGCTGCTTCAACGATTCCGATCACTTGAGACTCAGTCTCTGGATAGACAACAAGGTCGGGCACCCGAGCAAGCCCAGAACCGTACTTAATGGCGTACATCTCTTCTTGGGTGTGGCCGTGACCATGTCTCCTCCGGATTTTGGCGTCGCTGCTGATTTGGTCGTCTCGAAGAAGCACCACTTGGCGAAGGGAATCAAGGAATTCGCCATTGATATGTTGAGGCTCTGGGATGGAAATTTCCAAAGTCTGAAGCATTGGCTGCCTTGGTACTTCGACACCAAGCACATCGCTGGCCCAAGGTAAAAGAGATGGCAGCGTACAGCCGCTAAGAAGATATCGAGAGCCCGTCACCTCCACTGTACCATCCGGGTTGGCACGATATGAAGTGTCTTTGAATCCCCAAACATCATCACTTTCCCTATCATTTTCACTCTCCTTCCTGGTGCTCTGATTGACATAGATGCGTGTGTCATGTTGGACTTCGCCCTGATTTTCTTTGTCTTTCAAAGATCGAAGTGAGGATAAACGAGCTAAGGTATTTGCGTGGTGTTTATTGAGCCGCAGAACGGCCCCTGAAGTGAACTGATACCACAGAAGCTGAAAATATCCTTGCCATTGCTTCATTGTGAGATAAGATCAAAGAGCGACTTGATGTGAACGTCAGGACTCAGCAAAACTGCAGCGAATCAATACCAAATCGAGGTCCTGAATAAGATTATCGATTTTCAGTCTAGCCAGGTTCTTGACGAAAATGACTCAAACTTTTAGTCCGCCAGTCTCGTAAGCCCAAACTTCGAGAGAGTATAAGGGTGTAAAGGGTGTAAAGAGCGCGACAACATGCACCTTGTAAGCTCTCGATACAAAAGGTCTTGCGCTAGCATTTGCCGGAAAATTACATGGAATAGTTAATCTAGACCCCTAGTGCTGATTTGCACCAAGCAGGGTACCTGGGCAAAACTATGAGATACATGTAGTGGAACAGAAGCAAGTAACTGGAGGTACTCGGCACCTAGACCTGGTTATCAGCTCTCTACAATTAATATCGTAAGGATTGCCACCCACTTTGCTAGTTCCAAGGTGACTAGCATGTGATGAAAGCATGTCAGATTTCATAGCTGTAGAAATCCAATAGCGGCGAAACCCTGGCGTCTGCATATGCACCCCTCAGGTAAATACAACCTAGATAATCAATGGGGGCGAAGCATTGGAAAATGGCAGGGGATAACTATTTCAATTTAGCCATTGCTACTGGTGTTTAGTTGTCAATTGTGCTTTGTAGTCCAACTAGGCACTCATGAGTCAGGTTGTGGGTTGTCAATTTGTGCAGATGCGGTAGGCGCAACAATGTGCTCAGCTCTCGTAGGTCACGATAACCTTGCATTGCAATTTGGAATTGTTGTTACCAACCGTGCTCCGCAGAAGTCCTAAACGACAGGCTGGGCCAGTTATGAACCGTGGGCGTCTCAGCTAAAGCAAAACGGTTCACCAGTTAATATTCAAAGGTCGCCATGAGGAAACGAGAACTATTACTGATGCCTCAAGGCTGATAGTTGCTTGTATTGTACACCACCCCATCCACTCAAAATAACTTAAAGTTTTATACAAATGAGTCTATATTAGCGAAACCAGTAGTTAAAAGAGACCATGGTTGGTTGTAAGATCACTTCCATTCTCTTAAAAAATTACAAATGCACACCAACCAAGCTATCTTCTCATTCGAGCCATATACCATCATTGTAAGAAGGCTAGTCTTTATATCATTATACAGATTAATGAATAGTTTTTAGATATATATTACTATAGCGGAAAGTAGATGATGTCGCAACAACTCCCGATGTTTCTTTTCGAAGCAATATTGGGATTTCTCGCTTTGTCGCGATTTGCGATCCAGATCGATTTCGCACGGAATTCTGCCACTTCGTATATTATATACTAACCCTGGCAAACTATAATGCCTGGCGCCGATAGAGCTAAATAGTTCAGATCCAAAGGTGTACTCTCACCCGAATGGCGCGCTAAAGGCCATTCTCAAGAGAGTTGAAACTATTCTCTTGCAGATGGACACCTAGTAACCATGTGCTCATGTACGAAACGCAACTGTTTGACTCAGAATGGAGTAGCATGTTCAGTAATTACGACTAGTACATTGCTGTTTGCCGTACAGATCAGCATAAGTTTATCTCCTCTCATCACAACATCTGGCGGTTTTACCTTGCTTTTACCTGCCGCGACAGAATTGATTACCACTCTAGATACCAGTCTCAATGTTGCTTCAATCTGCAAACTCTAGTTTACAGTAACGGATTATGATTTGAGCTCCCAAGGACAAGAATCTTAGACACGGAGGTGGATGAGACGCCCCTATGAGGTCGCTATATATTAGACATATTGCAGACTGTAATTGGTCATCTTGGCCATAGTCCAGCATCAATCGGGATATTATGTCTGTCCCTAAATTAAGCCATCCAATATTTCATCAGGATCACCAATATTTGGCCTCAAGTAGATCATCTCAAAGAGACCAGAAATATGCGAGCCTGCCTGTTATGTAGCCTTTAGAACAAATTCTTCACTCACAAGTGCCAATTCGATCACGCCACTAACATACCGCAACTTCAAAACAGTCTTCTAAATTGAGGCTCTCGAAAGATGCTATTGGCTTGTGGTTGATTTATAATGGGCCTTCTCTATGTCATTCTCATTAAGAATGCTTAAATAACGGATCACTTCTGACGGTTTGAAGCCATCAAGCATTCAGATTTGATCCATTAAACCCCAGGACTAAGAATATATGCAACCGTTCATCACTAAGGAGCTATTTCCCTGGTTTAGTGCGCCAACTATGGTCTACTCAGGTACATGAACGGATAGGAATAATAGTTCCAGCAGATTTTGTCTGAAATTCTTTAGATCCTTTAAATGTCGCCCCGGCGACTACATTCTTTCTTGAATACTCTTGCATGTTAATTGTTCATCTTCCTGAAGCACAATTTGCGGCATCTTTGGCCCAGTTTCGATTGATTTACCATATGACCCAAATTGTACCCAGTACAATTGTCAATACTTAACTCGGTATGAGAAGGATCTTTATCCTAGGACCTACGCTAGAAAAAAGAGTAGATATGGAAGTCTAATTGTGGGTTATTTACATGTAACTGCAGCCCAACTCGCGTACGCGATAGAATGGATGGTATGAAGAATACTAAGGTATTTAGATGCTGTGGCGATATAGAGGGTTACCAACGGGTCCGTATTGTATCGCTACATATGCATAATGTTGCGCATAGTCTAAGAAACTGGAAGAAAGCGGTGACGGCCTGAGTATGGTGAAGAGAGAAAATCTGACCTGCTCGTCCAATATCAGTTCCATCATTCCAAGAAACTCATTGTTCAAAATATCGTCCACGTGAGTAAGTAAGCTGCATTCATGTCAATGGCTGCCTAATGTGATGCAACATGGACCACTAAAATCGATTGGGTGAGTTTGAATCGTGCAAAGTATGATACAAAATAGGTGTATGGGTGCACGGCTTGAATGAGAGGGCGCAAGTCTACGCATCCTTGTAAAGAATATCAATGCTTACCACAAAACAGCAAGGTTTCCATATTTCGGCGCCTTGATATGTAGTTTGCTCCATGGCGTGAAAGAAGTCAACCTTGGATCAACCATCAAGCTCTTTACGTCTCTATCCGAGTAAAATGGCACGCAGCGAGCGAGGCCGAGGTCGAGGTCGAGGCCGTTCAACTCGGGTCCATCCATATCCAAGTCGACATCTCAAGGAAAAGCAAGAACAGCAATCATCTTCACGTGCCACTTGGAAAGTCGTTCCACTAGAGCTAAAACTATTAGTTTTCGAACACCTGGAAGACTCGATACGGAGCGGGAAAACAAGAGCCTCAGTATGCGCTACCGTCTGCAAAGAGTGGTATTACTATTTCGAGCCATACATCTTCCGACGTCTGACGCTGTCCAAAAAGCGTGTCGGCGAGTTAGAAGTCATGGTTTCAGGATCCCGACGCCAGTTCGTCCAACATATATGGTTCCGATTTGAGAGATCGGTCAAACCTGGTGTAACGCCCCTCAAGATTCGCCATGGTTTTAACTTCTTGCAACTTAATGCGACGTTATTCCAACTCTTTGAGATTTTGTCAGAATGGCCAAAGAGAAGTGAAGGTCAACCGGGCATCGCCTTAGAGCTGACAGCATTCTCGGCTGTGGACCCCGATTGTTCCATGAAAGACACTGTTCCAGATGAACTCAAAGGTGTAGATCTCACGGTGGATAGTGAGCCCTTAAACGCCATCTATGAAAAGGCGCCCAGCACCAGACGCACATTAACAGAGCATGAGAGCAGCCAACAATACGAAGTACGAGACTTCTACGTCCATCCCATGAATCACAATTCAACGACGTTGCATCTCCCGGAGGTGAAATTGATAACAGACCTCACTGTTCGCCGACAGATGCATGTCAGTCTTTTTCGTTATTATGTTTACTACATGATGGAATCGCTCCCGAATCTTGAGTTCATAACTTACGAGCCTCTTGCTCTCCAATATCGGAGGAGGACAAATTACCGCCCAAATTGTGAGGTTGTAAGAAATATCACCACCAAGATGCCCTCATCCATCAGAAGACTGCAAGTGTTTGAGGATAGTCCTGACATTCACGGTGATGGGACATGGGGGAGACAACCAAATGATATAGACGGCTCGTTGGGTCGGCTAGTGGCGGAAATCAGCCAAGAGAAAGAACCAGAGGTGATCTCGATGTCCTTCATCATCGATGCCGTTGATTTCTTCTCCGACTTCCAAAACCCACAGATGAACCGGCCTAATTGGAAGCTAGGATGGCTCAATCTCACCTGGATAGTCTTGACATCACCTGTCATCTCGCCAGAAAGAAAAGACGAAATCCCCCTTCTGCTAGTATCAGCTGCCAAAGCTGCGTGTCACATGCCCAAATTGGAGATTATGGAACTATATTATGTGACATGGAATCACGGGGCTATCTTCGCCTACGTTCACGATGGCGCGGGCAGCAACTTGTATTGGGACAGCACCTGGGAGTGGAGTTTCCCGCCCGATGTGATATCTTCATGGAAGGGAGTGGCAGATGTACACGGCGCCAGCGTGTTTGAACATGAAGAGAATCTAATCCAACGAACGGAAAAACATGGGAGGGGATGGAATGGAGATATTATGTCGTTGCTTCGTACAAAGACAACTGTAGTCCATCCGATAACATACGGCAACATGATGGATGGATGTAATTTTATGTGACAGGGAATCCGCTACCTTTACGAAGTTTTCTACTTCCTCAACTTAATTCCCTGCTTGTAATTATCTTGTCCATAACATGACTAAAACAATGCGATATCGCTATGCCAACCCTCAACAATACACTCGCTGCGGTGTATATGTATAAGACGCCGAAAGCCGAGACATGTCCGCAAACAGTCACAACATACGGCTCTGAAACCCACACAGCGTCAACATTACGTTCCACAACACGAATCCGGCGACATGGAACGCGGTTCAGTTTTTTACGAGTTTCACAATTCCTGGCCCTTTAATGGGAAAGGGAGGAAAGGAGGAAAGCAGGGTAGAAAGCAGCAAGATACCCTAGAGCTGCCTGAACTGTCCGTTCATCCGGGCCTTTTTATCCATTTGCCCGGGATTTCTGAAAATGAGAGTACGAGTAGGTAAGAATGTACAAAGTACACGTAATGCAGAGAGCATGTAAGATGCTCGACGCCCGACATGAAACCAAGTTCATGATCAATAGAAAACAGGGCGTACAACTTCTAAAATCATCAAAATGTCCGTCCCAAAATCTCATCAGTCCGAAAAAACTCTATCACAATAGCTTTCGCCTTGTCCGTTTATCGCTGATTTCCCAGAGGTTGTGTCAAGACTCGTTCTAATCATCAAACCCTGTCGCGTGATTCTCTCGTGGCAGACTAGCCGCCATCATGTCCAAGTGATCATCACCCAAGCCCAGTTCCATCAACTGCATTATTGAGCCCAGTTTTAATCCCAGACAGCCCGTATAAAGAACATTCCCATCTTAGTAGATGCTGGAGAGGCGGCCAGTCCTCATGGTGATAGAGGCTTGCGGCACCAGATACATGGCAGAGCAAAGAGCGTACATGCAGCTAAACAATGCTCGCGTGATATCAAAGAAGAAGAAAAATAAACTCCGTACCCTGGATGAAACAAAAAAAAATGAAAATGAAATGAGACAAGGAAGTGAGACACTACGATCTAGCATCTATCATCGCTCATCTTTAGCGAAACAAGGGCTGACGCTGATGAAAGTTGGTACATAGCTTAGGCGAACAAAAACTCCAAAGAATTTGCCCTGCCAAGCGTACAAATGAAGGGGCACGTTGCCTTGAAACTTTCAGTTTCCTGTGTGTCATGGCAAACATGGTTTCTCAGGGGTTCACCAGTGTCATCTGTGCGATGCGACAGGCAGACGGGGCGAGACCATTTCTAGGTCTGGCTTCCCATTCTTGTCCACATGCCGGTCCTTGGGGGGCTGGCTCCCGTACAGATGATGCAGCTTGATGTAGTCGTAGACGGATCTCGGCAAATCCTGTGCGACCTCGCCGTTCCGGATCTGGGCTCGGGCCTTGGTCGACGAGACGTCGTTTTGAAAGGACGGGACGACCATGATGTTGCCGTGATACTTCTTCAAGGGCTGGATGGCGTCCTGGGTCGCACACAGAGCAGGCCGCTCGACGATGAAGGCGCCATAGTAGCCCAGGAGCACGTCAATGTCGGCCGGCGCCCACACCTTGGGATCGCTCATGGTGAGGGCCAAGTCGGCCCCGATAAGCAGCATGACCCTTGCTCTTACAAATGTGCCGTCCAGGGTCTGGATGCCGCCCAGGACGTCGTTGAGCTGCTCGTCCAGGCGCTTGAGGACATCGGCAGTGCGTGTGTAAACTGGGCGGCCGGCTTCGTCGCGCCGCAAAGTCTCCCAGTCGTCGATCATGGCGTTGCTGTTTGTCTGCTCAATGGCTGAACGGCACCTGCGTTGCGACAAAAAAAAAGGGCATTAGTAAGACTCGACCTCGGCCTTCTCTCGTCTTCCAAAAAGAGGGGTTGAGTTGGCCGGAGACTTACATGTTAATGCGATGGTGAGCAGGGACCAGAGAACTTTTGCCGTAGGTGTCGCTGCAAGGGCTCATGTAGCTGCCGACCAGCTCGAAGCCAGTGCGCTCCGCGTAACTCTCGGCGACGGAAAACATGGACATGTGCAAGGAAGTGGGCGGCGAAAAGCTGCCGCACGACACCAGAACCAGCGGCGTCTTGTTGGGATGCGTCAGGCGGCGCTTGAGTCTGTTGTGGGGGAAAGAATAGCCGTGATACGGCTCGGACATGGGCTCGGGAGGGGGAGTCGGCGTGCCAGTCGGGAGATTTGTCGGTCGTGGAGGAGACGACGCAAAGACGTCTGCAGCGATGCCACCCATGGCTGCGGGATTCGGTGGATGGTTGTGAATTTTGTTATGTGTGTGAGTGTAGTTGCGGTTGTGGTTGTGGTTATGGTTATGGTTATGGTTCTGAACTTGTTGGCTGACGAGAGAGACAGAAACAGAGCGGGGGCAAGAGAGTGAGGTAGAGATAGAGGAAGAGGAAGAGGAAGAAGACGAGGAAGAAGACGAGGGAGAAGCGAGAGCAAGGTCGGCCACAGCCGAAGAGGGAGACGACAGACGACGCTTATTATGTAGCAGCTCCATGTACTTGTAACTTGGCCGTCTCAGGAAGGCTCCGTGATGCCGGTTGTCGGCTCGTCAGCTTGCGGGCCGCAACGTCTCGGGTATACTCGAGATGGTAAGGACAAAAAGCACGAGGCACGAGCACCAGCAACGAGCATATGCCGGATTGTTGGTGATCACGAGGGATGCTTGCAATGTGTGGAGAGCAAACCCGTGCAGACGGGAGGGGCAGGGACTTTGCAAATCTAGATTTGCTCCGTGCTCGGGCGTTGAGTTTGTGAGCAGGCTAACGACTCTTTGCTAGTTCCGGCTTGTTCACGCCAATCCAATGGCGCAGACAAGAACCAAAAACCTTGGACTAAACGCAATCCGCGCCCGCCGGCCATTGGCTGGTTTCGAGATTAGAGTCAGAGTCATGGTTCACTCTTCGTAGATAGAGAGAGACACAGCCCTAGGTCCGAGTGGGCCGGGTTACGCATTTCTGCCTATTCCGTGCGAGGGAGGGATCCGTAATCAATGAAAGTTCTTCAGCAATTTTCTGCCTTTTTTTCTCCAAGGTTCTCTTCCTCCCCTCGCCAAGTTGGCTCTTCTGGTCTTAGCCGGGTCTTTGTCTTGTCCCCGTGGCTACGCCGGATTGTGCCATCCGCCTGTTGCGGAAAGAATTGCAAGGATTCTTGCGGGAATACCAAGAAGTTCTCCGCTCTTGTTCTCTGAGACACATTCGTAATTCCAAGGCGTGTGATTACTCGTATCTCCATGTGCGTGAATGTCCGTAGTACATAGATTAGATTTGCAAGCAGCAAGAATTCGCCGGCAAACGATGCCCCGTACTCGGTCGGCAAACCACACCCGCGTCCCCGGACCTTCGTTTGCCGGTATATTCTCTGATGATTCAGCGCCTGCACGGAATATGCCGTCAGCATGCAAATCTCGCCCGAGTCGCGGTTATGTGCATGTCTAGCCTTACCCGCCCGGTCCCACAGATGGGTTGCCTCCGTCACTGGCAGCTTTTGACGCAACTACCTGTGTGTGACGTGTGGTTTGGTAGGAGGATCAGGGCGTAGGTGGTTATCGTGGCTTATTGGCTCCGCCTCCACAGCATGATGTTCGCCAAGACTCGAGGTCAGCATGCCCGATACAAAAGTCTATCGTTGACTTGTGGAGGCGAAGTCTTTAATCTGCATAGCTTATGGCAGTAGCAAGATGGCAACGAGATGTTGATTCCATCACCAGAGACTAGTTGTGGGACTGTAGGTTATTAAAATAGAATAAAGATCTTACTTGGTAACAGTTTTTCGATTCACCAAGTTGCGGAGATTAGATGGAGAGCTGCACTCGATCCTTGTACGGTCAGCGCATATCACGACAATAGAGAAACAGTTACAAAATTAAAAGATATGGCCTGCTCCGTAACATGCATTCTGGATTTATATCAGTAGTGCAGAGTGCATAACATGCGGAGAGATGCCGCTAACCGTTGCTCTATAACATCTTTGGGTAGCTATATCGGCACTTGAGGTAGATGTGGCAGTGGCGAGCACTAGAACAGTTATTCAGATAGCTGGCTCTTCTTGTACAATTTGCTATGTGTAATAACAAGTACCTACCTAATGCATTGTAAGATCACATTTGTTGTAATAAGAATGACAGGAATCACACTCCAACTAGAAGATATAGAAAGGACATAGCATGGTCCACTTCAACGATGTTACAGCAGTAGAGACAGGAAAACTTTCTGATGCAAACACATTGTCATTATAGTAGCGGTTTACATGTTAATAGATACATGTAACCACATTGTAATAGTTTAAAACAAAAACGCAACCTCTCTCACTATATCCACCAAGGCCTGACTCCTCGCAGTGGGATTATAATTACTCTCAAGAAACAGCAAAATTACCAGCGAAAACACCGTTTCCAAGAGCGAGTATCAAGTAGGCAAGTAATACTTAGTCTCCCTGGAAATCTCCTCCAAAGATGCCGGGTGAATGACACTTCGGCCAATTTCAAGCAGACGAATCGCCGCTGCGTGAGACGTAACGTCTTCCATCTTCACTGGTCTATAAGTGGCAATATAGAGAACTCGGTTGCCCTGCAGCTTTGCTAGGGTTTTCCACGCCGTTGCGATAATCCCATCTTCTTGAGCTTCCAGATTCAGGTCCCATGTCCCTTGCCATGAGATTATGATTAGGCTATCAGTGACACGGTGTCTAAACGCTGCGGCGTGATGCCTCATTCCGTACCAAATATCGAGGGTTTGAAGTTGGGGCATTCTTTGCGCCGCCATTCCCACTCTTTCCAGAAGGGTTGCTATTTCATCACATTTCTCGGGCATGGCGAAAAGGCTGCACGTCAGTGAGAGCGTGGTGAGGCTGGGCCAAGCCCAACGAAAGTCGACCGCTTGAAAGAACGGCACTGCGTCGACGGAGTAACATCCAGTGAGTTGCTCGAATGAGATGCTCTGGCAAGCCAGAGTGACGCTAGCAGCATGGCAGTCGGTCCCGATACGCCCAATCTCATTCGAAGGGCCGCTCCTGTGGCAGACTCGAATAGCTTCTTCGTTGAAGTCTTCGAACCAGTTGAATGTCTTCAACGTCTTTAGGAGAGACTCGGCAATTATTTTCCCAGAGTTCAAGTTAACGAAGCCTGGAAATGGTCGCCAAGGTTCATAAATGAAATGGCGAAGGTTGGGTAGCCGTTCTAGGATCTGTCGAATCGCAGCAACCGTGATAAATAGTCGCGTCGTCCGACGAATGATCAAGTTTGTGACCACGTGGGCGGCTGAGATTATAAATGGCATTAGGGGTATAGAGAAGCCCAGAACACCCCTTATGTCATAGAAATCGTGTGCATCATGGCTCTGTATCAGTTTACCGTCTTTCCAACCGTGAGCAAGATCGTCGGTTAGCAGCCTTTTACTGTACACCATGTCTTGCATCTCGACCAAATCTGAGCTGAGATATTCGTCTCCCTTAACGGCATGTGTCACATCGCATGGTGAATAGGCGCTGATTTCCAAGGCTAGGTCATCTCCCGGACTTGTGCCCCATGAGTTGAAGATGCAGAAAAGACCGGAAATGGATCTTGAGAACACAATCATCTCCGAATATATCACGTTCAGACTGAGAGAGTCTGGGCATTTTGAGCAATAATAATGCCCGAGGAGGATGCGAAGCCATACATAACGGACCAACCGTCTCTGGCGAGGGACCAGCTTGCTGAAGCTGGCTAGGCAATGTTGCGTCAATACCAAATGGGCATATAGCCGATCTTCGAAGAAAAGTTGCCATTCGCGCGAGACGGAGGCATAGAGGCCGAGCTCAGATCGCCTGCTTTGCGAGGGAAATTTGGTGGGGTTGGAGGGGGCAGAGGAATCTAGGTAGGCCAAGGTCCTACGTTTCACCTGAAGAGGCAAATCGGACAACTGAGCCATTTTGCTTTGGTGTGTTTAGAATACCGCAACTAAATACATGTAAGTGAAGAAATTTGAAGATGTCAAGGTGACGAAGACGAGGAAGAAATATTTTTTGGCACGGGGTGCGCATCTTTTATATGCTGCCTACAGATCCGATTCGAATCAAGCAGAGAAGGCGTTGGACAAGCTTTTACGAAAGAGAGGGTGGAAGATTCTGAGAAAAGCCATGGCAGTTTGAAGCTTTATGAACCGCATATTATACTTCTGATGTTGAAGTAATGAGCGGCATCGTTATCCAGGCAAAGTATAGGGGTCTATAGATAACCCGGCTAGAAAAATCCGACGGAGAACAAATCGTATCACCCCTAGAGTACATGTGAGCAATCCACTGTATTCTAGATAATAAGAGCAGGCAACTGTTCATCTTGGTGTCCACACATCCTTTCGTTGAAGGCATCTGCTGATGCCGATACTCATTCTGCCCCTTGCCCACCCTACAACAATCGCACCTTGTGTAACTTTTTGTTGCTCAGAAGATTGTCTATGTCAACGCCAGCTTTTTAACTGAAAGGCAATTTCTAAATACCAAGTACATTATCTAAAACTTTACAAGTCACACTGATAATAGGAATGTCCAATAGAGAAGCCTAGACTTTGCTATAGGAGATTCCGAAAGGTCGATTAGCCAAGTACATGACAGTCAGTGCCTCTACGTACCTAATCTTCAGCTATGCTGTCATAATTAGATGTCTCAGTCTATACATGTTCCATTATTCATTAGCGAAAAGATCACATAGACTTCTTGGTAGTTGATCCATTCATATCTACTCAATGCCTCTATTAGGTGGTGGATGTAAGTCGAGTTCATCGCTCTGCCGTATCTTATCACTCACGCCAATTGCAATGTCAGATGCTCCAATTGCATTCATACTGTCTTAGCACTACAACCCTTCTCCACCTTTTCTTCTTCTACTATTACTAACATGCCGATGTTCCGTTTTTTCTTTCTACCTAATTTAATTCTTATTCACTTACCGTCCGTCTATTGATTCTAAATCAACAGCCGGACAACAAGCTTTATTCCGGGAGCAGCTAATAGAAAATGCCACCAGACCCGTTAATGGAGTTATGGGGGCTTCTAGGCCTATTGTCCACTAATTCCAGCGACTACGCTCCGCCAGCCCGCGGCGCCGCTTAACTTATTCGGGAACCACTTTCATCATCCGTCAGCCGCGCTAGTCCCCCTCGGGCCTCGTCCATTGCGTACCTCCAAACTCCGTAATGATCGAATTGCATGCAGCTCCAGCGCATTTCAACAAACACGATTCTGGCCCTGCAGCCCCTGAATCTGTCGCCGCGATATTTGCCATTTGTTTATTTTCGACGGACTTTTTTTTCCTGCTGGATTTCTCAGCTGCCCTGACTAGGCAGACACAGAGCGGAAATTGTCATTTTGTTTTGCTTTGTTGCGCTTTGCTTTTATTAATCGCTGCTCCGCGGGCGAAAATGGTGGCCGGGCAAGACGCCGCCTTACAATGACCATGGCCAAGAAGAACCACGGCGAGATCAGCTTGCACGACGAAGACCGCGGCCTGCTCGCCCAATATCCCGAGCCAGAGACAGAGCGCAATGGCAATGGCGGCGACCTCGGCATCATCACCAGCGTCCTCAAGTCGTCGCGCCCCGATTTCGAGCCCGAAGTCAAGACGCCGCGGACCCCCGGCAGAGTCCAGTTCGACCTGACGCCGCGCATCCTCAACTTCAGCGACGCTCCCAACGGTCGGCCCTCGACCTCGTCGTCCTTTTCGTCGGCCGATCGATTCGACTTCGACGACTCCGGCTCCGGCCACGACTCGCACCGCGTGCCGCTGCTGACGGACCTCGAGGCGCCGAGTATAACCGTGGCCCGAGAGTGGGATGATGCTGGCGAGGGCGACGAGGAGAACGCGGCCGAGGCCGAGCTGCGGCGGCCCAAGTCTGGGCTCAAGTCAGCATTTATGAACATGGCCAATTCCATCATCGGTGCCGGCATCATCGGCCAGCCATATGCAATGCGGCAAGCGGGCCTGCTGGCGGGCACACTGCTGCTCATTGCTCTGACGATTGTGGTGGACTGGACCATCTGCCTCATCGTCATCAACAGCAAGCTGAGCGGCACCAGCAGCTTCCAGGGCACGGTGCAGCACTGCTTTGGGCGGCCGGGACTCATTGCCATCAGCGTTGCGCAATGGGTGTTTGCCTTTGGCGGCATGGTGGCGTTTGGAGTCATTGTCGGCGATACGATTCCACACGTGTTGACAGCCATCTGGCCCGACCTGGCCAATGTGCCGGTGCTGGGGCTGTTGACGGATAGAAGAGTTTCCATTGCCGTGTTTTGCATGGGGATAAGCTATCCTCTGACACTATACAGGGACATTGCAAAGGTGAGGGTTGCCAGCTTTAAAAGTTGCGAGACGAAGGACACTTTGCTAATGGTACTCTATGATACAGCTGTCCAAGGCGAGCACATTGGCCCTCATCGGCATGCTGGTCATTGTCGTTACGGTGCTGGTTCAAGGCGTGCTCGTTCCGTCGGCGGATCGAGGCTCCTTTGGCATGCCGCTGTTAACTGTCAACAGCGGTATATTCCAAGCCATTGGCGTTATATCATTTGGTATAGACACCTCGATTCCAACAGGAGACTACATACATACATGGTACATGGCTAACGTATAAACACGCAGCATTCGTCTGTCACCACAACTCCCTCCTCATCTACGGCTCCCTCAAGACCCCCACGATCGACAACTTCTCCCGCGTCACACACTATTCCACCGGCGTTTCCATGTTCGCCTGCCTGATCATGGCCCTCGGCGGCTTTCTCACCTTTGGCGACAAGACGATGGGCAATGTGCTCAACAATTTTTCGTCAGACAACTCCATGGTCAACGTTGCACGGCTGTGCTTTGGCCTCAACATGCTGACGACTCTGCCTCTGGAGGCGTTTGTCTGCCGCGAGGTCATGATTACGTACTTTTACCCCGACGAGCCGTTTGATATCCGGCGGCATCTCATCATCAGCACGGCACTGGTTGCGGGTGCTACGACTTTGAGCATGTTGACGTGCGACCTGGGCATCGTCTTTGAGCTCGTGGGCGCAACCAGCGCCGTGGCCATGGCGTACATCCTGCCGCCCATGTGCTACATTAAGCTGACGACACGGAGCTGGCGCACATACGTGGCCGCGTCAGTGGTGGTGTTTGGAGTTGTCGTCATGATCATTAGTGTGATTCAAGCGATAGATAAAATGATACATGGTAAGTCTGCTGTTGTCTCTTCCTCTCTCGAGGTGCATTTCTTCATTTGGGTAACTAACACGACGATGCCAACAGGTTCAGATACCGCAGCGAAATGCACGTAGAACAAGGCCGACGCCGACGAATCGATTTTAGAAAATTAATTGTATGACTATATATAGAGAGCATGGAACGGATAAGCATATTTCCCTTTGATGGAGAGAGAGAAGGGCTGGACTGGACTGTACAATAAGGGGAGCTATGAATACGGGATGCTGCGTTTATGCGGTTATGCTTTTTGGACTATACAGCAGCGTTGTCCACCATACAGAGGCAGATATACAGAGTATATTGTCAGAGGAATACAATAAATGTCAAAAGAGTTTTATACTACTTTCATAATTGTAGTACGAATGTATCATTATGAATGCCAGGTACCTACTAGATGCTGTCACCAATACGCAGTCTCGCGACAAATCTCATTACTTCCCGGGTAGCTACTCTAAAGCACTCGGCCTGACTTAAGTTGTCACTCGCTATCTCTGTTCAAGGTTCTTTGCACCAGCCTCACTCTACCCAAAACACACAACAGCCTCATTTCGCCTCACTTCATGACCCTTTGCCCCCTCCCTGTGCACCATCCCGCGTGGCCTCTCCTTTCCCCAAAACAGCTCGTCACGAGTCCCCCAGGACACATGATCATCATTTCAAACAAGGATCCGGCCAGCCACTGAAATCTGACCGACAGTTTACCAGTAAGAGATACGATACTACACGGCAGTTCAATTTGATAACGATGAAAGCAATCCAAGCGTTCTAGATACCGGATGTCTGCCTATGTCTCCAAGACGCTCAATACGTCACAACACAGCACCCATGATCCCAACAGCCAATAGCCTCTCAGTCATTACTCAAGAAACCAACAGTCCCCGATAAATCCATCTAGATTAGCCGCCCACCCTCTTCATGCAAAAATTCCCCGCTGCACTAAAACCGCAAACCGGCCGCCAATCCACTGACAGCCATTCTCCCACGATAGCAAAAGCTTCCCACCCCTCTCTTTTCCCATCTTTCTCACACCGTTCAGATACTAAAGAATTCCCTACTACATGTCTTTAGTAAATATAGAGAGAAAGATAGAAGGCTACCCTACTGAAAATGAAAGCTGGTATATACATTGTAGATATGTAGTTGTAGTTTCCCTCAAACTACCTAGACGAGATCCTACAATAGTGCTAACGCAGCCAAAACTAATGGTGTCAACCTCCAAGGTACCCATCCCAGAACCCCAAAAACCAATAAGAAATTCGTCCACCCAGCCTGCCAAAAAGCTTAGCTAGCAAACCCAAGCCGGCCAAAAAAAAAAAACGACAGCTGCTACCCCTTGGCCTAAGGGAACCGACACATGCCCGGCGTCGTCCCATGTCATGCTCTCTGCCAGTAACTAAAAATATAAAAGGGTCCAGACTGTACCGACCCCGCCCCAGCTTTTGAAGTCTCTGAATCTCTTCTTCTCCAAAACAACACAGTTCTTTTTCTACTTATAATTTCATCTCATCTTACATCATTCTCTCCGAGCTATCAAGCTAAGAAACCATCATCATGGAGCTCGTCAACTACAACCACAAGACCTGCCCCAAGTGCTCTGCCACTCTCACCTCCGAGTCTAAGACTTGCTCGAGCTGCGGTGCTGTACGTTTTCACCTCTCTTTCCTAACCATTCCCTTTCCTTTCCTTTCCTTTTCTTATTGTAACCTCAATATTCCCTGTGACATTCAACTGATCGCCTTTGATAATAGACTTGCCCCGTCTAAGCCATTACCTCAGCTCCACCCGCCATCAACCTCAATCATCGCAACAACATGACGAGAATATACTGAGGCATGGGGAACTGGAAGGACGCACGGATGAGTGAATGAATAGATGAAGGGACGATATACCTCAGTAGGACATGGTACAGGCGTTGATGGAGAAGAGAACCGATCATGTATGTCTTTAATATTATAAGCTACATGCCAGTCCCTGTTACAGACAGGCAGCTAGGATAGGTCCTCGTAATGGAAGGAATCTAGAATGGCAATGGCAATGGCATGACATGTGCTACAACTACACGGATCCTTTTGATATCCATGCAGTAACAGGGCTACGATCCCCACAACGCGACATGTTTCAAGGGGGTTCACTGCCTCGAGATTCACGATAGAGTTTACCCGCAATCTAACATGTTGAGTGTGTAAAGACAAAGCGATATTACAACCAAAGCCAAGTTAAAAAAAAAAAAAAAAAAGCCAGGACAATACAAGACAATAAAACACACTGCACAGATCCTCGAACCATTGTGGACTGAAACAAATTGAAAAAGAAAAAAAAAACCGAAACAAATGTATGATAACCTGTTGTAGAGACCGCTCGCGAGAGTCCCGCCAACTTCCAAAGTGCGACAAATCCACAGCTACCTACTTACACACCCATCTCTCCCCTTCATAGCTAGACAAACTGCAAGCCCTCTATTCCATCTGTACGCTCCCGAATCAACCATCGACCGCTCGTAGCTCAGAAAAAAAGAAAGCCAGCTCCAACATTAGGCCCGTCGACCCCGTTTCGCACCACTGGGAAGATACAGTAAAGCAAGACCGGCTTGCCCGCCGGCATTATGACAGAGGCATAAGGGGGAAAACATCTGGTTTACCTTCTTTCGCAATCATCTCTCTTTCCCTAGAGAATCCTTACTCCATGACGGTGATGGGACTGTAGAACCATGCACGCAACCAAGTAACCCTTTCTCGCTGTGTCTGCAAAGTGAAGACGCAAGACACGCAAAACGAGACAATCAAATTCCAAATCCCCGAGAGAAAAAACTATGCCCGCAGACGACCGGCAAACCATGGTGGCCGACACCCATCCTTCCTCACACAACCAGCCGCGTATTGTTTGTATGAGTTGGCTTGTGAAGTACGGAAGAAACGCATCGGATTACAAAGGGGGGAATCGAGCCGCGAATGGAAACGGGTGTACTCGGGATAGACGGGTATAAGGATAAAACACGTTTACAGAACAAGGCACTTCTTGTGGCTGCTCTTGCGGGTGGAGCGAGACATGAGAGCAGCGCGAGTGGCGTGCTCAAAGACCTCGCGAACACCGCTGCCAGTCCGAGCAGAGCACTCCAAGTACTTGTACGCACCGATCTTCTTGGCAACAGCCTCAGCCTGTATTGATGGGAGTGTCAGTTTCGTCAAAGCAAATCAAGCGTCGAGGCAGAGTGAACTCACGTCCGAAGAGGAAACCGGCTTCTGGTTGGTTGCCCTCAAGGCCTCGATGGTGTTGGGGTCGTCTCGCAGATCGGCCTTGCAGCCGACCAAGATGATGGGAAGGCCTGAGCAGAAGTGCACGACCTCAGAGATCCACTATCAAGAGCAATACGCGTTAGATGTTTTTGTTTCCTTATCTAGATGGGCACATGCAGGGGGGTGCAAATGCAAGGGTGACATACCTTCTCAAGAACGTTGTCCAGAGAGTCAGGAGAATCAATGGCGAAGCAGATCAGGATGACGTGAGAGTCGGGGTAGGAGAGAGGTCGGAGACGGTCATAATCTTCCTGGCCAGCCGTATCCCAAAGGGCCAGCTCGACGTGCTTGTTGTCAACCTGGACGTCGGCGACGTAGTTCTCGAAAACGGTGGGGACGTAGACCTAGAATGATAGAACATGTCAGCACAGTGTTGTTTATTAAGCAGCACGTAAAAGGTGCTGACGGCCTTTTGCCATTTTTCTGTGCGAGATGGATCGATTATGATGATGGGTTAGATGATGAGGAGCAGTTTGATGGAGATGCTGATGGGCTATAGGCTGAAATGAAGCCATAGCCCCCCGGCCCAGATTTGACACGTCAGGGATTTCTCGCCGCGCTCTGGGGCCGATACCAACGTCACGCAGCACCCAATCTCTGTCCTGCAGTGCATCACCGTCAAGAGAAAAACGAATGATGGCGCCTGCAAGGCATCGAGTCCGCCATCAAACCCTCAATGGTGGTGTTGTTGTGGTCTCTTGGGCGGGAAAATAAAAACGGCGGCGGCTAATGAAAACGCGGCATAGGGCAAAATAGGGGATGGCAGATGCTGCGCTCAATGCGTACCTCAGGGAAAGCGCCCTTGGAGAAGACACTGCAAAACGGTGCGGTTAGCTCGACTCGTGCTCTGGCGGGCTCCAGACGGCGATGCGTTGCTTCGGTGTTGAGGCCACGGCTGCCTTGGAGCGTGCCGCCGAAAATGAAATGGGCGTTGGAGCAACTCACATCAACAAACAAGTTTTACCGCAGGCACCGTCGCCGACGATGACGAGCTTTCGGCGGATCTCAGCCATGGTGTCTGTGTAGTGTTGCGGAGTAGAAGATGAGAAGTCGGCTGGAAAGGATGAAGGCAGAGCGTCTCAGGCGGTTTTGGCGATGGCGGTTGGGATGGAATGAAAGGAAGAAAGACGGACGTCAGAAGGGGGATTGTGACGGAAGAGAGCTGGTCTGGGTCAGTCTGGGTTTGGCCTGCTGGGGCTTTTGGCTTTTGCAGACGCAAAGTACTGGGTACTTGGTGCTAGCAGTGCTTAGTACAGGTGACTGGGTGGGGAGAGGGGGAAGAAGAAGCAGCGAGAGCAGCCTGGCTTTTTGTTTCGGGGCGAAGTGACTGTGAGGACTTTGGGACTTTGGGGGGGTCCAAGCTGAAGGGGAGCAGGAAAAAGATTAGGACTGTCAGGTAGCGGCAATGTACCCACCGGCGCAGTTTAGGTGAAGGGGAACATGGCGACGATCAGTCAGTCAATGGCCTTTTCTTGAGCTGCGTTGTCCTCCGTACCTTGGCTAGCGTGTCCTGAGGCAGCCAACAATTTCTGGGGACTCGCCAATGGCTTGATTGCTCTGTTCCATGTTCCAGGGCAGAAAGGAGGGGCGGCTTGAGCCCGGGGGAGCAGCTCTGGGTGCTGTGAGCCCTCCAGCCACCGAGCTTTCAGAGGGAGATTGAGATTGAGCCAGCCCGAGTTCCAGGCATCCCCCAGCTGCGGTTTAGTGGCCTACCGTACCAGGCACTCGCACATGTAGGCGCAGGTCAGGTAGGTACATGTACATGCACGAGCACGGGTGTGCGCGTACTCGATACTCGGTACGGATTTGTTCAGCCTCTTTTTTTTTTTCTTCTATTTGCCTTGGCGGTCCAGCTTGAATCATCGGTATTAGCCGCTGATGCGTGTTCAAAAGCTACGAGGAGAGTCTGTACCTGACCGCTACTACATACAGTACGAGTACCAGCAAGAAAAAGCTGAACATCCATAGCAAACATAATATCCCGGGGCTGGACGCGTTGCGTTGCCTGGAAGCGGCAGCGGGAGGTGGCTGAGACGCTGGGAGATAAGGCCAGATACATGCGGCCAAGTACAACCGCAGCGCTAGAGCCAGGTACACGCTACTCGGCGCTCCGTACTGCGCAGCGCCTGGAAGTACGTGATCCTTTATATTACGAAACTCCACCGCTGAGTCAACCTGCGTACCTCTACATGATGAATTGCAGGCAATGAGCGCAGTTGTTGTGGGTGCGGCAAGTACAAGTACGCGGCGCCTCAGAAACATTAATAGCAGCGCGTTACGAAACCAGGTAGCGCTGCCTGCACTGCCGCCTGTGCAGAGTACGAGCGCTGAGAACCACGGTACGTACTGCAACGCGGTTGATGATGGAAGAGGCTGAGATGACGACCACTTTTAATTTGATCCCCAGATGATGCTCGGCTTGTGAATCATCTGGCGGTCTGTTTCGAGTGTGCAAAGGGCCAAGGTACATGTACATGATGTGCGTGCATTGAGGCGGTTTGCCGTTCAATTCATTCGCTACTGAGGCCTAGGGATATAGGGATTCATCTCCCCCAGGACCTCATCCAGGACCTCATCCACCAAGGTCCAGACCTCACTCAGCTCTGCCACAGCGCCACGAGGCTGTACTGCGAGCCGCAGCGTGCAAATTTCACGACATGACCTTATCTCATTAGGTAGGGCCTGTCTAGACGGGAGCTCAGCAGCGGTAGCACCAAGTGCTAACCTTTGTATCCACCCGTCCAATTTACTCTTGATTGGGATGACGATGCATGGCGTCTGGAGTCCCGACCTTAATATCAAGTCTGGTGCTCTGGTGCTCTGGATGATGTATCAGAATGGGCGCCAGTACCGGTACTTCGTATTTGGTGCCACCAACCAGATGCGCGCTCTTTGTCGCTGCCAACAAAATCTCACCGCGGTGCTTGTCTTGTCTGGTCTGGTCCAGTGTCTTGTTTTCCCCCAGGTCAGACCGCTTCCCGAAGCCTAGGCAGGGTGACACGGCTTGTGTGCCTCCTGACACGGCGAATCCTGGTGGCAAAGTCCTACGCATCTAGGACTTGCACGCCGGAAGCTGTCATAATTTAGCAGCAAATGCACATTCACGCAGCTGTGGGAGCTGCTGCATTAGTGAACCAAGCTGATGCACCTCAAATTAAGCAATCACATGATCGACGTGCTCACCAGACGACGCATTTCCTTGTTCGGCGGCTGCTCTACGGATACTGTAATACTGTTGACTGCACAGCGTCCTCGCCATTGCTCCCGAGGATGACTTGACGGTTCCGAGGCTTCCACGGAATCGACTCCTGGACATGTACGAGTACATTCACATTCTCGCCCATTGACCAGCGTGCGTGGATGCCGCCAGCAGTGCATGCAGTCCCCTGTGTTTACATCAATGTCATTCGTGTCAAATGCTCGTATCAATCTCTGTGATGGTGCAAGCGCTGGGGCAATGCCGCCTCTGCAGCAACAAGCTGCGTGAGCTAAGAGGTCTGGTAGGCAGTTCTGTGATGTGAGACCTCACTGCACGGAGCATTCGTACACTCCGTGCTCCGTCACAGCGTCGTGTCACCACCAGTCCGGCTCCTTACCCTGGGATACCAGCAGCCTCTCCTATTTTCTATTTCATTTTTTAATATTTTTGCTTTTTTTGTTTTTTTCATTCCGGCTCTCCTTTATTTCACGACTCTCGTCGCTCCATAACTCCGTGGCGCCGCTTGTAGCATCACAATGTTGTTTACCCATTCTTAGCGTGCTGCCAAGCGAAGTACCCCGTACTAAAGCGTTTAGGCCAGCACTCGGCCTAAGCCTATTGCAGTCCACACTGTGTCGTGCATGCTTAAAGTCCAGTATCATGAGCACATGCTTGCTGGTAAAATACAGTGTGAATGTCCACATCTCACACCTCAGCAAAACGTCTCCAGCGCTGGACCCTATCAGCTTATCAGTGCCACACTGGTGTGTCCCGCGCTAGGCCAATTGCTGGGTCGAAGATTTTCCGAGCCATCTGGTCATCAGTCGACATCACCATCAATTGCAAGCGGTGCGGGCAGCGTCCATTTGCGGTCAATGGGCTGCGTTTTGGAATCTTGGACATCCCTCTGAATCTCTTCCTCTTCATCCACCATGCAGAAGTTGGCGAAGCGAGCGGCGCAGGCCCAGCGCCAGGCGACCCGCCGCACGAGACTACAGATGGAGCAGGAAAATATCGACGGCAAGCTACGAAGTCGACTGGCGCTGCGATCAGCCGTAGAAGAAGTCCGACAGAACCTCAAGGACGCGAGACAGGCCCGGAAAGAAGACTGGGAACTGGGACCCCTGGCCCCTAAGCGAGATCTGGGCTTCAATGACTACGGCGCCTTCAAGGAGAACGTGCGACAGGACTGGTCAAACTACGGCCTGCACCAGCCAAATCCAAAGATTGTTGAGCAGCGTTGCGCTTGGGCTGGAGGCGTCAAGCAGCTGAACCTTGCGCCTGGAGATCGAGTGGTGATTCAGGATGGTCCGGACAAGGGAAAAATTGATCGCATCAGATCGGTTCAGCCCCAGGTTGGAACTGTCACCCTGGAGCACCGTCATCAGGTATGCTGTGCTTGGAGATTCTTTACGGCATTTCACGCAATAATTCGTACTAATCATGGACTTATGCACAGGCTGTTGTCCAAGGCATGTTTGGCAACCCCAGTCGACCGCAGCCAATGCCGATATCCATCGGATCCGTCCGTCTCGTCTATCCAATTACGAACCCCGAGACCGGAGTCACCCGAGACGTCGTCATCAACCAGCTCAAGGCGGTGCCCCCGAACATGCAGTCCCGTAACATGTCTCTCGACCGATGGCAGTACGGAAAGAAGTGGGATCGCGTGGTCCCCGGACTCAATGTTGTGATCCCCTGGCCTCAAGTTGAAGTACCCGAGTTCGAAACCATGGCCGCAGACACCGTTCGAGAGCAAGTTGAGGACAGATCATTCTACTACGGCCTATTGTCACCACCGATGCCAGAGCAGGTCGTGGACGAGCTGAGAAACAAATTCTCCAAATTCAGAACAAGACACGAGGCATGGTATATCGAGAAGAAGGAAACGGAGGAGGCTTTGAAGAAGGGACGACGAGAGACTATCAAGGCTATGCAGACGCCATTGGATGAGTTCCACGAGAAGAACCGGGAGGCCCGCGCAGAGGCTGGAGAACCAGAGCTGTCGGAGGAGATGCTGGCCAAGATTGGCGAGTTCATCGCCAAGAAGAAGTCGACGGCTCTGGAAAATGCTGGCGCTGCCGAGGTGGCTACATCACCAGTTCCTCCACAAGACAATCCCAATGCGCCGTCACCAACTGCTTGAGGCATGTAGATGATGATGAATGGGAAGGCGAAAAAAGAGGGATGAACAAAAATCCATGCCAACGGGACGAGCACCAATTGGCATGGCATGTGTAATTATATATACTAGACTTTGTGTGTACAAGCTGTACAGTACATTATGACGGAGCAAAAATGAAGACATTGACCCATCAACTGACTTATCCATCCATGAACTAAATCAATGTCATCTCTATGTGTAAGAAGGACGGGAGACTATCGTCCTTTTGTACCATAGATAAGCATCAGAGCAATTGATAATTGCCCTCAATCTCTTGGCTCCACCCACCCTCTATCTGATCAACCCCTCCCCCGCCTAAAGCACTGGTTGGCTATTCACTAAGGCGCAACGACATGACGTTCTCTCAGCCTGTTATTTTATATCCGAGCCTCGTTTCTTTTCACTCCTTTTCTCATCTTCTTTTGCCCTTTTCTAGCTAGCAAATTACGACAGACGATAGCATAGAACAGAGCATCATCGCCCAACATGTCGCATTCTCACGAAGGTGTCTCGCATTCCCACAGAGGCGTGTCGGCGCAAGAGCACGGCCACTCTCACGAGATCCTCGATGGTCCCGGCAGCTACATAGGCCGTGAGATGCCCATCGTCGAGGGTCGCACCTGGTCAGATCGCGCATTCACAATTGGAATCGGCGGGTAAGTCACAGTAACTGCAGCCTCAGTTCATGTAGATAACTAATCTGAGAGACATCTATAGCCCCGTTGGCTCAGGCAAGACAGCCCTGATGCTGGCGCTGTGTCTCGCCCTCCGAGAGAAATACTCTCTCGCCGCCGTCACAAACGACATCTTCACCAGAGAAGATGCCGAATTCCTCACTCGCCACGCTGCCCTTCCCCCGCAGCGCATCCGTGCCATTGAAACAGGTGGCTGCCCTCACGCCGCCGTCCGCGAGGATATCTCTGCCAATCTTGCCGCCCTGGAGGATCTCCACGCAGAATTCGATTCGGATCTGTTGCTCATCGAGTCGGGAGGCGACAACCTGGCTGCCAACTACAGCCGCGAGCTTGCGGACTTTATCATCTATGTCATTGACGTGAGTGGCGGCGACAAGGTGCCCAGAAAAGGAGGCCCTGGTATCACACAGAGTGATCTGCTGGTGGTGAACAAGACGGATTTGGCGGAGGCTGTGGGTGCGGACCTGGGTGTTATGGAGAGGGATGCGAGAAAGATGCGGGAGGGAGGACCTACGGTATTCGCGCAGGTGAAGAAGGATGTTGGTGTGGATCACATTGTAAATCTCATTTTGAGTGCGTGGAAGGCGAGCGGTGCGGAGGAGGAGAGGAGGAGTCGTGGAGGACCGAGGCCGACGGAGGGTATCGAGGGGTTGAAGAAGGAGGCATAGGATACGTGATGATATCAAGCAGCAACAAAGAAATTGCCCAATTTTGCTCACAGATATTACAGTCGTAGCTGTTCGTGATTGTTGGTCTTGACCATCACTGCCGGAAATGTTCGTATATCACTTTAACATTGTGCGCCTACGGGCAGCCGTTGCCAACCGGCGCGATCAATATTATTGCTCGATGTTTGACTCTGTTCTAACTCTACCTTTCCCATTAGTTAAACGGCAGATCAACTCACCGCCAAGGGCCTCTCCAACTCCAGATAAAAGAGCTGCTTCAGTCTCATCATACGCTCTCCTCATCCTTTACCTCCAGCACGCTCTCTTCTCGAATATTCTCCTCTACCCCCACCACCCTCGAATACTCAGCCAAGCACTCAACCAAACATTCATCCAAGCTTTAAACCAAACACTCAACCAAGGTATTCATCCATCTATAGCTAACGAAGACACTTCTTCAAGCTCACATAATCGTGTCCAGCATCCACACAATTCCAGTCTCCCGATCTCGATACCTCCAATCAACTATGCAAGATGGAGTCGCACGTCTGTCAGTTTCTCGACTTGCCTTTTGAGCTTAGGCTCATGATATGGAAGTTGGTCTTACGACCGCTAGACCATAACCGCCCTGGTGCTCACTTCTTTTCCGTGGTCAACAGAGCGGATGGCGTCGAGGCGAGAAGACTCAGTGCTCGATGCCCAATCTATGCTGATAACAATCATTGTTCCGGCTATCATCTTGCAGCGCCCAAGTTTGATTCCAACGATGGCGGCCATTCTTGGACGAAGAACAATCCATCTGCATACGCCTGGGATTTTGGCATGTGGACTGCATGCAGAGAGTCTCGGCAAATCATCAAAGCACATTACGGGAAAGAAGACTGGACTACGAGAACCCGAAGGAGCTCTTCTTCCAGACCCTCTATGTACTCTTATAACCAAAGCTGCATTTCACTCACTACATCAGGGAATGGTGAGAAATGGCGCTTCCGTATTCACCCAAAGCAAGACCTGGTGTGTCTCCAGGCATTTGACCCAAGCACCATCAGCTGGTGGGAGAATGATGACGGCGGGGACATTTGTGTTGCTATGAATGCTTACAACCATTTCCATTTTCCGAAATTATTTCGCTTTGGCCATGTGGCGATAGCATATGACCCCAGCTGGTATAATACCGATGAGGAAAATGACAATTTCAATTTCGGGCATCTTTATGCAGAGCAAAGTGCTCGAGGCTTCTTCATACGCACTCTTGCCACTATCGACGACTGTGTTCACTGCTTTGGAGGTAACGACAAACACAAGGCTCTTTGGCTTATTGATTACAATTTGAAGCGAGTTCGCTATTGCAACAAGAGCAGTAAAGAGAGAAAAGTCTTTTACGGCAATGGCCAGAATTTCATGGAGGTCGAATATTGGTTATCTAGAAAAACCTTCTCGTCTGGCCGATACACTTCGGCGTTCGACTTTCTGGATAAACTCTACAGGCTACTCGAAGGCGACAGACCTTGCCACTATATACATCACAGAATTGGCGCAACCGGCTGTAATGTGTGTAGGGGAAACGACTATAATCCCAGATCTTACCTAATCTATCGTCAGGTTCGTGTGTTGATGTGCGAGGAGAGCACATGAGAATCTGTGGTTGAGATCAAGATGATCTCGGGATAATAAGATCTCGTTTTGAAGGGGGGATAAGAAAGGGACTTGCTCAAATGGGATTTGCTTCACATATATCTTGGGAATTTATACTGGGCTGCTCGCCGTACGCGTCTACTCAATAGCTCTTTCGTTGTGCTCAAAGGAGTCACGCATTCTTTTCTTGCTTGGGCTAATAGGGCTCATTTGCTCAAAGATGAGAAAGGTCTTCAGATTTACGGAAATATTTACACGTTCTATCGATTATTGTTCCCTTGGTGACTCAGAATGCGGTTGCACTAACTTGGGCAAATGACTAGGAGACGCATACACTTATGACCTGGAAGCCTCGCATACTAGAACCTGAATAAGATATTGAAAAGCATCTTAAGCAGCCCCTATCATTTTTATGCTGTGCTTGAGTAAGTGCCTTATGACCGAACTGCTGAGTCTTTGTGTCAGTTGTCTAATCTCTTGCTGTATTCAGCGGTAATACAATCCACCCCCTTGTCTCTATAAGCAAAAAATTAGAAAGTGATCTATGCTGATAAATTGGAATTCGAGATGCACATAATCTTTCTCGCCTTCTAACGACTTTGTCGCAAGTAATATATACCTGCCTCTACGTTTTCGAACACACATTTTGTGAAATCGTCATGCATGTTCTATTCTGAATCTAGTATATCTAATGGTTGTATATACGCATGTGTAATATGTACAGAAGTCAAGTCGGCTTAGTTCTTCTTTGTTTTAGAACCCGGGACAGGATTTAAGTCCATCCATCATGTTGAACTCTCTTTCCACTGTGTGTGTACCATTTGAGGCAATCAAGTCATACGTTCGGATGTACGTGCCAGCCTGGTTGTTAGGGAAGTCTTGAGGAATGACTCCCGTGGCAATGGAGGCATTGTAGAGAGTGTATCCTGATCCACTGATGGGTCCAGCCTTGACAAAGTCGAGGGGAACAGACCCAACGGCAGGAGTAAGAGACAATAGGGGCTCTGGGACATGCACGATGGCCTTTAGTGTGTTGAGATAGGAGTCGTCGCGGATCTATTCCATATTGTTAGATGTTATTTGCAAGCGTCAGATTAAAGTGTGTGAGCTTACTGCAACAGTCAGGTTCATTAGTCCCTCAGTGTGTGTCTCGGTGCACGAGAGCTGCGGTTGCGTGAGAAGAGTGTCATCGAATGGGAATCCATTGCCGCCATTCGTATGAAGAGTGCTGTTAGTCACTCCGTTGATGTTGTCGATGACCTCGACGTCAAATCCGGAAATACCCTGGGCAAGAGGCACCTCAACCGTGAAGGGATACGTCCAGAAGGTAAGTGGGGGGTTTCCGTACATGACGTGGCCGGAAGCGAATGCTGGGATGTTGTTGCTAACAGTGCAAGGCTTAGCCGGTGTGCATGTCACTCCGGCACGAGGGTGGATGTGAAGCTTGATGGAGCGGTTGGGGTTGGCGGCGACAGTACCGATAACCTATGGTGAATTCCGTTAGTGAATCTTATTCTATGTTTCATCATTTGTAAAGACAAAATAACTAACTCGGATGTAGCCAGTCAAGCTCATCGTTCCGTTAGAGTTGACGGTAGCAAATAGACGTGATGGCTTCACAGGATAAGGCTGAAGAGGCTCGGTAAGAGTCACACCCTTGGGGACTGTGTTAATCATTCGCTCGAGCAGATCTTGGCACGTCTTGTAAAAGTAAGCAGGAGAAGTTGCCATGCGTCCAATTTCGATGCCTCCATCTGAAGCAAAGATTCTTGCATCAGATCTGGTGGTCTCATTGTGGCCAAAGGCAAGGGGGTTCTGTGTGACGTTGTTCACATATTGAACAGCACTTGCTTCATGTTAGCTGGTATTCTTTCTCAAGCAAGTGCTGATATCTTACACGGTGTTGTCGAAGGCAGTGAATCCTGAGTTGGTCGTGTCAAATGTCTGAGTGTTGTCATCTGTGGCCTGCGCGTAACCGTTAGCCCATCTTCAATTCTGAGTAGGCGGCCCCCAGTCCCATAGCCATGTTGACATGATCAAAAAGAGCATCTTACCGGATCATTTACAACGTCTACAATCTCCGGAAAGTCCACACCGTGAACTCCTCCAAGGGTATGACCGCATGCAACCAGTCCGATCATTTCCTGTGGAGTGAATCCCTGCTTCTGGAAGCTGGTAATGTGTTCATCCAAAGGCTGCTCGGGTCTGGGCACGCCTGTCGGGCCCGGGCCAGTGGCATCAACTCTACCAGCTCTGAAGGGAATCTCGACGCTTCCATTCGAGCAGCCATTTGCCGCAAACAGTGCCCCCATAGCAATAAGATCCGCCATCGACGACCGCGGTGTCAAAAAGGCAGCCAGGTTCATCAGCGTCTCGTTGAATCCAATACCTGGGTTCTCGTCACGGTTGACTTCAAATCCAATCGACGCGTCGATACCTCCTATTCCATTCTCAACATCCGCAGTTGCCATGTCGTGATATGCTGTACGCAGCCATTCTGCGGCGCCGTTACGGCCGGTGCCAAAGGTAACCTTTTCGCAAGGAACAATAAAAGTCGCAGGAGAGTTTTGGGAGTTGAAGCCTTGTTGCTCAAAGAGCATGCTCTCCAGGAGATCGGTGTTGGCTGGCCAGATTTGTTCCTTCTCGGCATAAGCTGAGCCAGCTACCAAGCCGAGTTTGGCGACGGCAGAGAGGAAACGATTTGACAACACCATGGTGAAAGTTTAGAAGCGTGTTACACCTATGGAGTTTTCGTGAGCTAGGAGTTTGTCGCCCCTGTTACAGAGGTTTCAACAACATAGTGGCATCTTATATAGCATCCGCCTGTCGCGTATGGTACGAGGCCGAAACCGAGAGCAACGTTGTGCCCATGTTCTTGGCCAAAGCCCGTCCCTGGTTCCTGAAGGGAATCATTCCTAAATTTTGGTCACCTTCCTCTTAAGACGTACTGGGAGCGCATTGAATAAGATATACCCTGAATCGCGGACGTAATATAAAGAGCAAAGAAAGTCTCCCGTGGTTGCAAAATTGGCATCCTCCTGTGAATAATTCCGCAAACGCCATTGGGTGCCTCGCGCAGCGGTCAGCCCGTAGCGCTGGCAATCATGCAAGGGCGAATACGACCTGCCTATAAAGCAAGATCTATGGTTCAAGTGAGGACAAGGTAAGTGCGTGTAATAAACAAGGGACTGCTGTAAGCCAGGATCCCTCTGATCTGAAAAACTTAGAGTTGGGTGAGATTTTAGCATACGGGGCTCATGAAAAAGACTTATAGCGGTTCGACGATCCACCACTGCCTTGTGAACTCTCGCCCGGCTTCCGGATGCATCGAACCATATTTGCTTGGGTATCGAGAAGTCAGCGTCTGGCTAGCCTTTACTGGCATGTGTGAAGCTGACACTTGGGGATCCCGTCTCTCCGTATTCCCGACTAAAATCGGCCATACAAATAACCAGTTGCTGTCTACGGCATAGGAATGGCACGGCGTACGTAAGATGAGCAGCATTGCACTTGAATACGCTTCGCGTGTTTATCACAACTCTCATAAGCTCATCCTGTCTAAACGGGTCTCCGGCAATGTGCCTTGTGCGGCATTTCGGCTTGTATTTGCTCAACACCAAACTAGGGATGATACAGGGGACGCATGGCAGACGTGTTAGCATAGTGCCTTTCTCACGAACAAGGTTGAAGAACATGTATAGGAGCGGTTTAATTTGAAGGAATCTAATTTGTACTTTGGACGAGACTTCTAGTGCTATAAAGTTAAATTCCTCCCCTCCCGGACGCGCGGCAGGACAATGGTCAGGGCCAGGTTTTAAGATCCGAGATACTCCCAGGCGACCGGGAGTACCCGTGTGGCGTAGATAAACTTCATGGTAACAGAAAGCTGGACGAACTGCATTAGATTCATCTAGAATCTCACAGTAGGTTAAATTTTGGAACGTCATAACATCCTCAAGATGCTGGAGCACCGGTTTCTCGATTCATGAGTTTTCTTATTGTGGCCTTGAAGAGTTTTGTCAATTGTCTGTAGTTGATCAAAGCTATAGTGGTGTTGCTAACTACCCACTGGAATGGAGGATCAACGTTGAGTGTCGTTATGAAGCGGTGATACAGATCACAATTGGTGAACGAGTCATCAGTTATTTTCACAAGCGTGTTTCTCGAAAAGTAAATAATTACAAGATTTCTTAGCCTCGAATGTCGAAAGAGATGTATAAGCAGTTGCTATTGTGGCTGTTCAACACTAAGGGTTTGCTAGATCTTCACTGCGCCATGAGAAACAAATAGTCCTGCTCAGTGGGATGCATCGCCGGCGGCAATAAGCCAATAAAAGTCCACCATCGGCTCCGCCGCGCTGCGCATGATGCCCATCATGGAAGTAGGCCTCCAAAAGACTTGGTTGGGCAGAAAATAAGCCGTAAGGCACACTTACTGAACGACCTAATCATATTTGCCTGCACCCTGGTGTCACGAACGAGATTTGCGTCGATTGACGAGAGAGGGCAGCCGATTTATATGCATCATTACTCGTGCATTAAAGATATATATATATTCCTGCTGTGTTATGAATAGCCACGAAGACGCATCAACGAGCATGAACGACAGCATCGACAACAACTTAAATCGCAAGTCAGGATTTCGACACCCCACTATCAAAAGTGCAACAGAAACTCGGCTACTTCAGATATCACGAAACCCAGCAGATCACAGTTGGCAATACGCTTTAGTTGTGGTGTTGCTAGAGGATCTGTCTTCTACCTCCTATAGAGCTCTATCTTATACATGGGGTAAGGCGACCTCAGCAGATGACCTCCGATCAATACAAGTCGGCAATCAGGCGTTCTTTGTACGACAGAACCTCTTCGACTTTCTTGCTTCAGCAACAGCCAGGGAAGAATGCGGACTTTTCTTTATCGACGCCGTGTGCATAAACCAGCTCGATTATGACGAGCGACAAGCGCAAGTCCAAGCAATGGCTTTGGTCTACAGCCGCGCAACATGCGTCATCTCCTGGCTTGGAACATTGCCACACGAGTATGACGAGGGTTGTCGAGCTCTGAGCCAAGCATCAGAAGTGTCTTGCGCAAGATGGTCAGAAAGGGAATGGAAGGCGCTCAAGTATCTCAGCTATGCGCCGTATTGGACCCGCGTCTGGGTTGTACAGGAAGTTTTGCTGGCTTCTCACTTGACGATATGGTGCGGACCTTTTACATTCTCACCCACGCTCCTCGGCAGAACACCACAAGTCAGAGAAGCTGTTTATACGAAATTTGGTGCGGACGGCAGGCCGAGTGTTTCGAGAAGCGATACAAGCCGACTACGCTGCCCATCAGAGGCCATTCTTGCACACAGAATGAGACTCGTTCCCCGGATGAAGAAGGACACTACTCCGGAAGGATGTCCTATTGGCACTCTGGAAGACATGGTGTCTGATCTTCAAAAGCCTTCAATGAGCTTTGAAACATATCAGTCTCGGGTTTCAGATGAGCTCCATAGCATCATGCGCAAATTCGGCCGCCTACAATGCACAGACATACGGGACCGTTTATACGGCTTCATCGGTCTACTCGATGAGAGGAGCCGCAAAAAGTTGAATCCAGATTACAAGAGGAGTGTTGAGTATGCCTTTTATCAGGCACTGAAATTTGGATTGTCGGAGCTATGCCCGGGTTATGGCGTCTCTAGTTGGGGACTTGGGGACTCCTGGATCTCATATTTCTGCGAGGTACGAGACGCCTTCAATATGGGTGATGAAATCAGCGTACGGATATTCCGCCAGGTATATCGCGAGCTCGATTTCAAGACACGAATGGAGGATGTCCTCTTTCAGGAACAGTGGGATATCAACTACGGTTGGAGAGGGGCCGATGCCGTTCACTATCACGCTTTTGCTCATATGATCCTCGATGATGAACTGGACGACGACGCATCTTCGGACACTCATAGCCCGCTATTGCTTAGGTTTCACAACAAACAACGGCGTTTATGTGAGAAGATGTGAGTTTTTCTCTTCTGGGCGATTGAAGATGTAACATTTACTGACCCAATTTCTTAGATCAATGAAGATTCGACGGAGACCGAAGGCTTCCTATAGTAGATTATTAACGTGAACAAGATTTTGATACCCATTAGAAGCAGAATAGCGATACAGTTAGATTCCGATGATCCAGCAGCATTTATGTATGTCGAGTCAAGTCGGCTCATCTAGGAAGAACGCGATGGCCCGAAAGAAATAGACTTGCCGACGAACACTAAGACTGAAGAATTAAGCCTTGAACATGCCAGATGAAAATAGTAAACTTCTACGCAGAGCATCAGGTGAGTCATGCGACAGGAAAAGAAGAACTACCTACTATGACCAGGTAGCCTGCCAAGTGGACAAAGCGAGACCGTAAAGTAAATAAGTGTATGCATTCAGCAATAGCAACACCCAATCAGTTTAATACTAAGTGTTAGACAAATCCAGTTATAATAGCGAATATTAAAAATACATAACTATACTAGCAGTTATTAAAGAAATATAGCTATAGTAGCAGATATCTAAAGAAGGCGTTTAGTTCATCGCATGGGTGTTCGAAACCTTCTCAGCCTCGGTTTTCCTGTCCTCCACTTGCCTGCGCCTAAACTATCGTCTACTAGCAGACAGCCACAAAAGCCAGACCGCAACGCCTCCACCCAAAGGGCTATACACTCTTTGTATTTTTCTTATACTTTGGAGACTGGCTAGAAATCTCTCGACTATAAATAAACAAAACAACCCTTCTCCCGGACCGCGACTTGTTACATCATACATCATAACAAACGTTGCAATCACTACTTCTTCTCTCGATTATACATGCATCGAACACTTGGACGAAAACAACCAACAAAGAGGGTCAATATGGAACTGGAAATTGAAGAACTCACCGTCACCCTGGGATCGACGCAATTGGAAAGAATCGGCCAAGGCCACTGCGGGACGGTGTGGGCAGTCCATTGTTCGGATTGCAATGGGCATCTTCACATGGCCATGAAGCGTGAGGATGGCGCCCCTGGAAGATCAATCACTCTTGAATACCAAATGCATCAAAAATTACTAAAAGCTTCCCTACCATCTCGATTTACCTCTTTCGCCATACCTAGATCCTTTGGATACTTGGCTTCTCAGGACAGCGCGACTTGGTCCGGCATTCTCCTAAGGCTGCCTGCGAATTACACAGGATGCAACGCTATTGTTAGCGAGAAGATTGTACCAGTTTCAACTTCCATTAGGAGGCATCTTGTGCAAAAACTTCGACCTGATGTCAACGTGGAAGACGTCATAAACAGCCAGAGCAACGAGCATTGTCTCATTCGACCGTATCTTGGTCGCCGAAGATACCGTCGCAGTGAGGCCGAGCCAGCTACTGGACAACCGAGACAACGATTACGAGCATTCAGTTTGCGAAATTTCCCATTACACTTGGATCAGATGGAGCAACTTGGGATTGATGCAGGAGATTATGCGATAGGAATGGCAGATGCTCTTGCTTTCCTGCACTGGGTTGCGAAGGTAGACGGCAATGATGTCGAATATGTGCTCGCACAGCCTCGAAGCGATTCCGATACTGCCTCAACTCAGGGTCAGCTCGATGACAGACACTTAAATAACACCAACATATTAGGTCCTCATGCATTGTGGATATTGGACTTTGATCTGTGCAGGGATTTGATTTTCGATGAAAAAGGCATTGAGCAAGCCTGTAAGGCGTTTTGGCGCAACGATCCATTTTATCCGCGACCTGGTAGTTCTAATACAGAGAGCCAGAGGCTTTGGGCAATATTTGAAGAGCGATTCATGGTATCAAGCGCTGAGGCGTTGAGATCCGAGCCGGACCAGATTAAACAGCTCCCTAAACGTCTGATAGAGATGATCAAACAGGCAAAAGGAACTATGACAATTGGTAGTAATTAGGCAAGGGCGCCTTGGAGAAACTATGGAGGATTTATGATTTATAATAACGGCAAGATTTTAATAAAATATGTTCATTTTTTTACATTTAGTAGCCACAAGATCAATTGCTCCAGGCATGCATGAAATAAAGAGCAACATCTTGCTACTCAACTGCATCCATTCCATTGTCCGACTGGCCCAAAGCAAACCCCGGTTTTCAGATGCGACCATCCTCTTAGTTATTGAAGTTTGCTGTTGACAAAGGAGAGAGCCTGCTGTCCATACTCCTGACCATAACCCTGGTGAGTGTTTGCGTTGTTTCCGTTGCAGCAGTAGGGGTCTGAAGCATCGCAGTACGACTTGATCTTTGATCCGCTGGGGCAAACGAAGCCAGCAGGGCGAGCAGCAAACTAATACACGACACATTAGACACAGCACTTGTAAGAGGTCAATCTTTGAAAGAGGTCGAATACGTACACCCTGGGCTTGGCAAGATCCAACATTGTACGCCAGTCCGCGGACATAGCGAGGGTCGCCCATGAAGATTGCGGCCCGGATGGCACTGACTGCTCCCGCAGAGAGAGGGACAGCGGTGTTTGGGTAGCCATTTCCAGGGTCACCTCCTCCACATAGCGCGTCATCCATGATTTGGCCACCCTGTGCGATATGTAAGTATATGTATTGCATTCCGTCAATACACTCAAGGGACACAGACCTGCGAGTATCCAACCAACACAAGCTTTGTGTTGGGGCATTGGTTGTGATAGTTGTTCACTGCCTGGACAACAGCATTGATACCAGCCACCACAGAGTTAGCATAGCTAATACCACCGCATTGGCTCTGACCACCGCAAGCTGGGTAGTTGATGGCCTCGGCCGTTGTTCCGGGATGAGAGTTGACAATTAGGTTCACAACAGTACCAGAAGAGCCATATCCTGGTGGTGCTGTGGTTTCACGGGCGCCAAAAACGTGGATTCCGGGGCATTGACGCTTCTCCAACTCCACTGGGCTGGCCGTGGCGAGAAGAGCCTGGCTCAGCAAGAAAGTAATGGTGCTCTTAACTGATGGCATTTTACTTTGATGAGAAAATATTTATGGGTGAAAGTCAATTGCTTGAGTTGAATGAATGGTAAGATACTGGTCGTTCCAAGGCATAACTTTGCTTAGAGAAATTAGGGGATTATATAGAAACGAGTACTTTTATGAAGTAGTTTGACGATATTGATGATCAGATTTATTTACAGTGTCTAGGTGTTTGTCTTCACCAGCCGCTTATTCCAGTTTCATGCCAAAGCCCCAATTCGCTCTAGTTACCGTTGTATTCCTTTTCCCCAGCCAGCCATCCAGATGATGCTGAGGTTTAGGCTAAATCAGTTCCGCTGCAGCCATGAACACCGATTGGATGCTCTATTATTATTCATTGCCAGCGAAACGTGTCTGGCATTCTCGTCACTGCACATGGGATAATATGTCAATGGAGATCGTCAGCCAGCTTGTCATCGTATTGATCAAAGCACCAATAGATCACATCGATTGTCTAGCTCAAACCCTTTGGACCGAGGAGCCGACATGCAGGTATCTCAATTACGCGGCTTCTTGGACAAAGGTCAGTCTCCTCTTTTGCCGGGCTCGTCCGCATATTCGCGGGTCCTTGTACGACTCCAATCTTCTGCATGGGGAATGTGTAATGCTTATTACGACCACCGGGTAAGTTGCTCAGTAATACGAACCTGGCTTGACTTTGTCCCAATCGTCACACTTGCTATGCCACAACCATAATTCTGAACACCTACTGTTTCACAGACCAACAGATTTAAAAGTTCAATAGAAATATAGGCCATTACTCACAACAACTCAAAGTGTACTGTCTCATAGATTTAGAAGCTTTTTAGCTACAGTCTTCCTTTGGAGAATGGTCATATGAAGGAGTCCAATGTTGATTAGGTGTCCATTTGCCAAGGTTTCTTATATTAATATGTTAACTTTAAAAATGCCCTATGTGCCGGTTAATCTGCATCCAACATTCTAGCCTTCTCTCCCCATATCTCCACATTGTCCAATTGCAGGTCATCTCATGCAAGTGTTACTAAATAGACCGAGAAATGGGGGCTGAAGGGCGTTTCAACCCCACACTGGGGTCGGATGCTTATTGTGAGAGAGGTTGCAAAGAGACACCATGATGCAACCTTTCGGCAGATTTTTCAACGTGGGAGCGCTGGATCTTGAACATCTAATTGGTAGGCTAATTGTAATTACTTAGCCGGACGCACCCCAGATCTGCAAGGTCAGTCGCGACCACCCGAAGCCTGACTTAAGGTTTGAATGACTGGACATTAGAGATGTGAATTCTGCTTGATCCGCTGTTAGATGACTTGGCATGAAACGTGATTATTAACTTCATCTGGATATGCCATTAAACCGGCATTTGTGAAGTTTAGGCAATACTCTTGCCTCTTTTATTGACAAAAGATGAAGAGCCGGGCCCACAAACCTTTACTGAGCATCACACCGACTCTACTTAACCGTCATTTCCGTTATGTGATTCAACCTGGATGCAAACACAAGTATTCGCGAGAACTCCTTGTGACTTCATTGTATTTCTGTTCATGTGTAGTTATGCGCTGAGATCTCATGTGTCGGGGCAAAAGTTGCTAATTATCTGCTATGTCACTGCTCTAGCCGTCTTCAGGTGAAGAAGATCTCCGCCAAAAGTAGCGTTTGCCGTAAAGAACTGCTTATTTAGGGTAGAGGGTTGGTCTCTGCGACATCCTCTCGTTGATGCTATATAACGATAGCGGTCTCGCTATAAATAAAGTGCAAAATTTGTTTCAATAATATTGTGAGCGGGATTGAAGTCAATTTGTCCCGGTCGGTGTGATACGCCTCATTTCATTGTTTGTTTTGCGTGGGAATGTAATGCTGTGTTTTATTCTTTGTGCTCAGTTGAACTAGAAATTAGGCAATTTAGAATCAAGAGGTGAGTGCAGTCTGACGAGACATTCATCTACACCAAAAGAAATGATTACACAAGGGCTGATTCATCAAGACCTGATAGCCAACGGAATTAAATAAAACAAAACATATCTTGGGTGATTGATCTAGTTTCAATCTCGCAATTCGCTACACTCTTTTCTCCTGGATTTCTATGGAAGAAAATCGTTCGGTTTGCAAGACAGCTCTATAAGTGCAAATATTTTGGTTAGCCAATCAACAGGACCCATGGCGCAACGGTAGCGCGTCAGATTCCAGCTCGGAATCTCCTGAAGGTTATCCGTTCGAATCGGGTTGGGTTCAATACCCTTCAAACTCTCTTTTTGCTTCTGCCTCCATTTGTTTGCAGTGCTTCAGTTTCGTTCACTGAAAATTGACCCATGTGAGACTTCTTTGTCTTCGCATATTATTTTTTTCTTCAAATACCTACCATCACATGTTACTCGACACATAACGAGTTGCCAATCGCTGCTCTACCACTCTAGTTGGGACATTGGCGCTATTTACTCCCTCATTACCACGTTAGTTGGTCAAAGTAACGAATAAACGGACGCAAAGAACGGATACGCTGCAACCCAATCAAGACAGGTGAATTCTAGGCAGAAGAGCCATCATTTTCTGATTTGACTTATATTCTACCAATACGCTTCCTTATACTATAGTCTTTTGTCCAAGTCCTCGGCTTTGGTCTATGAGTCTAGGTTCAATGCGTGATTACGGAACTCACTCCCAAGACACAAAATCTCAATCAAAAACAACGCCGTTCCTCAGAGTCCCAATGCCAGAAATGTTTACTTCCATTTGAGTTCCTGGCTGCAGCCATTTAGGAGGATTGAAGCCTGCACCCACTCCTAATTGAGAACCGAAAGTTAGTTGATATGTAAAATGCGTTGCCCGGGTATCGCATAAGACTCACCACCAGGCGTTCCAGTCATGATAACGCTTCCGGCCTCAAGTGTTGTTCCCTGACTTAGATAGCTGACAAGCTCAGCGCAGTCAAATAAAAGATCGGAGACACCTTCATCTTGGCGGACTTCTCCATCGACAATTGTCTTCAATTGAAGCTTTGATGGATCGTCAACCAGCTCAGAAGACACCAAACATGGACCTAGGGGGGCATAGGTATCAAATCCTTTGCTGAATCCCCACTGAGGCACAGGACCTGCCAGAGTTTTGTCTCGCTGCAGCTTGCGTGACGAAATATCGTTGCCACAAGTATACGCTGCGATGTAAGAAAGTGCATCTTCTCGAGATACATTCTTGGCTGGCTTTCCAATCACAAAACAAAGCTCGCCCTCGTAATCCGCCTGTTCGTCTTGCGCAATCTTTGGAATATGGACGAGTTCATCATGGCCAATGACGCAGGTCGATGGCTTGAAGAAAATGAAAGGATATGGTGGAACTGTTCTGTTGGCTTCTCTAACTGTAAAATAGTCAGCTTCTTGTCATGGAAACATATATAACGTAGTCACTGACTGTGTTTGGCATAATTGAGCCCTACACATCTCAGTACAGGTACTTCATTTTGTGCAAGCGGTCCAAGTAATTTCTTGACTGTGACAACTTCTTCGGTCACTTTAGTTTCTCCTGTGGTATCGTATATGTCGTCCCCAATAATGATCTTAGCCTTTAGTTTTGTTTCTTCTGTGGTAGAGCCTATATCAAAATTTGGTGATGGGAGGATGGGCTCTCCACGAAGAATCCGACCATCGGTCGCCACGAAGCGAATGAGACGCTGCCAAACAACCTTCATCTTCGTAGACTTGGATACAAGTATACAATGCTAACTACACCAAGCTATTCGATGACGGATATTAATTTAAATCATTGTTTATTTCATGAATCACTAATACTAACAATCCGGGGATCTGGGGACGGTATCCGAACGGGTTCGATCGGTGTAAGCCACATTCCGGGGATGTTTCGGACGCATTTCCGGCGGGGGCAGTTAACATGAACTCTCGGGTTTATTTGCCTTTAAACGGTTTTAGAGCGTGGAGTGGCGCTAGATATGTGATCTTCTTGCATAAGGTGCTTAGTCCCGAGTCCCGATCGGTTGGTTAGTTGACGCCGTCATAAGATCTTTCTCTGGCAGCTTTAATCCACATCAAATACTTATAAGCTTCTATCAAATCGCACAACTTCATTATTTATTTGAACCGTCTTAACTTTACCAACACATGCAAACCTCTGTAAAATAGCATCATTTGCTAGCATTATCTGACTTGTCACCATGACCGTGAAGGGGAAGCTGCCTTCTCCATCAGCGACAGTTGACGTTTCTGCGCTCCCCACTGGCAAACTCTACCTCCCCGATCGATGGCTCTTTGAAGATGGCGACAGTGATATGCAGAAAGCAAGACAATTCTCTCCCGATTTCAGCTTCCTAATCAGTCATCCATCTGGCGAACACATTCTGTTCGATCTTGGAATGAGAAAAGTGTGTTATTATTCGTCTTTCCATGAAGCGGTGCCGCCGTGCTGACAGCTCCTCCATGATAGGAACTGGAGAACAATCCGGACGTTATCCGGGCCGACTATCCTTACATTTCCCCAGTCGTACCGAAAGATGCCACCGATCTTTTGGATGAAGGCCCGGTAAAATCTTCTGATATCTCAACTGTTGTGTTTTCACACCTTCACTTTGACCACACCGGAGATCCAGCCAAGTTTTCTCATGCGACTTTTGTAACTGGCCCAGGATCTTCTGCAGCAACCACTCCGGGATATCCTAGAGCAGCCAAATCGCCATTTTTATCCGTCGTCATTGAACACCCAAAGTATCGAGAGCTTTCATTTGAGACAGATCCGTGGGTTCCGATCGGACCCTTTGAGCGTGCATACGATTATTTTTCTGATGGCTCATTCTACCTTATTGAGACACCTGGCCATATGCCTGGCCATTTAGGTGCATTGGCACACACAGGTACGGATGAATGGGTGTTTTTGGGTGGTGATTGTTGCCATCATCGCGCATTGCTAGTAGGAGCGCGACCGGTTAGTACCACTGTTGGTCCAAATGGGACACCAAGCTTTCATAAAGATCCCTTAACGGCCATCTCTACCATTGAGAAAGTAAATATGTTGCAGAGCGGAGGGGATGTAATGGCTGCATTGGCTCACGATGCTATTTTGGAAGGACTAATGCCTCTATATCCGGAGAAGCTCAATGGATGGAAAGGAGCTCAGTGGAAACAGGATATAGATGACATAGTAGAGCAGATGTACTCTCGGTAACAGGTCGGAAATAAGAAGTACACCAGAATGATGGTGTTTTAACAAATCAGGCTGACTTCTATGAAGCTAATTTGGAAAGAATCCAAGATTTCTTTTCCGAATAAAGAGTGATTCTCTTCATCGGGGAGTATCCTAGATGAGACGCTGTAAAAAAAGATGACTAGGGAGTATGTCTGCGCTGTTCTGGCCGCCGGACTTGGTTGGCGCATTCTGCTGTTTCAATCGGCCTTTGTAGTATCGAGCTGTTAAGACGCATGTCGGACATGTTTTTAATTGGCGTATATGCCTCGTACTGTAAGATAGTGATTTAAAAAGCTATTCAATATTTATTAAAAGTATCTATTTGTACCTATACCTGATGTATATTACATAGACGTCCTCCTATTCTTAGGCTGATGATTGCGGAGATTCCCCAACCCTAACTCCGGTCCGTTGTCCGCTGTAGGCGTGATTCCTGACCAGACGTTTTAATTTCCACTCTCGATACTCAACATGAACGATCTAAAGCAGATGGCAGGAACAACATTCTATTTCGTCGATGGCGCTCAAAACAACAGAGCTGCCAAGAAGCTGGCACGGAGCCATGTCATGAAGGGCAAGAATGCTGGCAAAAAATTCCACCGGCGATCAAGGCTGCAACTCGTACCGCCAAGGGTCAATGCAGGTGAACGTGCAATCATCCTGCGGCGGGATCTGGACAAATCGCAAAAAGAGTTCCACTACAGCGATGAAGAATACGCCAAGCTTATGGCCATTATGGAATATCCTCGTAATGCAATATTGGCAGGCCTGCCGGTGAACATTACTAACCATTCGATGGAAATAATGAACGAGTGTGAGGCTCTACCATTCGTCGCGACTTCTTATAACCCGATTTGTAAAACAACTGCGATAACTTATACTAGATTTTACCCGTATCATGAATAGGTTATATCGCTTTAACCCATGGCTTTCAATGGATGAGGTTAGGAGAATGTGGCTCCCTCTCATTTTCGCCAATCAACCGGGTATGTTTGAGCGTGTCCGCCGGAGTCATGCAATCACTCTAACCAATCATAATATTCAGCTTACCATTGCAACATCGCCCTCATGCAAACGTGCAACGAGATTTACTCCGACAATGGAAACAGCTCGCCCAAAGCATTATACCATTTGTCAGAGACGTTCAATTATGTTACGAGCCTACTTGCTGGCCCCGATGCCCTATCAGATGCCGCAATCATGATCGTGGTGACTCTTGTCAGCCAAGAGCTGATCAGAAAGGGATACGGGAACCTCAGAGTCCATCTTGATGGCCTGCAGAAAATGATTCAGCTTCGTGGTGGCCTGCCCAAACTTGAAGGAAGTGTTGGACTATTAATGAAACTATGCAAGTAAGTACCGATACGATAATAATACAATCGTTGATGGAGATGGTCTAGCTTACATACAGTCTCAAAGAGTAGATATTATGCTTGCAATTCAGCATGGTGGGCCGCCATTATTCTTTAGAGATTGCATGGCCAAAGTACGGAATATCTTGGCACGCAAAAAGATAGACTTCGATGGCAATGCTGCCACATTGTGCCCGCAGCACGATTTGCTAGAACCATATCTTCACGACATATTGGTGGATATGATGGGGGCGACGTCGCTATTCAACAGGGGCGTAAAACTCGATTTGGAAACTCTTCAAGAGATGATATTCTCGATTGGATACCGCCTCACACAGTTCCGCCCTTCAGAAGAAGAACGAAGACTATGGCAGCTACAAGATTCCTACCACACGGGCCTGACAATATTGACAATGACTATCTTTCTACATGGTGGACGCCGCCAAATTTTGGACTACGAACGCTTAGATCGTCGACTGAAGGAAATTCTTGACAGTGATCTGGAAGATCACAATCCTGAACTCGCCCTCTGGCTTTTAATTCTTGGTGGTGTTTGGGTGTCAGATGGCTACGATGAGCACTGGCTTCCACCAAGGATACCGTCAATTGCAATGAGACTCAATATTCGCAGCTGGGATGAAGTATACACCATCCTTGGTCATTTCCCCTGGATTCATGTCTTGCACGATGACCCGGGCCGTGCGTTATGGGATCGATCGCACCAGGACGAGCTAATGTCGAGCTGGATAATGTTGTGAAACCTAGTATTTCATCTTCAACTGTACTAAGTCTCTATTTCCTCGATTATATGGACACGAGGAGCCCAAAGGCTCATAATCTTAAATAACCTCACCAAGAGAACTTTTCCTTCACCAGATCTTCCGATACCGCCCAGAGCCTCTCAGCCTCGCTGCTGGATACAGCGAGGGGGTGTGCGGCATTACTAATTTGACAATCAACTAGGAAAGATCCGTAATTCTCCTTGCCATCGACGGTCTCACCGGGTTTCAGTTTGGGATCCAGAGCAGCTACCAGCGAAGTTGAAGCTCCCGAGCCGAGGGTTTGGTAGAGAAACATGCCCTTTTCTCTCATGACTTCCAAGGCTGCCCGTTGTTCCTCAGTAAAGGCCCTGCCCAAATCCGTTGGCATGACACCAGGATGCACGGCCACGGAGAGGATACCGTACTTCTCGTAAAGCCTCTTGGTTGCTCCGATGCTGAAAAGCACATTGGCTACTTTACTGCGGTTGTAGCCATCGATAGGCACGTATGCTTTATCTTCACAGTCCTTAAACCCCCATGCCTCTAGGATCGGATAGGGCGGCTGTTCTATTTCGGGCAGCTCTTTGTTGGGCTTATCAAAATTGATGTCACTCCAACGCATAGTCGCAACGGTAGGCGATAGGGAAGAGACGTTGACAATTCGCGTGGTTCCCTTGGGTTTGCCCTCGGCAGACTTGATCAGCTTTGGCATGATAAGGCATGTGAACAGCCAATGTCCGATGTGGTTTGTCGCAAAGTGCATCTCAAGTCCGTCAACACTAAGTGTTCGCTCTGGGAGGCACATCACGCCGGCGCTATTCACCAAGATATCAATGGCAGGCACATCAGACCAGGCCAAGACTTCCGCGGCTGCTTCACGAACGGACTTTTGGCTGGAAAGATCAACCTTTAGCGCACGACAGTTGACATCGGGGAAGTCTTGCTTGATAGCATTGATGCATTCTTGGATTCTATCAACGTTGCGTCCAGCCAGGATCAGACAAGCTGGGGACTGAGAGGCCTGTATAACTTGTCAATCAGCAAATACAGCTCGAAACTTGATACATGCTATAGTAACTCACAAAAGCATGAGAAGTAGCGAACCCAATTCCATTACGGTTGGCACCAGTAACTATGATGGTTTTGTTGCGGATTCCTTCCGGGAAAGCCTTGGCGACGTCGACGCCTTCGGTTTCCTTGCTGAACTCTGGGCGTGATGTAGCCATTTTGTAAGAAGAAATTGAAAAATTACAGAGGTTATTTGGCAACAAGAATGAATTGTACTTGAAGACTGAGAAGACTGCGTTGTGTTGCTTGAATGAAGAATGCCAAAGCAACACCAGGCATTATATATTCCGTTGAGGCGGACTTAGCATCTACTGATCACATCGTTGACTTTCAACTGCGGTCTTGACAACGAATAAGAGACTCGATGCCTAATTTGGAAGAAAAAGGACATTATACACAAACTCCGCAAAGTGATACCTGCTGTATATTGTAAACTCCTCGATTCTCCGCGATGCAGACTGGGAGCCAATGAGAGACTTGTTGCCTAATGTGGTACAGCGGCATCGCCAGACCTGTGAACAGCCAATAAGAGATTGATTTCCTAATTCGGGCTTCGCGACACAGTCGTATTGCTAGGCGTATTGCTAGGGCTGTGTCGTATCATGCGCCGTCATTCCCGTTCCTCCTTTTAGTTAGCTATTGCGAGCCTCGGCCACATGTCCGTAGAGACGAATGAGATTTTTGGAAAAGCTACTTCATAATCTATTGTCCTTACGATGTACAGCATGGGTATGGGATCTGCCAAAGTCCGCAGTGTACAGCTATACTATCGCATTGGCCAATCAAGTCGCTGCTTCGGGAACTCTGCTCTGGACAAGTAACCATTAGTTAAAAATTGACGTACATAAATTGACCTGCATGCTCTCAGTACTGGAAAGAAGGAAAGTGTATATTTCACGATTGATTGGACAAGTAAGCGCATCAATTCAGGAAAAATTTTAAGCTTTATTCAGACATGATCTATGTGAAACTAATGATGCTAGGTCCAAGATCTCGCAGAGAAAAGAGAATTTCGGCGCTTGTCATTTTCAGATTCAAGATGGAATGTTAAGTTACAAAGCATCAGCCCACTCGAGCGCGGTGGTAGGCTCGAGGCGCTGCATGTAGTCGGGGTCGGTGTGGACGTTCCTGACAACTCCCTTTGCGTCGACCAGGAGAGTGGTGGGAACAGGGACAGCCCTTGAGTCGTCGCCATTGCGAGCCTTCAGGTCAACGGAAAAGGCGTCCAAGACAGTCTGGACAACCTGGGGTTGGTCCCAGACGATGCCGAGCTGGCGAGCGAACTTGTTGCCAACATCGGACAAGACCTCGAACTTGAGCTCGTTCTTCTCAGTAGTTGTCAGAGAGGTGTTGGGAAGCTCAGGAGAGATGGCAACGACAGTGACGCCCTTGGCCTTGAAGGCATCCAGGTGCGTTTGCAGAGAGCGCAGAGCCAGATTGCAGAAGGGGCACCAGTCGCCACGGTAAAAGGTAATCAGGATGGGGCCCTTGGCGAGGAGGCTCTCGCTGGTGACCTCCTGGCCGAGGGCATTGGGAAGCTTAAAGCTGGGGAGAGTTGTTCCGGCCTGGATAGCAGCGCTCTTGTCGAAGGTGGACTTGATCCCGTCAATGGACTCCTTGATGGCGGCGTAGATAGGAGCAGGGGCGTTGTCGATAACACCTTGGTGAGTAGCAGCCAACTGAGCAGCAAGGGTGGCCATTTTTGGATGTTTGAGATAAGCGATGAAGGATAAAAGTGAAGAAATTGTTGTAGTTGTTTAGAATGTTGTAGTAGAGTGTTCTCTAAGATGTGTTGAGTGTGTGTGTGATGATATCGAAACAAAAACTTCAACTTCCACGACAACATTTCCATCATTATATACATCGTTTGCCATTGATAGATTGAAGTGAAATGGTATACTATTCGAACTTGTCAGGAAGCGCTTCGTAATGCACATTGATGCATATCGTGCTGTTTCTGTTTCTGGTCACTGTTGTGGATCGATGAGAAATGCTACAGCACAAGCCCATTCCTTCAACATTTAGCTTACAACATCACTTACACAGATAGCGCTCAGCTCTGGAGTACGACGTCACTAGACTATTGTTTGCCGCCCACTTTTCTATAGGTCAACTCGTTTGCTAAAGAATCTAGCGCGAGGTAAGTTTTTGCGAAACGGATTCTATTGGTGGAAGACCAGAAACCTTGCCACTTTCAGCCGTCGCAAAAACTTGCGCCGTCTGGAGGGTTTTAGTGAGTTACAATGTCTGATTGGCTAGAAAACTACGGCGAAAAATGGCAAGAAAATGCGACGAACAAGATAGAAACGCATGGTTGTAAACACCTATTGCTACGAACGGATAAGATTGAATCACTAGAGAAGTTTACACAACACGTATGGATTCAATCGGAAGGCAATGAACGGCATCAACAAGATTTGCAGCTCCATATCACCCATATCCCATTCGGCAGCGAATCTGCATTTCTAATCAATTGATGTTGCAAATTCGACTCGAGATGAATTCTTGATCCCGATCAAGTGTTGTGCTGTCTTACCATGAAACCCTCTGTGGAATCATGAACCGAAAAGGGGCTAGGGAGCGAGATCAAAAATATGTGGAGTGCTTATACGACGCTTCCGTAATGGCCTCTAGCACTATGTAGTAGTAGGATCGTTAGGATTACAGGCAGGTGTAACCCCCCGTCTTCTTGTGCCCTGCAGTGGCCCATCGGGGGTTGGAAGAATCCTCTCGTACAATCACCAAAGAATGAGCCATACATTGTATTCAACAGAAGCAGCTCTTTATTGAGATCGAGGTTTGCACTATTGTCCATTGTCAACTAAATTAACAAAGAGTTACTTTTACCCCGAGTTGTTAGGCATAACTTTACCACTCAGATCTCAGCATCCGCTCCCTGCCTGAGGAAATATTGATATGTGTACTCCTAAAAGTATCTAAGAAGACGACCGCAACGCTTTTATCGATGCTGATATCAATAATACCGGTGAAACGACATACATGACGGCCGCCCGGCGACGGATCTCAAGACTACCGAGCGAACGATTAGTATACAGCGAAATAATATCATGGGTGTCATCTTCGTGATTACAGCCAATGCAAGTTCTTAGAGCTTTTCTTTATGTTCCATACAGAAGCCTTGTCAATTATTCAATGGCGAGGAAGGAGTTGTCAACAAAGGCTGTTCCTCTAGTTCTGGAAAAATGGCTTTAGGATGCAGGTAAAGATAGTTCTAGAGGAGCATCGGATGCTCTGATGGCAGAATATTGAAACACTGCCAGTTGTCAACCCAAACACTTGAGGCAGTAGATTGGAGACTACAGCAGCACACCTTTGCTATTGTTTCTTGGATGCTGCCGCAACTGTGTACGGTGTTTATACCTCCTTTCTTTGCCAGGACAACTAGTCAAGAGGCCTTATACACGTCTTTGTTTCGACTATTTGTTGACTTATCCAACAATTCAGGGTATTGTATTGCCATAGAGCCACCAATAGATATCCGTTGGATGCTAAAAGATGTACAGAACTGTATCATCTACATGAGTTAGTTCCAAAATGCTACCAAAATATCACGGGTTACCTCAGCCAGTTCTCTCCTCACTTTAGCGTCAATTATTCTGAGCACTTTTGCAGCACGCACGACGATTCGATCCTACAGATTATTAGCATTTACCACCACAACGCCAGGAATGTGTTTGTGATCAAGCATATGCGTATGGTATTGAGGAGCTATGCTGTTAACCACAGGGTATTGTGCAATCTCCCTGCCAATAGTCCGATCTTCACTTTCTTCATCCAAATGCCTCGTCTTGTGATAACCGAAACACGAAATGAACAGCGACACGTTCTACCATTTTTCGAAACTCCCTCCCGAAATCCGGCAGCACATCTGGCAATACTGCCCGCCGCATCGCGTAGCTGAAGAAGACTTCCCCTATTTCCTTCTCGATGGCAACGAATCTCGTCAAGCTGGCTGGACCAAAAGCTCAACGTATGAAAACGCCCAGAAGCCTGTCATCGCGTTTGTGAATAGAGAATCTCGCCGAGCCGCACTGGAGCACGGACAAATTTGGGAGCCACCGGACCCTCACAGCTTGGAGTCGATATGGGTGCAACCGAATAGAGATGCGCTGCTCCTCAACTATACAAGGACATGTGACCTTGTTATGTATGGAACCATCAACGCCACCTCGAGTGTAGTGGTTATGTTCTTATGGCGAGCCGAGGGGCACAAGATGCAGCCTTGCATTGTCGCAGAGGTCCTTCACCCTTTTAATTTGAAGACGCTACTAGATGGCGATGCTGCCTCCGAGAACCCTCGTATTATGTATGAACAAGCAGACACTGGCGACTCAGGTGATATCGCGGGTTATGCAGAATGCATCCAACAGCAAAAGATAGTCTTGGGCATCGCAATGGCCGCGATATCTCTGCATATCTCCGCGGAAGCAGCTTTGGATTCTGGTCTGTTCGGGTTACTGGGCGATGCGCCTGTCCAGTTGGTTGATTTTGACGACGAAGCTCGCTTGAGGCAATTCTACACTCTATTTAAAGAGAATGCACTGAATGAGGAGCCGGCTGTGCAAACACTTTTCGACTTATTTTTGAGCTCTCGATTCCGCACAGCAGTGGACACATGGACGAGACAAGCTGACTGGATCATCATGGCTAATCTGTGGCACTACGCACGAGAATCCGAGCGTTATGATGATATTCTGGGTGCAGATCCGTGTTCAGCATGGATGCCTCAGCTGGAAGACTGTTTTTGTTTCTCAATGTATGAGTATTTGCCCAATGAAGACCACCCGTGGGTAAAGCAAGCCAGAGAGAAGGCACCCAAGCTGCGACCACAAATCATGGTGCGATATTGTACTCGCAAATGCTATACAGGGGAACAGCTCCCCGATCACCGCGCCACAAACCTGTGGTGGAATCCGGATTTTTGAAGGCAATTCTGAACCAGCTTGTATTTGAGCTTCGAGATACCTCTAATCCTTTAACCTGACCATAACCTTATCCCATTCCAGTTATATCTAGAGCCTCCTAATGGTAAATCTCAACTCCTTTGCTCTTATAAGCCGTTTAACTTCGCTCGACGTATCTACTGTCACAGACGGTTTGAACTTGAACTCTTGGCAAAGTTCTACATCTGCTGACCACTTGCTCCCGGTTCTGTCTCCAACACGGTCCCATAGCCCCTTCCAGCGCTGAGGGTTGTGCTGAAAATGCTTTCTCCCGCTCACATCACCAGCTCGCGAATATTCCATCGCAGTCTCACCGCCTGACTGTCTTCCAATGATTAGCGAGCCCCGTTGTGGAGCGAGTAAATGAACGATTCTTCTCGCAATTTCTTCTTGTTCTTCAAGATCGAATAAGTGAAAGAAGTCGCCCACATATATGATATTCATTTCTCCGGATAGCTTCGCAAGCGGGGAAGAATCGTCAAAGATGTCGGCCGCTATGAATGTAGTCTGGAGTCGGTCTTTGTCCTTGAATAGCTCATAGCCTATAGAGAGATATTCACTCCAAAGATCAGAGCCATATGTGTTGGCAGAAGGTGCGCCATCATGAACAAGTTTACGGATCTCTTGGCCAAAGCAACAGCCCAGATCCATGAATTTGTCGTCATTCTTCACTCTCTCCAGTATCTCTTGATAAACTTCCGTAGTCATCATGATCAGATCCAGGAAACGGTACCGTCTAATACATGGGTAATGTCGCTGCGACAAGTCAGTATATGTGGTAAGGGAGAGATTATGGTTGGTATGAGATTATTTACCACTTCCAGAGCTTTTTCTGTCTGTTCCAAGGTTAGTTGAAGTTGTAACTTGCTGGGAGCTGACGCCAAACTTACAATCAACTCAACATGGTTTTTGACATCCTCATCTGGAATTCCGCTGTATTCGCGCAGCAGCTTCAACCCTGAATCAAGGTCGTAAATTTCGTATGGATTTTCTCCATTTGGGAGGCTCATTGTGTTAGACATGGTTACTAGTAATTGCTGGTAGATTGATGTGGGATCAGTTATCCTGGAAACTTAAATACTTGGACTTGAGATGCTGTTGTCAAAGTTGTCGTGAGTCGAAATCTCAGCCAGTAGGCACCAGCGTAGGGTCAATACTTTTTAGGCCCAAACAGGAAGGAAACGCAACCAAGTTGTTCAAGAGGAACCTTTGTTGGTTCAATAAAGGACAACACAAGGACACCCTAGCCAATGGATATTCCAAATGCAAACACAATGACGCTTTTATTATTAAGAATTGTAAGAATGTATTTAGATAATGTTATTGAGTACTTGCAGTTGATTAATAGGCGGTCGCTTCTTGAATTCGAGTCCTGTTGTGACTTCTCCACCTGCTCTCTTGTTAACTGGAGTTGCCAATAGACGGCTTCAAAAGTATCCTTATGAGAACAACGGCACTTGCAAACGCAGTATTATTATTGAAGTAACTTAGAAACAGTACCACAAAGATAACAACAAGATGATGATTATAATATCCAAGACGCCCTACAAAGTGCATTCTCCCGCTCTTCATTGCAGTTTCTTAGCGCCAAACAAAAGCCGTACCACCACTGTTAAAAGTATCCAAACTCTTGTTAACAGCCCAAGTTCACAACTACGAGGTCGCTGTCTCACTGGCTGGCTGCTTTACAAAGAGACTTATTGTTTGGACATTTCTTTCCCGTTCGCTACATGCGGAGTATGTTCTCCAATTGCATTTCTGGGGATATATCGGAACGCCGCTCAAATTCTAGGCCACACGCGCCGGGTTTGTCGGGCGGATCCCCCTCTGGTTCGTTCCGAGCTAGCTCAGCCATCGGAATTATTGAGTTCTCACAAGTCCATCTCCGACATATACCAGCAATGGCTAGTTCAGGGAACGCTGGTTTGTCCTTTTTAGGAGGCCAGTCATAACTCGATTTCAGCTGTCCTGCTCGCCATTGTCTCCCTGTCAGATCTTGTCAGCACGCTACCAATCTAACCGTAATTATGTTATTGACCAACACACAAACTGCGGCCTGGTTGGACCATCCCCATCATGGCGCGACTCTTACACTAAGAAATGACATCCTTATTCCTGAGCCATCAGAGGGAGAGGTTCTAGTGAAATTAGAATGCTCCGGTTTTTGCCATTCTGATGTGCACAGCATCTATGGAGAAACACCCATGGAGACGAACATCGCGGGGCACGAGGGTGTTGGTCGTGTTGTCAAACGTAAGTACATCGATGTCAAATTTGACTTGAAAAGTCCATATTGTACTAATCATCTATATGCATTAGTTGGTAAGGGTGTATCAAGCGATACAATGGGGAAGTTGGTGGGCGTAAAATGGGTCTATAGTGCTTGCGGAGAGTGTGAGATCTGCAAAGTGAGATATGTACACTGCCCGCATCAGAACAATTCCGGAAGAGTAAGTTGACATCGTTTTCTAAGTTGAACGTTGAACCACTATTGACAGACACATTAGAACGTACCAGGGACTTTTCAGCAATATGTTGTTTCACCGCTGAAATACACAACCATTGTCCCCGAGGGCTTAGAGCCAGAAATAGTAGCCCCATTGCTTTGTGGTGAGTTTCATTGCGTCCAGTTATATACGTTAGCTCACTATAAGTGGCTAATACAATAATGCAGCTGGGGTCACCGTATACGCAGGAGTTACACAAGCTTCCAAATTCATCACACAAGGAGACACCATAGTCATTCTAGGAGCAGGCGGTGGCCTTGGTCATCTTGCGGTTCAAGTTGCTAGCGTCTCTGGATATCGTGTCATCGCCGTCGACAGCGGCGATAAGGCTGATGTTTGCATGACGAGCGGCGCCGCTGAATTCGTGGATTTTTTGAAGCAAGACGTGTGTACTCTCCAAAATTTGCATATCCTACGAATTAAACACTGACTAATATAGGTCGAGCAAGCTGTCAAGGGATTGACAGGTGGGATTGGGGCTCACGCAGTCATGGTGACTGCTGGTTCTGAGAAAGCCTACGAATCTGTGCCGAAGCTGCTACGAAATCTCGGTGTCTTGGTATGCGTCGGAATTCCAAGATTGGACTTCCACGTTCCAATTTCACCCTTCGAGGTTATTGTTCGAGGTGAGTCAAGCTGTCCGTGAGAAGGCTTGTTTGCGTGAACAGAGAAAACTGATGAAGATTTAGGCTTGAAAATCGTGGGAACATCCGTCGGTACGGAAAGCGACGTTCAAGAGCTCTTAAAATTGACGGCTGAAGGAAAAATAAAGCCACAGATCGAAATATACGATTTTAACGATATCAATGATGTGATAGGTAAATTGGCAAAATTTCAGGTAAAGGGCAGGGCGGTATTGAGATTGCCCCAATGAACATGGAGGAGCACTTCACTTGTTCAGCATTGTTTGATGGGCTTAGAGATAGACTTAATATTAGGGCATTAATTTTGCTTTCATGGTATCATTATTCCTACCCTATGTAGGTAGCTGACGCCAAATTCCAATACGCTTCCAGGCATTGATCAAGCTCCTTCTCTTTGGTCAATAACTTTGTATAGGAACCTCCATTACAACCTGTTGAGAAGAGTCCATAAGCCCAGTAAGAAACTCAAGATTATCCTCAGTCAAAAATTCTCCTAGATCTAACCCAAGAGGAGATAATTCTGTGTCAGAACGAGACGGTCCAGAAGGGAAGCCTGGCATTTGAGAAGAGTCCAACTCGCCCGACTGGAGAATGTTGAACCAATTTGCTTGAGCATTGCCTCCGCCTAAAATCGTTGTAAGTGGCTACAATTAGAAAATGGAATTGGAGATTTACCTTTTGTTGTTGCGGCGACTCGCACGAGTGTTTCGAGATATTTACGGCATCTCTGTACTAGTCGCGCGCCGCCACCAAGATCTTGCAGCGCCTCGACGGCTAGGTATAAGCTTGTCCTGAGGCCCTCGGTCTCCAATCCAGCAGTCATAGGATCTGCTATTCCATTCGCCTGAATGAGAAGACCAGAAAACACCGCAAGAGCAGCGTTGAAAGCTAAATTGATTAGTCGTGATATCGCTTTGTCATTCGTAGTGCAACTTACTATAGTAGGTCGAGAACCACCAAGCTCCAAGAAGAGACGGCTTCTTTCCCATCTTGTGAACAATAGAGATGATTTCAGAAGCGGATTCTAAGCAGACTTGAAGGCTTCCATGCCCAAATTGACGTAAGAAAAGCCCCTCTTCGGAGTTCCTATCGCCGTTGTTGATCTGCTCTAAGAACCTTGCCAGGACTTGCCGGTGGAGCAGAATTCGAGTATTAAGATAGCGCAATGACAGGATGATCGAGAGACGATCAAAAATTATATTTTGAGTAGATTCAGACAGCGAATTATCCCATGGTCGGGCCTTGAGCTGCAACGGCAGATCGCGTCTCCATTGCAGTAGCTTACTTTCCAATCTGATTACGCTCTCAAGCATCAGAGAGATTGAGGGTTGTGGAGCACAACCGAGATTTTGGCCATATTGGTCGGCAATTACATCACCCAGGATTGAATATAGCTTTCTGTGCGATCATTAGCAAAAAGTAGCATATAATATTGGATATGAGGCTCTCACATTGTGAAGATATAAAATGATACTGTTGATGGGCTGCCCAGCATTTCCAGGGGCGGGCCAGTGAGGGTATTGACTCCATCAAATTCGACATCTAAAGGAAGTGCAATCTGAACGTACTCAACTGGTATCGCTGGGGGACGACCAAATGTCATGCTCAGCGTCCTAGATGCATGATGAGTTGATGTGTATGGTACCTTTGAAGACAATCTGGCCACTCACCTGTCAAGAACTACACAGCCATACCATGTGCGTTTCCTTATCTCTCTCTCAAGAGGCGTAAATTTGGTGTACGAACTCGAGGTATGGAGCCCCAACTGGAGTGCCGCTTTCACTGTGAGCCCATGGAGGTTCCATGTTTGAGCAGAGCGCTGGGTTCCCTGAAGGAATTGCGTCATCAACAATAGGTATTGGACTATAGTGTGTTAATTGATGCCACTATTTGATCCAATATTCCTTACCAATCTCAACATTTGCCGTTCTGAATGCCATCTTTCCAGACAAAGCTTGGGCGCGCTTGAAGAAGACATCTGACTCTGCCGCATTTCGTTCGACGGGCAAATCGGGTCGGGCGCTGACACAAGTGGCAAACGCTAGAATCATGTTTAATAGACATAACCACGAGCGTCTAATTGATGTGAAATTGTTTTGTTTTGCTGCAGCAAACTCTTCCAGCAGAGAGCCCTCGTGCACGTATGGAAATAGCATCCCTGTGTCGGCAAAGAACAGTCGGATGAGATGTAGCATGTCTGCTTCAGGTGGAAGACTGTACACATCCACAGCTGCCGAAAGACTATGATCTAGACTTTGTGCTCCGGCGATTGGTGATGCTGGTCGAGAGATGCTCATCATTGCGCCCTCCATCCTTGCATCAACTGGGAGAGCTCGTGTGGGGTCCGCATTCGCGGCGGTAGCCATGGCGTGTGTGATCTGTCCAATAAAAGCAATATTGGAAGAAGGCCCTGTGTTTAAACAACCATTAGAAGATGCCAGGCAATTGGCAGACAATGAGACGTTACCGAAGAAGCCAGATTCCTGTTCATCTGCAAAGGTAATGGCCCCCATTCCATCCACTGTATCTTCAAATTGGATTTGGGCTTGAGAGTCATCTCTAATTGACTCTTCGGCATCTTCTGAATCCAGTACACTTCTAGCATTTAATGAAGGGGGGGCAGTTGCTTCTTGTCTCCCGACCAGTAGACGCAGAGTCTCTTCAATAGAGTGTAGCCTTCCCTCGAGCTCTGTAGAGTATCTAACATCAAAGTGGAGTCAGTATGTAATGATAAGGCCATAAGATAGCAAAGTAACGTGAAGAACAAAGAGAACCTGAGTCATACTGTTTCCCCGATGCCCCTGCTGGCTGCTGATAGAAGCACTCTAGGCCCATCTCGACACACATTGTGCATCGGGGACGCGAGCCGTCACACTGAGTAATGGTCAGACAAATCGAATGATAGTATGATACTATTACCCGGTACATACCCGCGTCTTTCGGGAACTATATGCAGTATAAGGTCAGCAAACTATTTATTTCAGCCATATCCCGTATGATGACTTCAGTCTCTCAATTTATTTAAGTTGAGTGTTTCATCTTCACACAGGAACATTGTATCAAAGATAGGGTGCTCTATTACCGGCAACTGTTACAAGCTAGTGCTGTTCTTTGACGCTTGAAAAAGGTTTGCTGAGGAGCAGCATCATCTGAGGGGGCGGATCGTTTCCTCTCGCCATTCTTGCTCCCGCTAGTGTTTGGACTCATTGTGTGTGGTGTAAAAACAATCGGCCCATGAATGTTGCGCTTATCAAATCCTAAGCGATCCCGGATATTCGTATTTTCGACCGACACTTAATTGATCATGATAAGATCACTTGGTGTGTGGAAAACAATGCGAGAACGATGCAAGATCTAGGTGGGAGGCAAGCTAGACCGGGGCTATCACGGCTCTTTTATACCGTAGAGGAAAAAGCCATAGAGCGAACGGCTTTTGGTGCCAACAAAAACCGGGGTAAGATGTGTGGCACACCTCAGCATTTTATTTTCCGGGTCCCCCGGATTTCAGTTCAGCTTGTTTTCTGCATGCACACATTGGTATTTTGGGTTTAGTGGTAATGTATCATAACCGCTGTGAAAAATAATAATTATTACGAATTAAGATCTGTAGTATAATTGAGGTTGGCGGTGTACATGTGCATTACATGTACGTTTGGGCTGATGGCTTTGCGATGCTCAAGAAGAATTTCTCCAAAGTTTTGACGATTACATGAGGATATTTCATGAGTTTCTAGCACTTTGGTATAAATCTGAACGTATAAAATTGCAGTGGTTGCCAAGATATATTATAAATATGAAACACTAGAAAGCATCACCATGATGTGATGGCTTAGCCTCTTTCCAGTGTTTTGCGCTCCATTCGCGAATCTCTTTGCCTCGCCACCAAAAGATGAAAATAGGAATATGCGCAACGAAAACAAGCGCCGCCAAAACTCCAAAGGGTTCTGCATAGCCTGCAGAGGTATTCCAAGGCACTACTGCATACGAGATGCCAAAGGCAGCAAAGTTCTTGAATCCGTTCAAGACGACAAGTGTGGCGTCGGCTCGGGCTTCGTAAATATCTACCAGATATGTTTGCGTGAGGTTATTGGCGGTGACAAAGCAAAACATAACTAGACAAGAAATCTCATAGTCAGTAATGATATTTCATTGTATTCTTCTGCATGATTCGATTAGACGTACCCAAGGCTTCGCCAATGAGAGGAGCAATCCAAGGGCTCCCGTTTTGAGCGCAGACTCCCACGACGATACATCCAACCGGCCCAATTATACAAGTCGGTACGAAGAACATGAGTCGCCATTCCGGTAAAAAATTTGCGCGTTTTCGGAGTCTTGAGATCACAACGTCGTTTAGGATGCCACAGTACGGAATGGCGATCCATACCGCAATCAACGGTGCAAAGCCAGTCAAGGCAATTTGCTTGATGTCGAAGTTGTATACGCCCGTGTAGATAAAGGTGTTCGATGTAAGCATATAATTGGTCGCCATTAACATGATACTGAAGTGAATAGTCATGGCGATGACGGCGGGATGCGGTAAGTACTTGAATGGATAACAGAAGGACTTCCAGAGGCTATCATGAAGAATGTTACGTTAGTGACATGGCGGAGGTTTTGGTTATTCAGGTATATGACGCTTACCTGTCGACCTTGCTGCGACCACCGCCAGAGACGGCCCAAAATCTAAAGTTGTCCACGAGCTTGGGCTGGCGGTGATGAAGATTTCCAGATTGTCTTGTGTATTGCGTCTCCGGGAAAAAAAGGAAAAGGAGACCACAGGATCCAAGCGACAAAAAGGAGACAGTCCATTGAATCCAGCGCCAGCCCAGGTCAGCCGTGATGTAACCTCCAATAAGGGAGCCCACCGCGAAACCCGAAGCCTGGAACAAGACATAAAGCCCCATGCACTTGGCGCGATCATGGAGAAAGAACACGTCCGCTATAGCTTGAGGCCCGAGTGTTTCTGGGGACGCCGAGAAGATAGAGGCCAACGTCCTGGCAGCAATGAGTGATCCTGATGATTTGGCTACTGCTCCCCAGATGCAAAACAACCCTGTGGCTAGGCTAGTAAAGACAAACACAAGGCGGACTCCGAAGCGGTTTCCCACAGAAACCCAGATCAGGGAAGCAACTCCGTAAGAAAGCAAAGGAGCTCCGACCAGGTAAGTGACTGAGCTGAGACTCATGTGTAGCTCTTCCGAAATTGGGAAGAAAGCAGAGGCCACAGAAATCATGTTAAGGGGTCCGATGATTGTCCATATACACATAACCAGTAGAATAAGTATCTTCCGCCAGCTAGCAAAGTTGAGAGGGTCGAATGGGTCGTCGCTAGGTTGAGGAATAAGTGGCAGGCCCCTCCGCGAGAGTTTGGGCTCGACCACAGGAAGATTCTCATCTTGGACGGATGCGTGAATGGGAGAGTCCATCTTCTCGATGTCCTCGGAAGAGGGTGCGGTAGCCATGATTACTGAGGTGATGAAGGTTGATGGGATAATATTAAAAGAAGAAGGTAATCTTGGAAGGGAAATTTGATCAGACTTGTGATAGTCTTGAGATCTAATCAACGACAACTTTTATCACCGCTTCGCCATCTTTATATCTTTCTCGTTACAGTAGGTAGTTGTGTGAACTCTTTACCATAGCTATCCCCTTTTACACATTCACTCAATTATCTAGCAGAACTACTCGTCGGGGCTAGCGAAAACCAGCCGCAATGCGTTACCAAAGCTGCCATTGGTTGCCAAGCTCGTGGCTTGAAGCCTAGTTTTGCATGGGGATATTTTCTCTCTATTTGATTAGAAGAAAGTTCAAGTCCATCGCCAAATGCAGTTCCGACCTGCCCGCGAAGACGCGGGGAAGGGTCTCGACAAGTTCCCCGTGGGGAAGATGCCACTTTCGTGAGAGTAACTCCACAGGCTAAAATAGTCTACGGATTTATCGAGACCCAAGAGTCATGAACCATCGATTTTCAGTAGATCCGATGCCCATCCAGGATATCCGCTCCGAAATTTCCCCACGGGCAAATCAACATATTTTGTTTCAGATGCCTAACTATGGTGGACTATGCTGTCTCACTTCGGACAGCACCCGTAGTACAAAGTCTCTACTAGTCGCCTGAGCAACCGAGACACAATTGACAATCGAGAGATATTTACCGCAAAGCCCTGTCACTAGACTGCATCAACATCATCAACAATCTACTTGGACATCATGGAGAAAATCGACACACACGCGCATGTTGTCCCTCCTGGCTGGAGGAAGTATTGCGAAGAGCATGGGTTTGGAAAGCCCGACGGAATGCCAGCGATTCCAGTATGTGGAAATTCCAATCTTCAATTGTGTATTGCACTCGACTAACGAGAGCCAATGTAGGAATGGACACCAGAATCGCATATTGCACTGATGGACAAGCTAGGAGTTAGCAAGTCCATTCTCAGCATCACATCCCCTGGCACTTATCTGAAGCCTGGCGATGATGCCCTTGCGCGCAAGATCACTCGCGAGACCAATGAGGAATTGGCAGAAATCTGTGCCAAGTACCCTTCTCGCTTTGGCTTTTTTGCATCATTACCTCTGCCCGATATTGAAGGATCTCTGGCTGAGATTGATCACGCCCTCAAGCTTGGCGCATCAGGTTTCGCTGTAATGACCAATGCGCACGGCCAATATCTCGGGGATTCTACTCTCGATGCCGTCTTCCACAAGCTTAATGAAGTCAACGCCATTTTGTTCATGCATCCCACCACTTGCTGTGGAAGCGACCCTGCCGCTGTCAAGCCCATGAACCAATATCCTTCTCCAATGCTAGAGTTCTTCTTTGACACTACGCGCGCAGTAACAAATCTACTGCTCTCTGGAACTGTGGAACGGAATCCCAACATCTCATTCCTCGTCTCTCATTGCGGAGCTACTCTTCCACCGCTTGTGGAGCGGTTCACAAGCTTTGCAGCCATTATCAACGCACCTTCAACGCTCAACTCAGATCAGGTTAAAGAATTGTTCAAGACTAGATTCTTTTTCGATCTTGCCGGGTTTCCATTTCCTGATCTTATTCATGGATATCTTCGTGTCTGTAATGAGTCTCGGTTGCTATACGGTACCGATTTCCCGTACACGCCAGCACACATGATAGAAATCCAAGGCCAGGCCATGGATAGTGGACTTAGAGAGTTGTTTGACGAGGAAACTATCAAGGGTATCTACTCTGAACATGCGAAGAGATTATTAAAGCTTTAGTCTATTTGCAATGTACGGAATAGAGACAATAGATAAATACATGGATCCAACTCATAGCCATACTCGTAAAAATGCCAGTGTCACTCATAATTCGTCAAAGGTTATTGTGAATTATTTTGGGGAATTTTTTTAGCTGAATACGCTTAACACGTCATTTAGAGGATTACAAAAAGAGAAGACAAAGAGGCTCAGCATCTTGAATTGTATGCTTAATACATCGGAGTAACCACTTAGACCTGGTAGCGTTGAGAGATAATGTTCTTAAAGATTATTCAATTAATTTCACGTTGCAGTAATAAAAGAGTAAGTATCTAGCCTAACATGAATACATATTACACCGTCACTCAGACACCAAAGTCTCAACATCAACGCCCTCAGTCCGCAAAAATCCCAAAGCTCTCAGCATGGGCTTATCATCAAACCGATACAGGTATGCCGTGCTTTCGTCACTCGCGAAATGCTGGTACTTGTTCCATGCCGGGATACAGAAAGTGTCTCCCTTCTTCCACTTGAAGATCTTACCATCAATGACAGAGTGGCCGCTGCCCTCCACGATGTGGTAGACTGATGATGCCGTCTCGCGGATTTCTGGGGAGCTAGTACCAGCGTTCAATCTCTCTGCTGAACCACCGAGAATCTTTGACACTGAATCATATGTTAGCTAGTGAATGATTACATGAATAACAGATAGACAAACCTTCGCTACCATCTCCCTTTAGGTATGGCTTGGTAACCCAGTCACCCTCTTCAGCATCTAGGCGAGCCTGCATCTTCGACCAAGGAAATACAATAGGGCTATTATCCGTGTCGACATCCTCGGCAGGGTATCTAGGCTTGTCATAGTGCTCTACGAAATGCACGGGGAAGTGTCGGAAATTGGGCAAGTCGAGACCGTCAAGCCAAATCATTGGTCCGGACCCATCCTTGCCGTGATCATGCCAATTCCAGGTTGGCGTAAGGATCACATCGCCGCGGTTCATCTTGATACGGCGGCCATGAACGGCGGTGAAGCCACCATTGCCTTCAATGATGAATCGCATGGCAAATGCTGTGTGTCTGTGGGCTGGGGCGGTCTCATTGGGCATAACCAACTGAAGACCAGCATACACAGTATCTGTGGTGTAAGGCGCATCTGTCCGAGGATGTGTTAGTCGACAGAACTACCTTAAAGACAACAGCTTGAGACGGCTTACCTCTGGCTGGATTTACCAGCATAAGTACTCTTCGCTCAGCTTGTTTCTCTGTGATAAGCTCTCCTGCACGGAGCAAGTATGGCTTAATCTCATCATACTTCCAGATATGCGGAATGCAGGTTGGATTGGGGGCTGGAGGATTAAGCTTTGACATTTGCGCCCATAGTGGTAAAGTATTGGTCGACTGTAGCTGAGATAGAAGCTCATTTGTCTGCTGTTCTTTTGTTTTTCCGTCCGCAGTCAGCTGCTGTGATGCAACTTCTGTCTTGACTTCAGTTAAGATCGCCATGTTGGGAAGAAGTTTAGGTGTTCTTTGTTAGATTCTCTGGAAGATTTCTCTGTTGGCCACAATGTTGATCAACTCTGAGATATTCTCGGTTTCTTTGTATTTGTATCTTTCTACTTGATGCACAACAGTGGCAAGACGGCTTGCAGTCAGTCATCTTGAGGTTTGGAATGAATGGAGCAGCTGATAGTTTGTGGCGTTCCGATGCATCCCCGACGCAGCTCACCCTTCCGGGGGTGGGCCGGAACGCCGGGAATGGGGATTATTCGCACTATCGGGGCAGGGGATATGGGACGATGGAAATTGTCTTGCGCTTGTATAGTGTGTTAAGTGGTGTCATGAAGTGTAAGGACTAGCAAGAATGTCTGCTCTGCCCGTGATGAATAAGAAGATGCCTCAGCTCGAAAAGTGAATCAATCATCACGATCAAGATCTCTCACAATGGCTCCAAGCACTACCGACTCTATTGCCAATTCAGAGGGAGTTGTCATCAAAAAGACAGCTTTTTCTATATCATCCATAAAGGTTAGAAGTTGAATACCAGTAAGCCTTGAGCGATTCTCTAATGCAGCTGCAGACCGCATCGTATCCTACACGCAGCTTAGAGTTTCTCCAGAAATTAGATCAATCAGCTGCTTCTAATGGGCTTCTCAACGGGTCGTCATATCTCAATGGAGGATCGAAACCATCACCCTTGCTTTTCAAGGTAATTGTCGTGGGCGCTGGACTTGGCGGTCTCGCCACAGCAATTGCCCTGGCCAAGGGAGGTCACGTTGTTACTGTGCTTGAGCAAGCCCCAGCACTTGGCGAGGTAGGCTATTCTTCTTTCTCGTCTGAAGTTATTGAACATGATTAATAACAAGATATGCGTAGGTTGGGGCTGGTATCCAAGTTCCACCCAATTCTGCCAAGCTGCTCCTGAAATGGGGACTTGGGCCACTCCTTGGAGATAGAGTCGTCGAGCCTGAGGGCATTACCTTTCGGCGATGGAGCAATGGAAAGCCCATTGGTTATACCAAGCTTCAACCGGACTTTCGAAGTTCATTCGGGGCGCCTTATTATGTGGTTCACAGAGCCCATCTTCATGACGCATTGCACCAACTAGCGCTACAGCTTGGAGTAGATGTCAGAGTCAACCACAAAGTCATTGAATACAATGAAGAAAATCCTTCCGTCAAAGTCGAGGATGGCACCATACTTTCGGCCGACCTCGTAATTGCCGCCGACGGTAAACCCTTTGTTCCCTCCTCTTTTTGTATACCATCTGTTCTAACTTTGCGCCAGGCGTCAAGTCTTTAGCACGCAACCACATCCTGCGTGACGAGAAAAAGGAACCCATTCGCACAGGCTTTGCTGCCTATCGAGCGACTGTGGATGTTGAAAAGATGCGCGATGATCCTGATACCGCATGGCTCCTAGAGAAGCCCGCTCTCAATATCTGGATCGGCCCTGAGCGGCATGTCATGACATACACGATTGCTTCCGGCAAATCTTTCAACATGGTACTGTCTCATATTGATCATTCCGACCCCAGCACCTGGCGCCCAGAGACGGCCATTGATGATATGAGAGCGTATTTTGAGGGATGGGATCCAAAGTAAGTCATTAAAGATCTAGTCATTTGCCTTTTTTTAGGATTAGTCTAACGCATTCTATTATAGGCTGTTCAAGGTTATCAGTAAGATTAATAAGACGCTCAAGTGGCCTCTCATGTCCGGGGATGCTTCTATCTCACGTTGGGTGGCTCAATCTGGCAAACTTCTAATGCTGGGCGATGCTGCACATGCAATGGTTCCATACATGTCGCAAGGAGCTGCCATGGCTGTTGAAGATGGTGCTGCTCTGGCAACATCTTTATCCCATGTTACAGACCTCTCAGAATTGCCAAAGGCGCTCTCTATTTTTGAGACCGAGCGCATGAAACGCAGTGGCCAGATGCAGGAAGCCAGTCTAGTGAATGGAAGGCTCTGGCATTTCGAAGACGGGCCTGAGCAACAAGCCAGAGATGAAGCAATGAGACCGGAAGTTGAAGGAAGGCATTTTATTCAGAGCCCTAACCAGTGGAGCGATCCAGTAACGCAAGCATGGGCATATGGGTATGATGCCGAGGAAGAAATTGAGAAGCGATGGAAGCAGTCGAAATAATGGCGGTTAGAATAATAGCGCTCGACTATATATTATCATGTAATTCATTTTCTAGTACAATTCATTGTTATTACTATTATTTTCTTCCCGTTCCATACCATATAGTCCGGAGAGTGTACCCTTCAAATTTTGGTCATCTTAAGTCGTGAGTTTATGCTCAAATATGACGAAGCAAAAACGCAGACATGAAGAGTAAGACGAAAAGAAGTATTATTGCGTATATATGGATATAGTTTTGCCAAATCTTTTCAGGGATCAAAAGGCATCTCATTGTGTAATTGTATGCGATGGAGGATATGAGCATCATGTCTATCATGGCTTTTCCATTATACATCGATGGCTATCTAATTTGCAATCACAGTCTTTGTCTGCAAAAATTCCTCAAACGCCCAATGGCTACCAAATCTCCCAAACCCGCTATTCTTATGCCCTCCATGCGGCAAGGCAAATCCGTCATGGAAAGTTGGTCCGTTGATGTGAATCGCTCCACTATCCAATCTTCTTGCCAGAGGTATCGCTTGCAAACTCGATGCAGTATATATTGCCCCAGACAAGCCATACTCACATTCATTAATCATCTCGACCGCTTCATCTACAGTGTCGTATGTTGCAATTCCAACAACAGGGCCGAAGGATTCATTTTGCCAGAATTCCATATCTTGAGTGAGGCCTTCAATCACAGTGCCATACAGTGGACCGTGTTCTCCGTCCAAGGATGAAGCGGTAATTACAGTCGCACCTTTGCGGGCGGCGTCGTCCAGAAGCCCTAGAATTCGAGTAGTACTTCGTCTATTGATGACGTGCTTGACTTGTACAGCAGAAGCAGATTCGAGTCGCTGTCGGACAAGACTGTAGAATGCCGATTTTAATTGCCGAGGAACTAGGACGATGTCTGTAGACATACAAATTTGACCGCTCTATAGCACAAAACCATGGTTTAGCGTATTTCTTGTTCCGAAGAAATGTAAAAATTGCTTTCACGTACATTGATAAAAGCCGCATCTAGAATTGTAGAAGCCGTGGTTTCCAAGTCGGCATCTTCTAGCACCAAACTGAAGTTTTTGCCGCCTAACTCTAGGAGTACAGGCTTCAAGAAATGACCGGCTTGGGAGGCAATGTGTCTACCCACGGCCGTTGATCCGGTAAAATTGCACTTTCTCACCGACGGATGCGAAATGAGAGTGTTGAATGTGCCTGATGCGTCTTCAGGCTTGTGCACAAGAAAGTTGACCACTCCTGGTGGGAATCCAGCATCTCGGAAGAGGTTGGCGATGAAGTAGTGTGTTCTAGGGCTTAGCTCGGATCCCTTAGTTGACAAAGTCAGTATGGCTATTATTTACTATTATATAAACCGGAATAAGAATTACCTTGAGTATCGCGCAGTTCCCAGCCGCAACAGCGGCGGCAATAGATCGCATCCCCAGCATAGCTGGCGCGTTCCAAGGCGCAATGCCCAGCACGATACCAAGCGGATCTTTGAAGACCAGAGCAAGCGAATCTGGCGTCTCGGTCTCTGGTATCAGCCCGGACAAAATTCCGGATGTTATGAGAGCCGTTACTTGTTCGATAATCTCAAGTGTAGCATGAAAGTTAATAGACGCCCATACGGAAGAGCAGCCAAGCTCTTCTGCTACAATAGACGACAACTCAGATGCTCTCTCTTTCAAAAGCTAGAATATGCCAAGAATTAGAGATTTTCAACATGTCATTGCGCATGGAAGGTTTCTTAACTAACCTCTACCACTCTTTGGAACAACACTTGCCGCTCCCTAACAGACGACTTTCTCCATTTTGGAAATGCTGCGGTAGAGGATTCCAAGGCTCTCTTACACAGTTCTGGTGTAACGCCTTGAGTTTTCCATTGCGATCCTCTGCCATTGTCGGGATTTGAAACGAAAATGGACTTTTCGTCTTGAAGGACAATGTCATTGCCGTCAATGATTAGCGGGACGGTGTTGGACTTCATGGTGGGATTTTGAGATGCCAAGATATGATGGATTATAGACACTAGAACTCATAAAAATCATGAGTGTATAAGTTTGACGCATCCTATTAGGTAGTCTTCAGCATCTTTATTCAATACAAGTCAATTTACCGTTGAGTCCTGAAGACACATTCACCATTGCGACTTTCGGCTTTCGGCTCGATGGTAAACGTTCCGTGGCGGATGAAGTGGCGCTTGCTCTTCGGCGGGCACTCCGTTTCTTCCCCGAAGCCACATAATTGAACTTGTCAGTGTTATGGGCCAAATTACTCTGAAAAGTTGTTTAGTAATAACTAGAACACCGGGGGTATAATGGATCGCTTTGATGCGCGGCTTTACACGCTTCGCAACCTCTACGCTGCTCCTTCATATGACACCTGTGCTGCGGTCAGCATTATGGTCCAGCTCATACAGCGCCAATAAGGTCTGTGGCAAGAGTTGTAACAGTCTTCCCAGGAACGTAATATGGTGGGAGACCCAGATTGACAATTCTGAGCTATTCACATGGTGCATTCCTGTTGTTTAATATCATGCTGGATCTATTTATCGAGAATAAAGTGAGAATTTTATCTGAGAGCACTGGATTGGAACTCATTTCCCTGTTCAATTACACCAACAAGCTGCTTGTAAAAGCGCGCAATTCAGGCGTTGTTTACGCTTACGCATCACGCCTCTGCCTGAGGGATTTCATTCGGAACTTCTGTATCTGTGGGACTGGAAGGAATCCGAAAGACGATAGATTGCTATCAGGCAGCCAAATAGAAACTAATGAGGTCTTCAACTACCAATTCTAGTCAATTCATCTATATTGAAGGAATATGGGATCCGCGCGTACTGCACGCGATGCATATTTTGAGCGATCTTTTTAGTCTTAAACTTAGAGTATATAAGCAACAAAACTATGTTGTATGATTGAGCCCATTAGCCAATTTTTTTTCCTTGGTGAACTGAGTAGCCATAATTTGCATTGTTCGTGATGGCGACGGTTCTCAAAAGCTTTCAAATAATTTACACCAATGCTAGCGGTCTAATCTCAAACACTCCAATTGAAAAAGGATAATAGGCCTCTTATCTACCCAGCCTTGTTGCCTAGGCTTCAATGTTGTTACCTAGGTAGGATTCAATGTTGCTACCTAGGCGTATTACCTTAATTTCCAGGTTGGCTTTACAGTCGCGATAGTGGATGTACGGGGTAAGCTAAACTACATGTGTAGGATGACCATAGGTCCATTAGTTAATCTGCATATGGATGTTAGTCGTTATATATCTGTTTATAACCATTTCGCCTGCTGTTGTCAGATCTACAATCCATATTGTGAAATCAATTGTTATCCTTTCTCCCCAAAATTCGCCATCCAGCATAGCAAAATGTCCAACTCACCATTCAATGTCCTAACCACAAATGCCGTGGATCTACAGCGGCTTCTGGCGGACAACCAAATCACCAGCGTCCAGATTGTCCAACAGTGCTTTGACCAAATAGATCGCCATGAACCAGCTCTTAATGCCCTCATCTCCCCCGCACCCCGCGATAAAGTGTTGCGCGCTGCTGCGGCCTTGGATGAAGAGCGCATCAATGGCAGCGTACGTGGCGCATTTCACGGAATCCCGATCGTTCTCAAGGTATGTTTGTTCGGACAGATGACTCTCTATTTAGGGCAGTACTGACACAGGCTGGGTTGCTCTATAGGACAGCTTCATCACCGCTTCCAATCTTGGGATGAGCAACACTGCAGGATCATGGGCATTTGTTGGTGCCAAGGCCAGCAAAAACTCTGCCATTGCGCAGTTGCTGATAGATGCTGGTCTAATAATAATAGGAAAGGCTAATATGACGGTATGAATGGACTTGAATGTTTTTCTATTCTCTACTAATGGGTATGATAATAGGAATTTGCCGGCATGAAAATGACAAAAATGATGCCGGGATGGTCCAGCCATGGCGGCCAAACATTATCTCCATACGTGGGCAAGATCGAAGAAAATGAAACCTTGTTAGGACACTCGGTCAGTAAACCATCGACATTCTATTAACTCCGTGACAGGCGATGCTCATACACACCAGGCCCCAGGAGGCTCCTCCACCGGCTCTGCAGTTGCCGTGGCAGCTGGCTTTAGTCCTCTCGCAATGGGCACAGAAACAATCGGATCTATCGTCACGCCTTCGACGCGTGCCGGTCTCTACGCTCTGAAAGTCACAACTGGCGCTCTAGATACCACTGGTACCTATTCAATGACGGACTTCTTCGACAGCGTAGGGCCCATGGCAAAAAGCTCCGCAGATGTGCGAACAATGGCCGAGATTCTACTACAGCGCACTTTTAACTCTCCAGATTTCGGTACTTGGAAAGGACTGTCTGTCGGATTTCTGGACCCCAATGTGTGGAAAATGGCAAAGGAGATGTGCCCGCCGCACGAAGGAACTGCGGAACAAATGGTAAGTAAATTCTCGACATGCACCAATTTTCATTATGTCTAATTTTATATAGGTGGAAGAATACGAAAATGTCGTCAAACTCCTTCAGAAGGATGGTTGTTCATTAAAATACCCCGTCAATATCGCCGACGTCGACAAGTTGACAGTGGATGGAGAACAGGCCATCATGCCCATCGCTTGTGAGCATCAAACAACCCAATCCTCAATACTAAATCGCTAACCGCACACCTATCAGTCTGGGAGTTTAAAAAAGTAGGCATACTCCGCTTCATCGAGTCGTTTGACGAATGCCCAGTCAGCAGTGCAGAAGATATTGTCAAATTCAACAGAGACAATAGCGAAAAGGCGATGCCCCCGCGTAAGTTCTCATAGCCAGAAGCACAACTGAGTGATGATCTCTAAGGTTCCATGTCTCCAGCATTCACTGAACAGGGCGACCTCGAAAAAACCCTCAGCTGCAACGACGACCCAGCAAAGATTGAGGGGCTACGGAACGGCCTCCGACAAGCAGGCCAACAAATTATCAACACGGCCTTCGACACCCAGGGCGTGAACCTTATCGTGGCTCCCGGCGATAGCTCTCTCTGTATACACGCCGCCGCAGCAGGTAAAGAAACCTCATGAATGACAAGAAAGGAACATGGTTTGCTAACCTCAGTAGGCTATCCAATCGCAACCGTACCTGTGGGCCAACTGCGATATAATGGACGACCATTTGGCTTGTGTATATTGGCCAGAGCAAACGAAGAAGAGCTACTATTGCGTTTCATGGCTGCATACGAGGCGGTTGCTGCGCCTCGTCCGGTACCGAACTTGTAATTGTTCCTGGTCAATACCACGTGTATCCCTTATCAAGCTTTGTTATAGCTTTCGCGAGCAGCGTCGTGGCGTATTTATATACATATACTTATCTATTATCAGTAGACAATTCAGGTTTTCTGGAAAAGTATGTTCCTAACTCTGTTTGATCCACACGGTCAAATCTAGAACACTCCTGGCTACACTGTACATACATGTGGCGATCTGTGTAAACTCCAACGAGGGAAATTGTTCATTTGTTCCACCTAAGAGCAGGAGTACCAGCCGTGTGGACCAGAGTATCTCATATTCGTTTCCGCTGTCATCTCCAAAGCATTAAGCAGTAAAGTTTATGCCACAAATTATTTGCTATTCCAAAGTGTTTCAAAGCCATGGCGTGACTTGAGCGTAGGACAACCAGACACTGTTCGACGGATATATAATTCTCATATTTGGACTAGTAACTGGATTCTTCGTATAACCCTCTAGTATAAGGTTTTAGGTTTACTCCTCAATTGTATCTGCCATCATTTCATGCATAAAAACGGCGGAATAACTGTGGTAGCAGAATTACAGACATATAAAAAGGGGCCCCTCCGCCATTGTTCATGCGATGCTTGGGAAATCTTGTTTTATGGAGTTTTGAGCAACGTCTCCTCTACCCAGGACGAAATCTTCTCTCCTACTCAGTATTCGATACATTTCGCGAAGAAAGAGTATCTAACATGTCAATATCATCCATCAGGACATCTCACGAATCATAGCTTATGAGCAAACGTATCAACTCTTTGTCAATATTCGCAGAGCATCGCAATGCATTTCACAAGCCTCTTCCTCATGGCAGGCGTCGCCTTTTCAACAGCATCTCATGAGGCAGCCTTTATAGAAAGGGGAGCCACCCTTGCAGAACCCGGCCAGCCCCAAGACGTGGTAATCACCGACGAAAACATTCTCACCGGCGGATATCGCCCAAATGTCGACCAAACTGAGCCATCAAGCAATCACACTCTACCATTGAAGCTCATCAACAAATATGCTGGCGGCCCAATCAATGCTTACATCCAAGGCCTAGACATGAACGGCGCCATCGTCTTCATTGTCGCAGACGGCAGCCTCATATACCCCAGCTCCAAGGGCTCTTCGGTCCCCGTCGAGATCAAGCAAGATATTGCGATTCCACTACCAGCTATAAACGAATCCATCACCCTCAACATCTCTATTCCCCTCAACTCGGGAAGAGTATATTTCTGCGAGGGCAATCTCACGTTTGCCATTCTCGACCGTGGAGACGGAGAAGGCCTTGTACAGCCTTCCATCAACTCCAATGATCCCAGCGCCTCTCTCAACTGGGGTTTCGCAGAACTGACTTATCCTGAAGATGGATCAGTCTACGCCAATATCAGCTACGTCGACTTTGTCGGACTCATACTCAGCATGGTCCTCTCGACCACAGGCGGAGGTACTCCCCAAATCACCCGTGGACTCCAACCAGACGCCGTCCGCAAGCTCTGCTACGGCCTCTACAAACAGAGCATCAAGGATGACTATCACTGGATCGGAATGTGTGTCATGGCCGACAACAGCCGTCCAATCCGCGTCATGTCCCCAAACTATTATCATCGCATGAACGAATCCGCCTTCCAAGAATACTGGACAAAGTATGTGGACGACGTTTGGGACACCTACTCAAAAACGCCCCTCATCATCGACACCCAACGAGAGCTCGGCAACGTCTCATGCCTAGTCGTCAACGGCACCATGCAATGCGGCAACGACCCTCATAGATACCCCAAGCCCACAGCAGCCGACATCTGGGGCTGCAATGGCGGCCCCTTTGCCCGACATGAGAACGAGACTCCCACTCACCTTGCTGTCGTCCCCCGTCTCTGTGCCGGATTCGTTCGTTCGACGCTTCTTCTCCAGGGAGGATACTTCCAGCCCAGTTTGGGATCGGACTATCATTACATCGTCAGCCCAACGAATCACTATAGCCGACTTGTACACGAATTGCAGGTGGATGGTAGAGGCTACGCGTTTTCATACGACGACGTCAATCCTAATGGGAATGAGGATGCGTCAGGGACGGTTGCGGCAGGGGATCCAAGTCTATTGACGATTTATGTTGGCTCCCCGCCGACAGATGTTTAATCAGAAATATGTCTTCCTCCTGCAAGAATCTCTATCAATACGAAGAGATGCTACGAGCAGAATACGACAAGAGGACTTTAACTAACACAGAATATCACGGGTATGTTAGAAGGTCTTTTATCTTCTCTTTAGTGGCTCTACCGTAGGTTAGAAGGACTTTCATCTTCATTTTGGCGGCTCCGCTGACATTCAATTTAGCCACAGATTCGATAATGAGACAAGGTCGTGGGCTCCCGTCGAAGAATCGGAGAAGAATTATAGGTTCGCCATATGGACTGCATCAGCATGTGTAGGCGTTCGTAATGTACCCTCGACATTCATCAGACGGCCTTGGCACTTGACGACGATTAGATAGACTGACAGTATAAGTCGGCCCTAAGACAGTGTACATGACATTAGCAGGCACAAAATCAAGGGGTTGATCCCAATATGTGCCAGATTAATTGGCGAGGAGCTTTAACAGTGAGGGTTGGTAGCCTTAAGCCTGCATCAGCTGTTGAAGCTGCCTTCGCCGAACTCCAGTATTACCGCTATCAAAGAGCGAAAACACAGTGGCATCATTCAATACATAGGTAGTCTCGGAAACACTATATCAGTTGGGTAAGATGGTCTATATGTGTATCAGCCCAATGAACTTATTGGAGGATTTATCAACAGGGCAAGCAGGAGAAACAAGGGACGGCGGTGTACACGAAAACTTGAAAATGATTCAATGTTATTCTCGTTTATTGGATTCGACATTGATGACTCTCACTATATAACACGCTATGCTACTACAAAAATACAAACGTTGACATGGCAAATGTGACAACAAACAATGCAAAGTGAACGTGATGTATATGCCACCCTAAACAAACAATGCAAAGTAAACATGACGTGTATGCCAGCCCAAAACGAGGGTTCATTGCCCAACGCCTTCCGTGCGCAGAATGCTACTTCAAACGAATGGAGTGCGCGACAATTCGCAGATATGCTCGCAGAATATTTGTAATGATAAGCGCCGCCCTGGTGTACATGTATATAGATATGGCCACGAAGCCTTGTCGAATCGGAGCAGCGAAGGATTTTCACATCCTGTTGCCATTGAAACTCATACGAGGGGTATCTTGCAGCTAAATCTGCTATAGCGAGTGACGCGTTTATTTCGGATGTGTTCAAATGGCTTCAAAAGACTCTCATTGGTGCAGCTGCTGCACAATCGCGCCGTGAGGCGGAAGGTTTTTCCATGGAGGTAGCCAGGGACTATCTCGGGGGGTTTTCAACAATTAAAAAGTAGAGTAATGAATGGTGAGCGTGGCAATATCTCATGCCAGCAGTACAAGAAAAGGCAATATACATAAAACAAGAGCCGGGCTGCCACTCCGGATAAGCGATGCAGCCCCTGAGGAGCCAGTGGTTTGAGTGGGCTGGGCTACGGTTGAAGTCTCTTGGCCATTGAGGCCCATGGGAGGCTCGGTCGAAGACGGGGGCTCAAAGGTGGCCGTGCCGGTGCTCTCTGCAGTAGCAGAGGCAATGCTCGAATCCGTGGCCGTAGCGATACTTTTGTTACCGGTGGAGGAGCCGGTACGCTTGGCAAATCCTGAATCCAGTTAGTATTCCGTGGGTCTTTCAAGTCATGTATTCGCAAAAAGAAACTCACCAATTCGCTTTTGATCTTTATCGAAGACGGCGTAGACGTTCTTCAGGAATGTGTCACCAAAGAGCCAGGATCCAGAGACTACCTCATAGCCGTAGACGTTGCTGGTGCACTTTCCAGTGCTATCCTTGGGGGAGATCCAATCCTCGCTGGAGATGGCATGATCAACACCAGAAAAGGTGACAACCAGAGGGGTAGTGGTATCGCAGGGAACTGTCCAAGTGACGCCATCCGAGCTCTGCGCTCCATCAATAACAGCGTGCAAAGCCTTGACATTCTTTGCTGGGCCGAACATGTAGGAGGTGCCGGTATCGATGTAAGCATTGATGCCGCCGGCACTGGCCTTCTTGCCGTTGTAAGACATGTCGTCCAACGGAATGGACCAGTCACTACCAGTAGGAATGGAGGTATACGTGATGGCGCCGGTGTACCTAGAAGGGTTTGTGGCACCAAAGGTGACTTCGCCATCGTTGTAACCGTCAGATGCTCGAGCCAATGCGACGGAGAAGATGCTTTGGCTCAACATGCCAGCACCCTCCAATGCCGATAGGAAGTTCTCATTGGCGCCACTGTTCATGGACATGCCGAGAATGCCATCAAAAGCAAAGTGCACGAAATCCGAAGAGGTATTGGTGGCCAAACCAAACTGATATGACAAGCTCATGCCTGCCACTTCGATGGTGTCAGTGACCAGCGAACCACTAACAGATCCAGATCCATAGGCGATGGAGAAATCCTTTGAGCTGGATTTCAGTGTACTCGAATCATCGGGTCCGAAAGAGTCATGCAAAGAGCATGCTTGAGATGTACAGTCGGTGCCCATGACCCAGCTCGAGCCAGCTCCAGTGTCGAGAAGCATATACATCTTAGTTTTCCCAGAGCCAAGCAATGCCTCTACAAAATACGAATAATCGGTTCCGTCCTGGTCGAGCCCCGCAGTCTTTGGGGTTTTGGGGTCAACAGCCTCCATGATATGGAACTGGTTGCCTCTTTTTGAGAGATTCGAATCATGGTTGGAATTCGGGGCGCTCCGTTCGTTGTATTTGTGAGCTAGCAAAGCAGCTTGCCATGCAGCCTTTTCTTCTTGCGATGCAGGAGCCTGGCGAATCATGGGTCAGCATGTATAAGCGACGAATGAGATTTCGACTTGGACTTACACGTCTGGATGCTCTTCGCCTGATGTCGAATGTCATGCCATTTTCCACATTCCTCTTTGCCTCACCAGCATTGTGCTGTTCAAGCTCTTTCAGCCACGGCGGCGTATACGGGTAGAACGCAAGGGCGCCCGACGCATACAAAGCCAGCGGCGCCAGCAAGACGGTATTTGGGCGCATGTTGAATTAAGATGAGAAGCAGCGGTTTTAGGCTCGAAAAGTCCGGGAGTCAAGTTATTAGGTGATTAGAAATTACGCATATAACATTGCCAGATTACTGGAGAGGAGCAGAACAATTAGAGGAGGGAATTGGATGGCGACGGATTCGAGGGTGGCGAACAGAGCAGATGCAAAGAAAAGTTCGACAGAGAGGGGAATTCAGATTCAAGCAGGGGAGAGAGAAGATGCTGCAGATGGATTCGAATCGGACTGTCGGTTCGATATCGCAAACAAGACGAGAGAAACCGTAAGAGGAAGCTGATAGCTTATGCAAATGCCGGTACAAGCAAAACAAGGAACGATGCGCTAATATTAAGGATAGACGATGCTGCAGCCCGCTAAACGCGACGGAAAGCAATGGGGAAAATAAATAAAATAAAAAAAATAAAAAAAGGAATATGAGGGGAAAAGACTAGAAGGAAACGGCAAGTCTATATGGGAGGGGAAGGAGGAGGAGGGTAGAGGAGGAGAGGTAGAGGTAGAGGAGGATGGAGGAGGAATGGCGATGCGGCGATGAGGGGAGGCGAAGAAAGATAACAGAAGTTGGATCAATGGAAATTGAACGAGGCCCTTATCGAGGCCACGGACGCTAAGCTAAGCAAGAACAAGAGCAAAAGATTGCCCTGAATATCGACGTCGCTTTTGTGGAGAGTCTGAAAGGAGGCCCAGAGCTAGGGAGATTGAAGCGAGATGTCCAAATTAATGAAACCCTCGGGGACTTGGCCCAGTACAAGTACTAAAACCAGAGCGCTACCAAAGCGACCGGCCGCGTCGACACATTTGGCGCGGGCAGGGCCGTATCGCTGTCTCTAGCGCGGGGAAAAGCGCGAGCGGGCTTGTACAGGTACCGCTACAAGGAACGGTAGTACCAACTGGCGACGCCTCATCCGTCTTTTTTTCTTCCTTTCTTCCACATCTTTCCAGCTGATGGCCCTCATGATGCATCACCTGCTGTCTTTTCCGCAAGCCTCAAGCCTCTCTGCAAGCCCTGTCTCGAATCGGCTTTGATCGCAATCGCCCTTTGCTCGTCAATCGGAGATGTTGTTTCGTGTGCATCTGTGTCTTTCTCTCCGTGGCGCCTCCTTCAATCTATCGTGCATGCGGGTTTGCTGCGTATTACCTCACGTTGCATCGTGTGGAGGTCATGCCTGCTTAGCACGTTCCGGGGATTGGAGTGAGTGATATTCATTGGACTCGATACAGTCCAGTGTCCAGGTTGACAGTACACCACCAGACCAACTGGAACTGAATCATGTTGCGGCGCCGCTCAAACTCCATCCACGATACTGGAATATCAATCAGCGAGGTTCATGCTGGACTAGCATCAAATCCAAATGAACTCGTTACCAGGTCTGCTGCAAACCATCCCACCTAACCCAACGTATCCGCATACCAACCAACCGCTTGGAGCCAAGTGCTGTGTCGCTAAAGCAAACAACCAGACGCAGAAAACCACCGCCCGAGACAACGGCAAGGATCTGGATGTCTAGTATCGACTAAGAGGGCAGCTCAAATGGGGGCCCCTCTCCGCTAACCCTTGCACTAAAACTCCCCCAAAATGCGGCTCAGACTGGCGTCAACACTTGCAGCAACACTTGCAGCAACACTTGCAGCAACACTTGCAGCAACACTTGCAGCAAACTGGAGTCTCAGATGAACCAGTGGAAGACGAAGCTTGACTTTGTGGTGACGTCGTGGGCTTCGGCTGTATTGATGCTGATGATTTGCTGCAACACACATGACAGCCTGACTTTTGTCTCTGGGTGTCATCTCGAAGTGCCAATTGGCCTGGCGGGCAGCAACGGCTGTAGGAAACAGCATTGACATCCATGGATCTATTGACGCTGGACCGAACGGCGGTGTTAGGCCCGTGCCTGTCTATGTCCTCCTTATTCGAGATGCGGAAATCAGATGGAAATGCAAAAATCGGTCATAGACATTTGAGATGCAGCGCATATCATCTGATGTCTCTCGCTTGTCGTTTTTTTCGTTTCGTTTCAACTAGCTGCCCGCCCTCCAACCGCCGCTGCCGCTCGGCTTTTCGCCCTCTAAAATCGCCATCCGCAGGGCGACTGTGCTTAGCCGAGCGGGCCGCTACTAAACGAAAAGCCTCAGCGCTCAAGGCCGCCAATCCCAATCCACTTCCAGCACCCTCAAGAGTCAAGACCATCCACGCCTGGCTAGCCTCAAACCTCAAACCTGAACCCAGACGCCCTGCACCTTGCCGATGCGCAGATCGAACCTCGCCAATGCATGGAAGGCTTCCAAGCTCACCTGCGGCCAACTGCACGTGCTAATGTATGTATGTGCTCAGTTTCATGTGTGTGTACTTGCAACGGCGCCAAGGGCCTAATAAGAGTCTATGTACCACTCAACCACTGGACCATCTGCATGTCGCACTCGACACGCAATGCAACCACCATCCATCTTACCTATCAATGTCAATGGAGATGTCAATGGAGATGTAGATGTGGCTGCTGAAGCGAGTAGAGGCAGGGAGAACGAGGGGAAAAGGTCTCACGATCCAGCCTGTCAGCTGCGACTACGGCGTGCGCGAGACGGGAATTGCCAATCAAGGCCATACACCTCGACTTCTATCATGTATGTCTTCAGCTTCTTTTCTTTTCATTTCTTTTCTTTTCTTTTCTTTTCTTTTCTTTTCTTTTCTTTTCTTTTCTTTTCTTTTCTTTCCCATTCCTTCTTTACGACAAATCCCGAGTCTGCCATCCAAAATGCTGTTGACCGCATCATCAGTATGCCTGTACAAGCCGTACTTGTTCCTATACTTCCTCGAGTTGATACCACCTTACCTCCCAGTCTGTAACATCTGATATCAGTGGCCCTATTCGGGAGCTGCTCTGTCGGGGCAATGGCTCTGTAGATCATGGAGCTAGCCCAAGGATTCATCTCCAAAGGCCCGATCACCCAGGCCTTGGGACTTACACCCGCGTCCGCACGCTACTAGCGGAAATACACTGCCACAATTTCCACGATCTTGTTGCACATCCATCTACCCAACTACCTTAGTTGATGTACGGAGTATTAGCCTGTTCATCCAATATTCCGGCTGTTGTTGTCGCTATTCACGCTGAAGATAATCTCGTTTGCTTGTCGAACTCGTCTATGTTCTGCTCATCTCCGCGGTCTTTTTTTAAACAGCAATAGCTTAATCCTTTTTTTAGAGCCTCAACTCCATGCATTGCATTTTCGCTTGTTGTCTCCCCCCACTCTCATTCTCGCTTCTCGCTTCTCTTCTTCAATGCTGCTGCTTGCTCAACACCCCCGTCGGCTTGGCGCCCCGGAAAGGGTTCTCCAACGCCGCTCACCATCAAATCCCAGATTCATGCAACTCTAATCCTTCCATCTGTCAAAACTCATCCGTCACATCTCTCCTTACGTAAATTAACTCGGCAGACAGTCTCATGCTGAAGTCAACCTGTCAATATTCGTCACCCACCACCATCTTCGGCAGTTCACGGACATCACGCTCCGATGAGTGGTCACCCCCGGCTTTGGAATGCGGATGATGCTGTTCTTAATCTTCTCGGCATACCTGAATCCCAAATCACCGCAGCTACGGAAACCGCAGGTAGGGCCAAGAAAGCCTTGGTGTCGGCCGAAGAGGAAAAAATCAAGGATTGACGTAAACAACCCCGGCATTCAGCACGGTGCACCTTATTAAACTATGTCCAAACGCGGAGATTCTGGCCTTGCTCACAGCCACATCGTCCTCCCCTGAACGCTGTGGCTTGATTTCTTTTGTGCATAGAAGGGGGAAAAGAGGTTTTTAAAGTTCTTACTGAGCAAATGGGAAGACAAAATAACCGGCGCCTCTTCCATATCTCTTCCTCCCCCATCGCTTATACAGGCTCAGAAGAATAAGTCTGGATCCAACTTGAAGCCTGTTCCAAGAATCTCGCTCCATCCGACTTTTCCTCCACGCCGCTCAGCAGCGCCAGCCTCGTAGCCTCGACCCCTTCTCGACAACCCTGGTCACACCAAGGCCTCGCAGCAATGTTTCTAAAAAAGTACCAGACGGACTCATTCCGCCAGTGAAATGAAGCCGCCAGCCTCGTCGCCTCGCTAACAACCGACCCAGCGAATTCCGGGTGCCGGTCCAGGAAGAACATGAGGAACGCCCACCCGGAGATGTCATCGTGGTGGGCCATGGCCCATTTCTTCGCCGCGTCCAGCATGCCCGGGAGGTTCTCTCCTCGCATGCCCGAGAGGTTGTCCCCTCGCGACGCCGTCTCGGACACGGCCTTGGTCAGGTACCGCGCGTGAAGCCAGGCGTAGTAGTTGCGTGGGTGTCGCTCGGCGGCTACCGAGATGACTCTTTTCATGGTGTCTGTAGCGTCTATCGCGAGGCCGTGATCTTGGAAGCGCTGCATGAGCCATTGGCGATGGCTCCATAGTGTGGGCGATTTTGTATGGCGATGAAGACGACTTGTAAGAAGGCTGTCTATGAGGTACTGTTCGTCGTGAAATCTTGACTTAATGTCTGTGCCTGACTTGATTGCGTCTTGGAGTAGTCTCTTCCTCGTGTTTGCAGCGGTAAGATGTTCAGGGTCCATCAAGAGCATCACACCTGTCGCTCTCAACACAAGTCCATGCCCATTGGTTTCATCCCGCAATCCTTCCACATGTTTTTGAAGTATCCTGCGGGCATAAAGAAAAGCTTGCACCAATCGTAGCTTCGGCACCGCTATTGCTGGTCCATCTTGTAGGAGTATCGTCTGTCCATCAACCATGTGGCTTCGCCCCAGCATTTCAATCTCTAGCAACTCCGGCAGTCGCTGCGACAGGGCATCTGCAATTCTGGTAAAAACCTGCTCATGGTCGCCTTGCCTGATTGCCCTCTTAACATCGTCATCCAAAGCTCTCGACATTTGAAAGCCCCAAGTCGTTTTGTCGATTCAACGCGTGTTTTTGTATCGCTTTCAAGGTTAGTGCAGGGTAAGTGCATGGTGGAGTCGGCACAGCTGGCGAGGCACGGCAGACAGCCCACATGCAATAGCTCGGGGTTATGACATACGTCGTCTTGTCCAGCTGGCCAAAGTCAAGCTGCAGAGTCACCTGTTCCAACATTTCACCACGAGCCACAAGCAGAGCAGAGCTTCGCCTTTGCCGCAGTTTGAGAGAAAGCGGCAGGCTGGAGATCAGCATCACTTTCTACACTTTTCGCAAGCTATTTCGACGCCGCCAACATGGCTCACCTTATGCTCATTGTGTTCCTCGTCGAGGCCACCGTGAGCTTCATCAACGCAGTCGGTGCAGCAAAGATTAACGACCTGGTACGACTCAGCCATAGCCCCTGAGACATCTTGCGTACAATTTTCTTAGGATATCTTGTGCTAATAGTCTTTGCGCAGCTCTGGACCCTCATCAACTTCCTCCCCGTGCCGACCTCCAAAGCCGCCGCCGAGCAACGAAAAGTCCAAGCCGATTATCTTGCTGTGCGGCGGGAGATGAATGCCACGAGCAGCCAGGACGAATTTGCAAAGTGGGCAAAGCTGAGGCGCAAGCACGACAAGCTCCTCGAGCAGCTTGAGGCATCGAGTGCGTACAATCTCTTGCCATCCCCGAGACATTATATCTCTCCCTTGGTACCTACGACCGAAATACTGACCGGTGTTCCGTGCGTTTACGTGTGTAGAAAAGGGACTTGAGTCCGCCCGCTCCAGGTTCGACAGCGCCCTCACAGCCTTGCGCTTCCTCCTTACTCGCGCGCCGCAATACATTATTCCCTTCTGGTACGCTACCGAGCCCATGTTCTGGCTGCCGCATGGCTGGTTTCCCTACTACGCCGAGTGGATCATCTCGTTCCCGCGTGCTCCCCTGGGGAGCGTCAGTATCGCATCGTGGCAGCTCGCTTGCGCAGGCATCGTCACGTTGTTGAGCGACATCCTGACCTTCATCTTCAAGCTCGTTTTGGGCTCAAAGCAGCCAGAAACGCCTGTCAAGACTCCTACCGAGGAGAAGAGCAAGGAGACGAGTACTACGGACGAGAAGAAGACTTCATAGATGGCGCTAGAGGCAGTTTGATAATAGAGAGAATAACCCTACGCCCCACGTGGTCTCGACATTGCGAAACAACGAGAGAAAACAAAAGGAAATTGTGTGGAAGAATGTATCTCGTAGAATTTTGACGCAAAGTTCCTCATTGCAAACGCTGAGACTTTGTAACACGACAGAGAAAAGGGTTTATATAGGCATCATATTGACTCTGGCGACCACGGAGAAAAGAGGATCGCTAAAGCTTCGAATGTGCCACCAAAGAAGGAAGAAAAAAAAATTTCACGAGTCGCACGAGGCACGAGATCGGTCAAGCGCAAAGGGGGAAACATGTATATCTCATTGATGAAGATACTGCTGCTAGCTGTAATAGTGCTGATAACTTCGAGTATCAGGCGCACAAAAATGGCTGAAACGAATTTGCAAAGAAGAGAGGAAGAAATTGAAGGTGATGGAGGAAGCAAGGAATTGGGAAAACGGAAAAAAATTCTAGATTCATAGGTAAAAGTTGGCGGGGCACCGGCAATAGTTAAACCCGTTCCCGTCCCCACTCAATGCCAAACGCTCCAAACACTCCCTCAGCCAAACACCAGAGGGTATATTGAAACCAAGGATACACATTCTGTGTATGGCGATCAATTAAATATCACATCTCTTGATCTTTTCATTTGCAATGAATTTCTCCAGTGCTTCCATCCATGTGGCAGGGAGTTGTTTTGCTAAACACTACCTAGGCTTACTTGAGACACCTGGTAATGATTCCGTGACGTTTCCTGGGGTACAATGTTCTGGAATGCCTTGACGTAGGAAGTCTGTGCTCACTGACCGGACATTTCTTCGCGTGGTATTTATGTAGCCTCAACGGCGACTTCAAGTGCTTACTGCCGTTTGTCTCCACCAGTTGGGCTTCCAGACAACCGCCCTTGCTGATGGAGATCACGGGTGTGAAAGGTCTGATGTTGTTATACTGCAAGCCTGCGCATGTATGTGGTAGAATTCTGTTGTTACTCTCTTGGAAGTCGCGTCTAGATTGGAGAAGGTGTCTTCCTTCAACCATCTTGGGGTAGGCGGAATACTAACCCTGGAACTATGTGTCTGTGTGTGAAGGTCGATCTCATTGTCTGTGATATGGAACAAGAAGATTTAGAGATGTATTGTCTGTGATATGGAACGAGAAGTTTTAGAGATGTGCTGTACTCGACGTGGCTGTAACGACTAGCCTGGCATGCTTGAGTGTAAGCTGAATGTGGCTATAGTTCAATTCCTGTGGTTTCTATGGCTACACAGGCCGATGCCTTCCCCTACTGGTTGCGCTAGAGGGTGCTGGTCGAGCAAGAGATATGGCGTGTCATAAACAATAGCTCTTTGAGCATTAATATGCTTTAATGTGGTCCAAAATGCATGACACCCAGTTGTGGAAACGAAACGCCACCGATCTTGCGTGCATTTAAGGCAGCACATTGTAAGCGGCAGTACATGTTTGGTAGACATGGCATCAACAAAGCAGTGGCGTCACAATAGGATCCCGCCAATCCTATTCCTTCTGTCACCCTGTTGCGCCAATTACATATACGTTACTATAGGAAACAGACAAGGATAGGGGTGGTTGGAGAGCGCCGGGAGTAGGGCTGAACCAAGAGCCATGTTTGTTTCATACACTTAGGGCCTTGGATGCCACACGCGACCGGCATCTCTCATGAAACAAAAGGATCAGGATCATGCCGCTAAGAATACAATGCTTCTTTTGTATGCCGATTTATGGTGTGCACATGGAAGAGACACAGATCTGCAGTGCTATGTAACTTGAAGTGTTTAAGTACTGACGAATTGGATACACACTGAAGGTGTTGCAAATTCCTCTACTTGGAAAAAAAATGCTCAGCTTTCTGATATAACGGATCACTTGAATGAATTGATATACCTGTATAAACATAAATCGGCATAGCGTTGAACTTGAAAATAACAAGAAAAGATCCACTCCAATATGATAGGTCTTAGCCCGTACATGAGTTTCACATACGGAATACATGATATGATTTCCAGAATTCTCCTTATAGCTTAGAATGCCTTAGCCCAATAGCGGGAGGTGTAACATTCTTGCCTTTGTCACTCTTCCTCGGCCTCCACATCAAATATAGTGGTTCAGATAAAAAGTCCTCCATCAAATCCCTGGTCTCATCGCTCGGGTTCTCAACTTTCATTGGGAAATTAATGACGTTCAACAGGATAGACCCGGCTCTTTCGAGCGTTCCCCTGCTCAGTTGGACGCACTCGGTATATCCCTCGACGTCAAACTCGTCAAGTATGGATTCATATTTGCCGGTAAGAAGTGGTGCAGCGTGAAGGCTGCGATATTCAGGGAGGATCCACATGGCTTGACCATCTACATAATTGAAAAGCCCAAGAGTCAGTAAAAACTCGTCAGTGTAAAGACCAAGGCGGCGACTTACAGATATGCTCTCGTCCTTGCATTGCTCGGCGGTGCCATACATCTAATTGTCCATATAATTGCTCAGACATCAACCGGAGCTGTGACCCCGGCTCAAATCCGTAATGAGGAGTGTCAGGCATATTCCTTGGATTCTCTTCGTCCTTCCAATGAGTCACGCAGCAACCTCCCACAATGAGCGGTGGTGACTTTTCTGTGTCGACGAGCTTGAACCACATCTGTCCGGGACTAGTCCGTGCAGCAGCAAGGTACTGAGCCTTCTTCACTGCAAAAGCTGCAGCTTCTTTTGGGCCGCCTTCGCCAATGTGAGGGAATGTGACTACCATTGGGGCTTGTCTTGGAATGCTCCATGATTTCCAAAAACTGCCAAAGACTCCATCCCAGTCTTTATCAAGATCAACAGGAAGAACTTTGAGATTGCTTAGAGAAGGCATGATGAGAATGAAAGAAAATTGTTGTCAAGTTGTATAAGACTCGAGAGCTTGTAGAATAGCCATTAAAGAGAGATGCGATGCCATCTATTTATATAGCGATTCTTTAGGCATTGAGGTTGAAGACTTGCTCCGCCTCTCGAAAAAATACCACAATGAGATTCGAGCGTTCATCCAATGTAACATCTTGTTGTTTTAGGTACGTGTTGCTAGTTTAGTAACTGCTTCTGTGATGATTCTTACACACATCAGGTAAAGCGGACCGATTCGTCCTACATTTGCTGAAGCTGAAGGTGACGGGCCCCTGTCAGAGTGCCTAATTAGTGGAGAAGCCGTTGTGGCTTTCAACGCATTCGGTCAGACCGGTGGATTTTCACCGTACGAATGGCAAGTCGATAGCAACACGGATTAGACCTGCAGACGCTAGGTAACCCAGCAGATGTTACCTATTTCTACTTCAGCTCGGTGAAGAGACGAGCTGATCTACGAGCTGACCTGGCTGTTCTCAATCCTAACTGGTGCATCTCTCAACTCAAGATTAGGCAGTGCAAGGCAGTGGTACGGAGTCAAGGACAGCCAATCGTTCAATTCAAAGATGCTGGCTGAAAATCCCCCACTAGCTATATGTGTACTAGCAAGCACTCCAGCAATTGTCCAATAACGAGCAGAGTTACAAGTTCGCTTTTACAGCAGCAACTTCCTCGTCCAGAGGCAAGATGTGCGGAAGTGGTCCAACGGGAGTAATTGAAAGAGGGTTGATGGGGGTATGGCTCTTGGTGTAGTGATTTTTAATGTGCAGGAAGTTGGTGGTTTCTTTGAAGCCTGCGACATTCCAGTAGAGGTTTCGCAACCATTTGTGAATGTGCGGGTAGCCAGAGCGGATGTCTCGAATGTTGCACTTGAAGTGTTGGACATAGACAGGCTGCATAACTGTTAGCAGCGTGTTCATGTATTATCTTTGCATTTACCTCTGAGAGATAGAATGAATAAGAGAAAAATATTGATACCACATACATCAAACCGAATAATTGTGACATAGCTGTGATATTCATGTCAGCATTTGCTTCGTCTATCCCAAGAACAGAGACTTTTGATCGGTAACTTACAGTCTAACATCGACCTCTGTAAGATTCTTGCCAAACCAGAAAGGGCCCTCAGTAGATGCCAAGTGCTTTTCGCACTTATCCAAGGCCTCGAAAAGCTCGGTAACGGCACGCTCATAAGCTTCTTGCGTCGACGCAATGCCGCATTTATACACGCCGTTGTTGATGTTATCGTAGTGCCAAGAATGGGCCTCGTCTATCTGGCTCTGGAGTGCTTCGGGGTATAGAACGACCTTGCGATACTTTTCGTCGATGATGTCGTCAAACTGGTAGTGAATAGATGTCAGCTTGTGTTATATCCATCGATCGAGAAAGAGTCATTGGAAACGAACCTCTGTGCCAAACATGCGGAGGATCTCGCTACTCTCATTGTTTACAATCACTTTTTGGATCTTGTCATACAACACCGGAACACTGAATCGGGCTTGGTAATCGGGGTCAGTCTCGTAGTAGACTTGTCGTAGATGAGTAAAGCCCTCGTGAAGCGGGTCTGGTATGACATTCTCTCCTTCGGCGTCCGTATCCTCGGGAGTTGCAAAGCGCCACCCTGCAAAATGATTAGTTGTTTGTAGTATCTTAGGGTCGATAGCTGCTACTTACCACCGTCCTTCAAATACCAGTGCACAGATGTGAATGGGATGATGTCTTCTAGACCCTTGAGTTTTCGAGCAATCAAAATTCGATGCGCCTATAAAATACATGAGCTTTGGAATGGAAATATTGGAACCGTGAAAAGATGGCATACCCATGGACAAGCATAGCTGACATAGAGGTGATATCTGCCTTTCTCTGCTGGAAATTTGGTTCCAGGTTCTTTGGAGACTTTCTCGCGGAGGACGGCAGGAGGACGCTGGAAGTTGCCAGACTTGTCGGAAAAGCTCTTCCAGTTACTAGTGATATTGCCGTTAGACTGTTTCAATCGTGGAAGTATTAGCAACGTTCTCTATTGTGGCATGTCCATCAATGTACTAGATGTAAGCCGAACATCTCATCGCGCGGAGCGATATCATGATACTTACCATTTTGGCGCGAATGATTCACAATGAATAGACACAATTGCCACAGGAAAAGAAAAGCTCTACTATTTCATCCAGCAAGAGGGGAAACAAAGCGGCATATGAGTGCCTGAATGTATTCTCTCTTATTCACCCTTATAAATCAGCTGCGCGTGCTTACTCATGCCGCGCGGTAAATCGCATCACACCAGAATCGTGTTCTACTAGCAAATCGGGGAAGCTACTCCATAACCTGAGCATATTCATTGGTGAAGTTTATGTAGTAGACGCTTTGTAATGCCGTTTTTAGGAAGTGGACCAGACTAGAAACATGCCAAAATCGGTAAATCGATCCGCCTCTCAAGTTAGCGTTACAGGGCGTAGCTTAGATGCTTGATGCTCGATGGGCATTTATAATAGTATAATGGCAGAAGCTCGTGGCTTTACTCTTTTAGAGAATTCTTGCCCAAATTAACACTTGGAAAGCTCAGCTCTAGTGGTCAAGTGATTTCATTAGGCTCTGAGAGTAAATTTATTGAAGGAGTCCATAGGAACTGCATCTTTAACAATGCCTATAGCTTGAACAGCTGTAGGCATGGACTTGTAAAGGCCAATTGGATACAATGCTCAAAGGTTTATGAAGGTTAATCTCTAATAGTTATAATCCCGCCAATTGTGCTAATCACAAGTCCCATGAGGCACAAGTTGTATGCTGTTTGTGTATAAGAGTCTTAATCAGCGGAGCTGGAGATTGAAGTATGGAGTAGGCAATCCCTACATTAACAAGAATTCATCTGTGCCTCACGCGGATTGTGAAACCTCTTTCGCTTACTGTTATTCCGATATTTTCCCTACCTATGGGAGCGGCAGAGTCCGCTTCCCCGCTTGTCCTGTAGGCTGTAACATTGAGCCTTGTGTTCCTAACATTGATCATATCGTTCCCCAAGGCAATAGACGTCAGCTCAAGCCTAGAAACATAGTTAAGCAACTAAATCAAGAAAAGAAAGGAAGGAAAAAGTCCAGTTCAGCATCGAACAAGACCGATCTGTTGTCAGGTTGCAAGTGAGTAATGGTCCATTGTCTGGTTAGAACAAAACAGCTTAGCCTTGTCGCGCGCCCGATGTAAGCGCTGCTATGGAACAACAGGACAAGCCATCATTCTGGAGCCGCATTTCGAACGCAAAGCATGTCCAGTCCTCCAATAAGTCGGGTCAGTTTCAGGCTACAGCTCCATCGTTGTCAGCGGCAGCAATGAGCGCCGGTAATAGCCAGCGGAAAGGCCGGTTTGGAAAGGGACGATTCTCATCACTCTTCTTGGGAAGAGATAAAGGGGAAACTGACAAGAGTCGCAACTATTCAAATGAATCCTTTATTGAAGAGGACAGATCTGTCACAGTCAGGTCTGGATCTTTGATTGAACACGACGGAGAAAATAGAAAACTCCCCGAAGCCGACCCTGACCCTTGGATTGAGGCGTACGAAAAGTTGCGAAACGACGAGAAAGAAGAAAAGCTCGTCAATGCGTACGAAAAGATACTCACTAACCGCGCTAATGCGACCATATCGGGCACTCGATATGCCGAGGATGATATCCAGGCGGATGCTCCCAACCAATTCGAAGGCCTAACTGAGGCCGACAGGGTCGATATGATGAAGGCTACTCTAAGTCCGGTGTTGGAAAAAGCCAGGCAAGAGAAAACTTGGAAAAATGTTGCCCTATATGCCGACGCACTCATCGCAAATGTTGGTAAAGGGGTTGGAGATGCTCTGCAAGCCCATCCACCGGCGGCCATGGCCTGGTCAGGCATCTGCCTCTTGCTTCCGGTAAGTGCCCTCATCTGCTGATCGCATCCCCGTACTAACTGAATCAGATCATTGTGAAACCAATTAAGGAAGAAGGAAAAGTGACTGAGGGGCTAGAATATGTAATGAACCGCATGGAATGGTACATCCCACTGACCAAAGTGGTCTTGCAGCGGGAGTGGCCAGATAATGTCGCCCTTCAACAGCACCGAAGCAGCCTCAGAGACAATGTCATCACCCTGTTCACATCTCTTTTAAAATTTGAAATGGAATGTGCTTGCCGGGCTTACAGCACACATCCAGTCGTCCGCGTCCTTGGAGACATTGTTAGCCTGAGCGGCTGGGGAGACAAGCTAGAGGATATCAAAAAGCACGGAGAAGCAATTGAAAAGGATCTCCAGAGTTATGGAATAAACACATTGACGGAGTATTCCTTACAAACAGCGTCAAACACCAAGGATATCCTGGCTGAAGTCAAGAAATTTAACGAAGCTGCCACTAGAGCTGAAACAACGAGGGCTGCTGAGAGGAGAGACGATCTGGTAGGGCTCGTTTCGCGATTCGGAGCCACCACGTACCGCGACCAAATGGAATTCAACCCTCAAAGGCACCCAGGTACTTGTGAGTGGTTTTGCAGACACCCAAAGTATACATCGTGGCTAAATTCCACCAAAAACGAATTGCTTCTCGTCACGGCCGAACCAGGCTGCGGCAAGTCGGTACTGGCCCGATTCTTGGTCGAAACAGAGTTGCCGTCTCAGCGAGAAGACGCAGTTATTGGATACTTCTTCTTCAAAGATAATTCGGTGCAAAACAATTTGATAAACGCACTGAGCGCCATTCTTCATCAGCTCCTCAATCTCTGCCCAGATGTTCTCGATACTCTAGGGACAAAGATCAAGAAGTTGTCGCCCGAGTTGCTAAAAGACTGTGGCCATTTATGGGGGCTTATCGAGGACGCTTGCGAGAACCTCTCAGAGAGAACTGTATTTTGCGTTTTCGACGCATTTGATGAGTGTAATAGCGACGGCCGTGAAAGACTGGTGCGTTTGCTCGCCTCTCATCAGTTTAGCAAGAGGCGTATACGATTCTTAATTACAAGCCGGGGCTATCCAGCAATTGTAGGCTCGTTCCGATCTATTGCTGAGAATCTTGTGCGTCTAGAAGGGGAAGAGAAGAGTGAGAAAGATCAGTTGCAGAATGAGATCGACATTGTTTTCCGCCACCGCGTTGAGAGTCTGATTGAAGACAGAAGGCTAGGCCAAAGGGTATCTAAGCTGCTTTATGAACGACTTCACACGAAGGGAAAAGGGCAGCGGACATATCTCTGGGTTCGTCTCGTCTTCAAATTCCTAGACAACAATTATCCACTGAATCTGGATGGGTGGAGAGACCTTTTGGGTCAGCTCCCCGAGGATGTTCCTGGAGCTTACGAAAAACTGTTATCCAACGTCAGCAGTACCGATCGCAGGCATGTCGAGACACTTTTGCGTCTCATCTATGTCGCTAAGGAGCCTCTGAGTATGAGTGCAGCAAACGTAGCTGTTAATATTCGCGGCAAATACTCGCTAGACTCTTTAGAAGATCTTGGTTTATCAGATGAAAACGCTTTTAAGGAATGGGTCATTAACACATGCGGATTTTTCATTACCGATTATGATGGCAAACTATTCTTTATACACCAAACGGCGAAAGAGTTCCTTTCACCGGTAATGCAGACCTCAGTGGACAGGAACACCGACGAAAATAAAAAAGGCTTCTCGTTTCAGACGATATCTTCAAGCACTGAGCTTTTACCAAAGAACGCTGTTAAATGGAGAGGTTCAATAAACACCGAGGAAGAGGCTCATTTCGTAATGACTGAATGCTGCTTAGCCAACCTATCGATATACAGGCAACGCCCAGAAACAAAGGAACTTGAAGAGCTCATTGAAGATGCATGGGAGCATGATCAAACAGTATATGACGATGGTATAAGGGAATTCAGACGCCGATTGGGCATTTCCGACGATTTCTTTGATTACAGCTCAAAGTATTGGTCGAACCATTTCCGAGCAGCAAAACTTCACCTTGTAGATATGTCCGCAGATGGTGTGGAGATTGGGGATACTCATGGAATCGCAAAGCAGTCATTATTTCAAGCGTACCGATTAATAATGACATATCCTACACGTTCCGCATGGTTGTTGTCACCTGATGTGATGGCAGAAATTAAATTCCTCATGAAGCGACACCGTTCCGGACGTCTCCTAACGAAAGAAGACTCTCTTTACATTGGGAGATTTGGCAAGGGTTCGAATGACTTGGAAGTCTGGCCTTCAACAACTCTCTTCTCTGTCCGATGTTCACCAATCGTTTTCGCCTGCCTTCTAGGCTTCCCTTTGTTCATACAAGAATGGCTTTCAGACAACGCCCAGAAAAACGCAGCGCAAGTTCTTGAACATAAATACCGCGCGTACAGTAGTGAGGCTGAGACACAACTTGCCCTGGCGAACGCAATTGTCTCAAATTTTGGAACTAACCGAGAGAGAGAATGCTGTATCTCTGAAATTCTAAGCTACGAGGCGAAATTCGCACTCGATAACTTCTCCAGGCTTGAGCGTCTTCTTAGGTTTGGGGATGAGATACTCGACGCGTTATCTGGATATGTCGACGAAGTTGGAATGAGGATACTGGCTCGTGGCCAGTTGAAGAAGTTTAAGGCAATGACAAGGCCTGAAGACAAGCTTGACGAGGAGTGTGTAAAGAGAAAGCCTAGAAGAGCGGAAACTACTTGAGCTCCTGTAGGATAAGCCGGCACTCAGTTGGGAGAAAAGTAACTGTTAACGTACGGCAGCAAGCGAAGGTCAGAAAAAGCGAGACCGCAAAATGAATACGCACATACATCCAGTAATATGAGTACCTGAGCAACTCAGCACTCGAACTTTAGTATAAACATAGTAGCCGTTACTAGAAAAATATAAATATAACTACCGTTAGTAGAAAAATATAAATATAATACCAGTTACTAGAAAATATAGATATAGTAGCAGTTACTAGAAAAATTTAAATATAGTAGTATTTACTAGAGAAATATAAATATAGTAGGGAAATATAGATAGATATAGCAGCTACTCTTTTTGTAGGCGTATGGTTCGACTCGTGGGTGTTCGAAATCTTTCCGGTCTCGGTTTTTCTGTCCTCCGCTTGGGCAGCAAGTCAAATACACGAATTATTAGTGTATAGGCCGTTTTCCTGACTTTTGTCAACCTGGATACCTTGATCACATGTGCTAGAAGGTGCCGATTGACACAACTTTGACACCAAGGGTGCTGCAAGGCTACGTGAGAAATTCACTGATAGATTACTTCCAGTAGTAAATCTGGGGTAATATAAAGAAATGGAATGCTTCTCTCCGACGCGTCTGCTAGGAAAGAAAAAAAGAGTCAATAACGATCTAGATCCGTAAAATTGAATTGCAATAGTGTAACCCCGCCAGGACGATGACCTAGGACAACAGTTTGACCAGATATAGCTGCACAAGCAGGCCTGTGCTCGTGAGGGAGCCAAAGAAGATTCCTCCCGCCAAGAGTCACCCACTCTTTCTCGACGGATAATGCATAATCAGGAGCATCCTTGCCAGGAGACTTCTCGTGTAAAGCGGTTTCTGCAAATCCAAGTATGCCATAGTCCGTGTTCAGATACTGACCATCGTTCGAGAATGCCAGTTTCGTGAGGAGTTGATTAGTCTCGAGGGTCTGCTGGAGCGCTCCCGTAACGGCATCTAAGAGCTGCACTGTGTGGTCTGTTGAGGACAAGGCTAGCATCTTCCCGTTGGGTGAGAAAGCAATGGCTGTGACCCAAGCTGAAATGCTCTGTACTTGAAAAGTCTGCTGAAGCATGCCTGTGGTCATATCCCAGAGCCGCACCGTACGGTCAACCGAGGCCGAGGCTAACGTTTTGCGATTGGGTGAGAACGAAATAGCCCCGACAGCCTCAGTGTGTCCTTTAAGCGTTTTTTGAAGTGTATTTGTAGCTGTATTTGTAGCTGTATCCCAGAGCCGTACTGTGCAATCGTGTGAGGCCGAGGCTAACGTTTCCCCATCTTGCGAAAAAGCTATAGCATTAATACAACTGCTATGTCCTTTAAGCGCTTGTTTAAATGTACCCGTAATTATGTCCCAAAGCCATACTATACAGTCATCTGAGGCTATAGCTAATAATTTGCTGTTAGGTGAAAAAGCAATGACGGTAACATAACTGCTGTGTTTTAGTGTTTGCTGAAGTGTACCTGCAGCTGCATCCCAGAGCAGAACTGTACCGTCGTCTGAGACCGAAGCTAGCGTTCTTCCATCTAACGAGAAGGTAACAAAGTGGATATTATCGCTATGTCCCTTTGGCGTTTTCTGTGAGCCTATAGCTGTATCCCAGAGCCGCACCGTGTAGTCGTCTGAGGCAGAGACCAGCGTCTGACCATCAGGGGAGAAAGCAATGGCATTGACATAATCGCTATGCCCCTCTAATGCTTGCCGGGGCGTGCCTGTGGCGGTATTCCAAAGCTGCACCGTGCCGTCGTTCGAGGCGGAGGCTAGTGTCTGGCCATCTGGTGAAAAAGCAATACCTCTGACCCAATCTCTATGTCCCTCACACGTTTGCTGAAGCACACCCGTAGCTATATCCCAGAGCCGTATTGTACGGTCATCCGAGGCTGAGGCCAACGTCTTACCATCTGGTGAAAATCCGACTGCTCTAGTTGGACCCCTATGTCCCTTGAGTGTCTGTTGAAGTACGCCTCTACCTGTATCCCAGACCCTGACCGTGTGGTCAAACGAGACTGAGGCCAGCGTTATACTGTCTAGCGAGAAAGCAACTGCATAAACCCATCCACTGTGACCCTCGAGCTTCTGCCGAAACAAGCCTGTAGCTGCATCCCAAAGACGTATTGTGCGGTCATTCGAGGCCGAAGCTATTGTGTTACCGTCCGGCGAGAAGATAACAGCTCTCACCCACTCGCTATGGCCTTCAAGCTTCTGCTGGGATGCGCCTGTAATAATATCCCAGAGTTGTACCGTGTGGTCATTTGAAGCCGAGGCTATCGTCTGGCCGTTTGGCGAGAAGGCAATATCTCTGATCCACTCACCATGCCCTTCAAGCTTCTGCTTGAACGTGCCGAGAGTTGCATCCCAGAGCCGTATCGTACGGTCGTTTGAAGCCGAGGCTATTGTCTTACCATCCGGTGACACGGCAACGGCATTAACATAACTGCTATGCCCCTCGAGAGTCTGCCGGAGCGCGCCCCAGTGGTCTCTGACACCTTCAACTGTTTTGATGAATGATAACCTTTCCCTCCATTGCTCTTTCTGGATAATACTTGTTTTCGGACAGAACACGAGTGCAGCGCCATATGTCTGTAAAGGAGCGCGTTCTATGATTGATCCATAGCTAATGATAAATTTCTCAGCGTCTGCCAGGAAGGCAGTGAGCTCATGACTATTCATTTGATGCGATACCTGCAGGCGATTAGTCGCTTGATACCACGAAGAAGGTTCACTAACGTACTACCTGCTGAAGCTTTCTAATCGATTTTATCCCCGCTGACAAGCTCCTCGATAATGACAGACACTCAAGCCAGCGAAGGAACTGTGTTTTTAGAAAGCGAAGCACCACTCCGTCGTCCGTCAGCGCTTCTTTGCACTCTGGATCATTAATATTTTGACAGATATGGTCGGCCCAGAATATGCAAGAGTACCGCACTGGAGTCAACGGATCTGGATGAACCGGTTGTGAATCTAGGTATTCTGGTCTGAAGCCGAAGTCAATGCTGTAGATGTTTTTCTCCAGCGTTGCTATCGTGGAGAAGGAGTGCCTAGTAATGTCAACATGTCTTTGCGCAACCCCAGCTAGCTGAAGCGAGCTGTAATTTTGGTATAGATAGTCCCTGGCCGATGCGTGGATCATGTAGACATGATCGTCTCGTAAAGTAAGGAACGAGCCGCACATCTTGACAAATTCCCCGACTCTTTCTGTATTGACTGAAGGTAGTCCTGATACAACGGCCAGCTCCAGAAGATGCAGCGGACGATATGTAAGAGTAGCTGCCGCAAGCACGAGCAGACAATACTTTCTTTCGTAAAGCTTGTGGATTTGGTCTAACATTTGAGCATAAATCCCCTCTAGGTCTGTTATTACGGCACTGGTCACTGCCTCAACATCCCCAGATTCAATTGTTTGCAGTTGCAGGATGACTAGGGATACCCAGAGAAAACTCCCATTGGACTTCTGGCGGAGAGTATGCCGGATAAGTTCCTGGAGGGCATGGTTGTCTTGTAAGAACTTGAGTTGGGACACCCTTTCGTCAATATATGTGCCAATATCGTCAATTGCAGACACAGACTCCTTTAAGTCGATACTCAGCCCCATTTGAAAGTCGTTGGACCTCAGGAATCGCTTGATGATGTGGGTTTCCCGGCTGGATACGAGCCATTTGACATGCGAGTACTCAGGGAGAAATCCCAAGATCAAACCAATGAGACGTTCCAAGTCAGTGCATTCATCAAGGGCGTCGATGATCAGGTAGGTGGTTGTTCCCCTCAGGTCTCGCAAAATATTTATGAAGATGGCTGATAAGTGGTCCCAGGGATCTGACTCTTCAAAGAGCGCCCTGCCGATATGATCGTACTTTTCACGTACATGCCGGATGAGCGATGGGCGTTGAATAATGAGTAGGTAGATCAGATTGCGTAGCATGGCAGCACCGTTGTTCAAACGAACGTCGATTGCCTGGCAGAAGAAGTAGGAGAGCAGTGTGTCGGCGCTTGGGTTGCCCAATCTCATCGATGGTTCTAATTCGTTGATGAGACCGCAAATAGCCATCGTCTTGCCCGTGCCAGGATCACCCTTAATCCAAAGCATTCGATTCTGCTCGTTGCGCCATTGCCGGAAATGGGAGTGTTCGAGGATCCAACTATATGCTTCTTTGACTAGACCGTCTTCTGCAGCCTCGATTCGGCGTTTATCATCGCGAGGATCGGATGCCCGGAGATCCTGTAAACAAACCAAACTCTTACGATCAAGAATAAGCCGGTTTGTCTCTTGGACAAACTTTGATTGACCTTGAATGATCTTAGCATGGTCTGTAGCTGCTTCTGCTTTGTGTGTCTGTTGGTCGCCTTTTGCTCTCTGGGATATATCTGCCAGAGCCTCCTCTACCGATTTGTTTGGGGAACTACGTGACACTATGTCTGAGAGGGAAGTAGGCGTCGCGTTAGGAAAAGGCATTGAACCATGGGTTGTCGACGGTGGGGTGGGAGAGACTGTTGTGATTGATGGATCGACGTGGCTATAAGAGTCGGAGGAGTCTGTTGAGGCTAGTCAGCGAGTATAACGAAAGCACAATATTGGGTAGGCATACCTTGTGACGAATGTGCTGAGACGGGATCATAAGTAGATGAGCCATCTCGCGTCTTCGACTTCGCTGAATTCCCTCTTCTACGTCCAAGTTGCTTTAACAACTTCTTCTTGAGAGTAAAGTCGCCCGCCATGGGTTCTGCGAAACTGTATACAACAGAAATGTACTGTTTGCGGCGCTCCAGGGATTTTTGCGAATGAAGTCTACGTCAAGATTTTCCCATCATTCTAACGACCCCCTCACGTACTATGCCTCTCGAGTCTCATTTAATATGGGTGATACAGGACATGCAGCCAGATCCACTTTTTGGTTCGAGTATGTGTGCCCAACTGGCGTACAGCCTTTCACAGTCTCTATATACATGAATCCGCCGTCGTATCCTTTTTGCACTTGAACGATACACCACGTCCTTTTACGATTCTTGGTGCTTCTGAAATTGATAATGCTCGGTCGTTTCTTGCACCTATTCATCCTGATACAAAGATCCTCGTTCCGATAGAGAACTAACTGGAGCATAGCTCCTATTTGATACACGTGAGACGCTATAGAACTCTCTTCATCATTTCCACAGTCTCTTATCCATCTCCTATAGAAAGTGCTATAGTAGTACTCCTTATTCCAATACAGGCCAAGCCATGGCACGAAAAATCGCTAGCATTTTCAGTCTGTCGCCGCAAATCCCCGATTGATCGGGTTTGGGCTAGACGCAAATGCGGGGTATGATACAGGTCTCCCAGGACAATTCGAACAACACGACGATTGTATTTATTGCTCTTTCAACATTCTAGCTCTGGAGATTTATCTCTAATGTTTCACTTCACTAAGACGCAGATTTATTTATGGTGAAGTACGATCTAATGTTTGTTGCTACGCATCTGTAGAAACTTAGCGTAATTCGCTGCATTCTAAGTATCCACTAACATGAGCTGTAAACAATATTCAAGTCAAGAGAAACTAATTACAATAAAAAATCTCATCTGCATCACAATTTCGATTCAAATCGGGGGAATGGAGTATAGATACAAAGTAATGAAGCTCTTGGGCTAGTTTTAATTGACAGTGAGATTATGAGACCTGGATTACAGACTTTTGTCTATCCGACTAGAGCGTTTGTAGTGTCTAGAAATGGGTTTTAGATCGTTGATCCATGTAGGTAGTTGATTGGAAAATACTGCTTTCCAGCGGTATCTACACTTTCTACGAATTCCCGTCCGGTGAAAAGTACTAAGAATCGTATCATTCCATTCATAGTGGCATTTTCACGGCTATTCTCCACAAGGACAGTATAATTCATCGTCCCACTAGTAGACTGTATGAAGACGTAATGTCTTTGAGTCGGGAACATACCCACGAAAATATTGTTTAATTCTGCTATCTACGCTGCCTACACTTCTCGATGGCCCACATTCGTATACTTATTTGCACATCTATTTCTTAACATGGCTAATCACCAGTTGCTTAAATTCTTCTGGAGTCACCATCTTGATCCCTAGCAAATCGTTATCTCTACCATACGGGACGCCCGCTTCGATCTCAAGCCCAAAAATAGTAGAACCAAGGAAGTGTCGTGCAACCTCAAACTCCATACCTCTGCCGGCCTTGGCAGCTTCATATGCAGCAGCAAGTGAGCTCTTGCTGTCTTGGTGAATTATAGAGAGCTTCAAGTCAGGGCGGCCTTCTTGTACAGCGGACAATATTTCATTCTGGGTTGCCATGCCAGTGGTTGTGTAAAAGGCTTTGTTTTCCGTCTCTTTGGGATTGAGCAAGACGCCAACGACAGCTCGACCAGTGTCTGCCAGAGTGGACATGCCGACAGAAATATCGCCCCCGTTCCATACGTTCGCCGTGGCGGTTTTCCAATCGACAAAGAAGTTATCAAGGCCCCATTCAAGGAACGGTCCAGTATATAAGATTGTATACGCCATGCCCAATTCTTTCAGCAGATCCTGAATAAGACCTTTCGCGCGCAAATAAGGAACGGCTCGAACTGACGGGATGCTCACGTCAAGACCGTATTCCGAAGGAAGAAACCTCTTGACACCAGCTTTGACTGCGGCTTCAACAAGCGCCTTTTGTTCGTCATATTACAGGTGGTTTATGGCCGATACAACAGCGTCTTGGCCATTGAGAGCATCCACCAGGGAGTCAATTGATCCGTAGTCGATTTTCGCAATCTTGACGCCATCAAACTCAATTTTGGATGAATTCGATTCTCTTAAAAGTACTGTGACATTGAATCCGGCTTCTTTAACGGCTTTGACAACTGCTGGCCCGAGGTAGCCAGTTGCACCAGCAATTGCAACGTTCTTGAAGGAGCTCATTATTGGTGCTATTTGATGATTTAAAACAATAGATAATTTTAGATGCAAAAGCTGATGCGGCTGATGTAGATTAAATCTAGGTTATTGGGGTTGTCCATGTCTTTTTATATCCTCTACCAGTTCGATAATCGTGAATAGTTTTCTCCGTTCCAATATGTTTCCGAATTCTATGCCAACAACTACTTTGATAATGCTGATTATTTATTCAACGTGAAAGAAGCGCCCTATATAGCACTCCAAAGAAGGATGGGTAGCAAGTTATGGTCAATTGTCTATTTTATCAAGTTCGATTTTCATCAAAACATATACTAAACAGTTGACAACGGCTCAGCTAACAAAACGGATCGGGTAATTGCTCCATCAAACATTTTCAGGCAGCCTCTTATTGCGAAAACGAAATGCATTACCGTTAAGAACAGAAAAATCTCATTGGTTGAGATTCGTAGCAAACCCCATGTTGGATTTCCAAGCAAACTGATTAGCTATTAGCTGTGGACAGCTGCGCATATCTCTCAAAGAATAAAACAGTTCTCTGACGGACCTTGATTTATCAGCAAGCCTCCCTCGCTACGGCGTCGCTCGACGATGTACAGGTAGATTGTGGACACCTCCTTTCAGTCGGTTGCATTTTCCCATCCACGTCGCCTCAAGTTTCGACTTTAGCCCTGTTTAGAATTAGGCTCCCTGGAAGCAATGCAAAGACATGCTTGATTTGTAGCTGACGCTTCGTCATTCGCCGGCAAGTTGGGGGGCTTCAACAGCCTGAGACTCTACAGATGATTAACACCTAAGCCCAGATGAAACACAAACAAGGGCGACAATAAAACTCTTTAAAGTGTTACTCGTACTTTCATCATTGCATGCATTTAGCATCTCTATTCTTTGTAATGTTTCCTGGATAGGGTTAGATACGAGTATGGGCGTAAAGGCTAAAGTCTTTGGCGCAGAAGCTTACAGGAGAGATGGATCCGTTCACTAATCTACTGTAATAGTGGAATTTCCTTAAATGGACATTGGTGGATTTTATCACCACTTTAGAGGCTGGTCAGTCCCCACCAACAGCACATAAGGTTGAAGTTAAAGCCCTTTTCACTCTTTTATCCCTTTTGTGTCGTGTCTAATACGTGTACGAGGCATGTAGTTATATCTAGCTTACAAATCTAAGGAGACCAACGGCGACGGAGCTTCTATTCTCTCCTGTCCGATATACCAAGATCATGCCTCAACATTGTCTTATGGGCCCTGGTTTGCAGTGTTGATATAAACTATGATGCATTATTGAGCTGTATTCAGCATGTTATTGAAGTCATCTGATTAGCGATCCCGAACTTCGAGTATCTGGCCATTAGGAACGCAGCCATCAGAAACCTCCTGCACGGCCAAGCGCCAGCGGTTCATCTTCGTTATTTATTTCCAGCATTTCGACAATATGGACAAAGATAGCGAGGTGGCTTCCAAATACATTTCGGACGACAATGCCGAAATTGAACTGAAGCAGGGCTCGCAGTCAGATACATCTTCTCCCGATGAACCATCTCCAACGCAGGCACCTGCCGCTTCTCCAAGCAGTCCTGTCCCAGATGGCGGACTCAACGCCTGGCTTCAAGTTCTGGGAGGATGGGTGGTACTAGCAGCCTCCTGGGGCCTTGTAAACACCTTTGGAGCATACCAAACATATTATCAGACGGTAATGCTCACATCCGAGTCAGCGTCTACGATCTCCTGGATTGGCTCTCTGCAGGCTTGCCTTCTATTCCTTGGAGGCCTCGTTTCAGGACCTCTCTTTGACGCTGGTTACTTCACGCCGACTATGATTGGAGGGCTGCTGCTCATTTGTTTTGGAATGTTTATGACATCTCTCTGCTCAACTTACTGGCAAGTGTTGCTTGCCCAGGGAGTCTGTGTTGGTATTGGAATGGGGTTGACATTTTTGCCCGCTACGGCCATTCAGTCGCAATACTTTGCGAAGCGACGGGCTTTTGCGATGGGCGTCGCTGGGACTGGATCCCCTGTTGGAGGAATCATCTTCCCTATTATTTTCAGCCATCTACTTCCGAAAATTGGCTTTGGATGGACTACTCGAGTCATTGCATTTATCATCTTGGGGCTCTCTGTTATACCCGCCGTCTTTATGCGGCCTCGATTACCAGCATCGGGAAAAGTTCGCTCTCTTGTCGATGTCTCAGCTTTCAGGGATATGGCCTTTGTAACCTTCATCATCGGTACTTTTCTGACCTTCCTAGTCCTCTACACTGCTTTTTTCTACATCCAAGTGTTTGATGAGCTCAATCATTTATCGACGTTGGAGTTTGCACCGTATACAGTCACATTGCTGAACGCTGGAAGCGTGATTGGTCGTTTGCTACCCATGTACCTCAGCGACAAGTATGGAGTGCTGAACGTTACAATCTTTTCGACCTTTGCCTCTGCAATTTTGGCATTTGGTTGGATGGGGCTGAAGAACTTGGGTGGTATTGTTGTGTTTACGCTTCTCTATGGAATCACTTCTGGTGCCACCGTTGTGGGAACACCAGTCGTCGTCATGGTCGGATCTCCCGATATATCGCGAATGGGAACCCGTCTGGGTATGTCATTTATTTTCTTCGGAATAGCAATTCTTGTCGGAACGCCTATAGTGGGTGCCATATTTGGAGATTTTACACGCACGCGTTGGCTGGGAGGTATTGGGTATTCTGCTGGAGGCTTGATCTTAGGAGCAGCCTTTATGTGTCTGTCGTGGATTCCCATGAGCAAAAGGAAAGGGACATGGAAGATTTAGTTAGCTAGGAGATTGTACTCAGTGACAGGTCTAAAATGGAGAGAGCCGTGTTCACTTTCTTTCAAGCCTTCGGATTTCTCACTCTGGCGACAGAAAACTCATTATTTTATTCACGTATAGTTTTAATAGCATCACGCAACTTCAGTCCATATTGAGCACTCCTAGCGCGATAACTATTGCACTCATAAAAATAGTTGGGTCACCAGTCAAGATGGCTTGTATAGATTGCTACATGTATGTATACCATGGGCCTGTGTTGAAAAAACACCTGATGCCTCAGCACTGAACTGTCATGTGGAGTTATAATGAGCTTGCTAATAAGAGGAAGACACTCATATCCTAATTACTACTGATGATCAAGGAAATCGTTGATCAATGCTGCATATGCATCAGCATACTGATAGAGGAATCCATGTCCTGCGTCCGGGAATATATGCAAAGCTGCATTAGGATGGCTCATTTTCTCCCACATCAGGATGCTGTTTTTAGTCGGTATTATAGCATCATCAGAGCCTTTGCCTTTAATTAGCGCTTTATGGAGATGGTAATTGGTAGTTTACTTACCAGTGGCGATGAGGACCGGCATCTGGAGCTCATGGAAGCGATCATAGGATCCGTCACTTGCTTTGTTGGGATCGATAAAATTGAAGTATGCGGCGCTTTGCTCATCAGCAGACTCACGGCTCGCGTAGTCACTACGATTTTGGTGCCCGGTAGTAATTCTCTTCCATGCCGCGTGGCCAGCGGCTTGGCCTTGAGCAGAACTAGTGAAGAAGGTAGAGATGAATGCATCCTTATGCTCATCAGCAGTAACGGCTTCTTGGAGCTTTTGCAGTGCAGCAGGGTTGCCAAGCTGAACGCCTTCGCCAATACTTGGTGTTGTAGCCGAAAGAATGAGATGGCGAACAAGTTTAGGCGCATTAAGAGCAATCATCTGGGCATTAAATCCGCCTCCAGAGAATCCCATAACATCCATCTGCTTCAGCCCCAATGCGTTTATGATGTTAATAAAATACTGTGCGAGCTGAGCCACAGTTGATGGGAAATGCCCTCTAGATCTTCCTGAATTCGCAGGATCGACAAGAATCACTGGCCGCTTTGCTGCCAATGGATCAATAAGAGCTGGATCCCAATGATCCATGGTGCCTCTTTAATACATTAGTAAATGAGATTTCCACGTCTTTCTTGTGAATTGAGTCACCTATAATGCATGATTAAAACGAGAGGGAGCCCTTCTGCCAAGCCCAGTCGCCTGTAAGCAAACTCTATGCCATCAATATTCACAAATTCATCTTTTGCAGTTGCATAGGTCGACATTTTGATATGTTGTTCCAGTATGGCCCAAGATTCGAAACTTTTAGTTCTAGTTGGTGATGGAGGGAGAAGTCTCTACCGGAATGTTGGAAAATGAAGGAATAGTTTCGAGATCATCCCTTTATATCTTATATATATATATATATATATATATATATATATATATACATATACATATCTGGATTTCTCAGCATCTCAACACCGATTATTGATACTCAACAGAATATCACTGTCTCTTGACAATCTTGACAGTGGTAATGGACCCACAATCTCACAATGAAAGACCGGAACCAACGGGGAGATTTAGATTACTGATCGAAAGATATGAAGTTCAAGTAAACACACTTTTCTTCTGTCTTTATGGAAATGCATATCAGTTACTCGCTTGATCAGCACGACATTTAATAACATGATGGGAAGTGGCTAATGGTGGAAACAGGAACCATCGAATTGAGGCAGCGGCACCCTGGTCCTCGACGGAGTTAATACTGCTACTATTGTCCTCCAACCCCTTAGTATCTGCGCTAATCTGATGTGGTAAATGGTCGTGGGGACCTGTCAAGTTTAGTTTTACCTCATCGCTACCTCTTTGCCAGTACATATTTAGCTTCCATTTGGCACTCTTTGTTCTAATGACAAGCATATACACGACGCGTGCCAATCCAATTCTAATGACGGGTCTACTTCGATGTCTAACTGCCATCTAATGATCATGTATGTTCTTCAAATGAGAAAGCTTTACGAGACTGAGAAAGTTTTACGAGACTGAGAAACCCATTATACTCCTCTCATTTCTCGTTGATGCTGAGACAATAGTTGTCAATGAGCTCTGCAGCCAGCAAAACAAAAGAGAACGCGGTTAGGCCCTTTTTTTTTTGACCAATCGTGTTTTATCTATATAGATTATTTTACGTAGGCCCTCATTGGAGGAATTATGGTGCGGCATGATAGTACATGCAGGTAGGGCTGGCCGCAAGGCTCTGTAAACATAGGAGCAGTCTTTGTGGGGCAGTATCATCGCCTGAGTAGATCACAATGGTTGTGGCATTTATTTCTTATCCAGTTTGTTAGTTAGTCAGAGAGTGCCCTGTGAACTCAGTATAATTTACAGTGTTCCTTTTACCTTGCTATGTACATACAAGCTACATGGATTCGTGTGTGCGGCTGAAAGAGGCTGAAACACTTGAGAAGGGATATGAAATGAGAAACATTGATTCCGAAAATGAGATACCTTGGACCAGGTAACCAAGCGGCTCAAAAAGTAAAGTTCATTGCCATGCCTGTGCTTTACAAGCGGAGGACTTGTAACCAACAATGGTTAAAGCCAGGATTTCACTCAGAGGTGGTTTGCTGCAGTACACGCGAGTTTCACCATTCCAAAAACAGAGCATCAATTGACCACCCCGGTGCTAGACAGCGCAGCTGTTTACAATTAATGAGTACACGTACGCAAAGCTGATGCCTATCCTCTACCGGTGAGCGTCATAAATGCGGTGTGATGAATTTGTGGCTTGCAGTAAGAGATTGGAGGAGCTGTATTGGACGATCAAATCGGCGATTGATAGACAATATGGATACGCGCAGGCGATATGGAGAGCCTATTGTTCCTACAGAGTTGTCCATACCGTGATTTATCATTGCTCTTTTATACCACTGCCAATATTATCAAGAGCAGAAACAACGGCATACACGTCTCAAGATGTTCTCTACAAGAGCAAAAGATATACGACGCAGTGGTACAGCATGTGTATGCACTGGGAAGAGGTGCCTAGTTGATCGCGGTCCCTGATTTGGCGTTGCTATTGCAACTAATGCGAGCCAGAAAAAGCAAATAAATAAGGCATCCAATAGGATCTTGTTCCATTAACATATTGCATACGGTCAGAGAAGCGCCAGTCATACCATTATGCGAAGCCATGGCTTCACCGGTTTGCTCGTATCCAGTATTTCCATGTTCTCGCTTCGAATTTCGAGTTCAGCCGCAGCTCAGTGGCGCAAAGATCATTGGAAAGCAAGCTGCCTACTCTGGCCCTGCACTTTTCATATTCTGCTCGATCCAGGGACTCTCTTTACGTTTATATACACTTGACAATCCCCGGCGATACTATGTGTTTTTGCATCTCTCTGTGTCTCCCTCGTTCACTAGTATTTATCATCTCGTCATTTGTCCCAATTGTTTTTTCCAGATTCCCTCGTGCCATTCTTAGCATAAATCAAGATGCAGCGATGCAAATCTGAAGCATTGCGTATCCGTCAGCGCAAAGGCCTTCGCTACCGCAAAAAAGGACACAGCCAATGCCAGCATGACTGCTGTAGATCGGGCCCTCGTCAGAAGAAACGCAGTGTTACGGAGAAGGCCGCTGGATATGAATCGGAAACCGAGGATCTAGCTAAGAGATATGATAATGAAGTTCTTGGAATTGAGACGAAAGAATCTGGCGACGAAGATTTTTCTCCAAATGTACCGGAATATGACATCACCAAGATGGATCAGGCTTCTAAAGAGGCCCGAGAGGCTGAGTGGAACATAAAATGCCAGAAATCCAAGGATTACGTCCAACGATATATTCACGGTACCTTGTTAAGCCCAGAACGTCGGCATTCAAGTGATCCGTCCATCGACTCCTCTGAGACCCGCCGTGAAATAGAGGAGCGAGCACATCGCATTGTCATCAACTATGAAGCTCTGCACGAAATATTACTCCGTCACCAGCCAACTATACAAGCTCGTTGGACCAAGAAACGCCCAAGCCAAAAACAAAAGGTTTTGCGTGAACTATGGGCTAATATGCCAGAGAAGCATCGTCCCGAGTTCTACGCCTTTCGCTGCGCAGGAGCTCAGAAGCGGAATAAAAAATATAGAGGCTGGTACATGTGGCCCTATATCAATGAGCAGGATCTAACTGCGCGAGATTCTTTGCTCCTATTAATCAATTCACGCGCATTTCACACTCCCTCTAATTTTGTGGACGGCGATTTGGCTGCGATGAAATTCGGGTTGGAAATGGGAATCTTGAAATCAGTTCCCCTGCCAGGATATCGCATGACCCTCTTGGATTCTGAGAACATTGAAGACTATGGAAGGCTGGTCGATATATCGACATATTCAGAAGGGGAGATTTTATGCCTTGACGAGAAGCGGATCAGCCCGTACTACGGCATTCTCATCTTCGAGGCACCAGACAGGCTCATGGAGTTTCTGGTAAATTGCTGCAAGAAAATATTGCACGACATTCCGGAGGACACTCTAATCTCAGATGGATTCCTAATTATAGCCGACACACCAAAGCTGTTGAATAACAGTGACTTATATGATCCTGCTATAATGGCAGCAGAGGCCCCTTACAGAGTCCCGGCAAGACCCAACTTCAAGCAAATCGGATTGCTGCTTGGTGCCAAAGTAGCAGAGCTAAAGGATCGTGTCTCGAACTTGCGTGAGGATCCGATTTGCTTTGCTATTGCCATGCAGGTGATGAAAGACCACTCACCAAAGGAGTTGGAAGGGAATAAGGGTTAGGGTTCTTACTTTCGGCCATGCGCAGGACATGATTTGACCAACGGTCTACAGTTTCTCATTTCAAAGCTCTACGCCGACTTTGAGTTCTTTGCAGATTTGTACGAGCAAGTTCAACAACTGGAAACGTTACACGCCAAATATGAAGCAGACGTCCTGCCGTTCAAAGATGTGCCCGACGAGATTTTGTCCGCACTATACAAGTACCAGATGCGTCTTTGGGAGACGGTGAATATTAGGCGATCGGCTCTCAGAGCAGTTGTCCAGAACTCTCCCGAATGGTTCCGGCATTTTGCTGATGGCCGTCCAAGCCTATCTTCTTTCCGATCCGACCTAGTAAATTATAAATCGAGTTCAGTTCGCCGCCACTTGATATGGCTGCTTCAGTGTGTAACTGAATTTGATCCAAAGTTACCCAGCCTTGCCAATGCTGTTCATTTGATCTTGCCTCTGATCATGGATGAAATAGAGACTCTTCGAGAAAATGAACCAGAGGCATGGGAGCTCACGTCTTCTCTTACGGGAGAGATTATAGACGAGCTAGCAATCCTTGCGCAGTGTATGGAGCAAGTCGATATGTATCTTCGACGGACAAGAAGCTACAAACGCTGCGATGAAGAAAAAGAGAACACATGTATTCATCAACTTACCAAAGATATGGATCACATTTATTCTCTCCTCCAATTAGAGGGTCATCTTTATGATGACATCGTCGGATTGGCGGATACTGCCACCAAGAAACTGGTATATCCTTGGGACAAACGCCGGACGAAAGACAACGTACAGGCGATGCAGAAGGCTGAACAGGACTTGGATAAGTTCTGGAACGCAGCCGATTCAGCCATGTTTGCCGCAATTGAAAACTTCCGTGAATCGCTGCTTGGGCAATACATAATAAGCGTACAAGAGAATCTTCAACGGACGCCAGATTGGGCCGGGGAAGAACAATCTATAATACCGAGGGCCGTCAGACAAAGGAATGCAAGTCAGGAAGAGACTGAAATCTACAGGCCTCCCTTTGCGCCTTGCGATGACCAGAGCGACAGTCCTAAAAAGTTGAAGCAAGATGGTCGTCAAGGCGTTCAGGTCAAGGTCAAGACGAAAGGACAAGCTCACAAAGCTTTTATGCCAAATGATACAAATCCTTCTGAAGAAGTTATACCTGAAATAACCCTCGTCATGCCTGTGGACACACGAGCACTGGAAGTTTTCCGTGTTCTCTTCTACAATCCAGATGTGACTTCTTCACCGGGGGAGGTTCCATGGAACGACTTTATCCATGCTATGGTCTCTACAGGATTTTCTGCACAGAAGTTGCAGGGATCAATTTGGCAGTTTAACAGGGTGAATGATGACAGGCAACAGACGATTTTGTTCCACGAACCTCATCCGCACAAAAAGTTGCCTTTCTATGTTGCACGATCCATGGGATGGAGATTGAATAGGCACTTTCAATGGTCTTTGAAGAATTTCGAGTTGAAAAAGAAACAGATAGAAGCTTTGTGAGGTCAGTTGAAGAGATTGTTTGAGTGCGCAACTGGGGAACAACAATTTATAAAGAGGAGGGATGGGACTGTTTTGTTAAATTATTCTTCGCTCGTTTACTTGCTTTTGCAGTTTTGATATTTTGTTCAGTGCAATTTATGTTTATCTGTATGTTTTTTCTCCGTCTCCTCTTTGACCCTATAGGTTATCGTTAATGTTGAGAATCAAAGGTCGAGTTTCAGACAATTACGCGATGTTCATAACTAAATAAATATTCATCATCCTGACAACGGAGAGCGCATAAAGCTCAATCATGTTTTGGACAGTTCTCCCTACAAAACTTTGGTCTGTAAGAGTACGATTGTTTTTGTTACCATCTGTCAACTGACGAATTAGACAAAGAGGCATGTCTCTAGCACTTTTTAGGTTCATGTATTGGCACTTTGTCTATGCCGATACCTTTAGTCTAAAGTGGCCAGAACCTTTGAGCCAGAAAACCGTAGCACAAACTAGTCAATGTTCTGGTGTTGAGCGCGATACTAATAACTGAGAGGAAAGGTTCAACCGACTGCACAGCCTCATTCGAGAGCCTGCAGGGATATCACACAGACGCTCTTGGAGTTCCGAGGTCACAGAGGGACATGTGATACAGGAAAAGGAGATGACCAATCACTCCTAATAAGTTGAAGCTGTTAAGGTATAGCGTAGGAGTAAGTAGATCCCAATGAGCTCCCATTAGCCTTCTTGTCTCCCCCTTCCAGAAATTATAGGAATACAGAGCATAGCGGTGAGAATAGCCGGATACCCCGTAGGATCGGCTACTCGCTTGAACCGGGCGTCTTCGCCAAATTTATCCATGGCTGTCAACAGGGCTTGCCATTCGTTTAGCTCTCGGTAGGCTGCATTCAGTCTTCAGGCGAAAAGTGTTGATGAAAGGGGCTTACGTGAAGAGTGAGTGCGATGAAGAAACGAGATTGATGCTAAATGAAAACGATTTGCGGCCTCAGGCAATCCTTGCTGTGAAGATACTCCTGCATAGAAGATCATATATCCGCTATATAACGTATGAATCACGATATGTCATATCGAATTCGTATTTATGAGATCGTCTTAGAAGTACATGCCTACGATAGGCGAGAGTCAAAATGGCAAAGAAGAAGAAAAGTTCAGTTGCCTGGGAGTTGATGAGACCTTCAAATCGGCATACTCGTATACGAGTACGTGTTCTGCTCTGCATCTATGATCATGGCACCGTGCCCGGAGAGGCAGTATCTCGTACCCTGCAATCAGCCGCAAATGTTATCACTAGAATATTTGCCCAAAGAATGGAAGACGGCAGTAATCCCCTGTAATGTAGCTAACAAGGGACCCCTGTAATGTGAACTCTCACCTTGAAATCCTAGACTTTCACTGTACCGGACAGAGCGCTAGCAAGGGCACCGAACTTTCACGCGGAGCATATCTACCGCAAATAGGGGAGTTCTGGTTACGCGCTTTGGTCGCCTTTGGTCCTTGGCTGGATTCATCGAGAATTCATCGAGGATCCTTGCCCAATCTCGTGGATAAGTTGCTGAATGATGAAAGCATATGCGGGGTTTGACATAATGACCCTTTTGTAATTGATGTCAATACGTTATACTCTCGGATTGTACTCGCACTTCATGGATGGCCGTCTGCTGGTTTGGTGGCGCCAACCCGGTCGTCGGGCCGCTGTCTCGCGGCATTTCGCGGGCAAATACAGTAAAACGGCGGTAGGGGTCGTATTCCGCGAATTCTACTCCGGACCACTGAGATTTAACCTGCAGGGTGCGGCTCACGGCCTGTGAAGCACATGACTCAGAGCCGAACGTTGGGTAAGGCACAGAAAACGCCCGTATGGTTACCGGTGCGAAGTGATAATATGACTTTTAGCTCGCGAAGTGAGAGCAAGCTACCAGTATAAGGGAGGTGATCATATTACACGTATCTAGGGGAACACGGAGCAGGAGAGCTGGATAAGCTAAAGGAGGAATAACTGTTCCGAATTGTTATTTTTAGGCTGTCGGCTTGTAGTTTAGTGTATGGCTATTCTATGAAGGAAATCATCCCACTATCGCACAACTACGGAACATGTATGCCGGATTTTCGCGATATCCTGGAACTTTTTGGTAGCCGGATACAATATCCCGTTGCGCCCTATCGGAAACCGACGTTGAACTGGCGGAACAAGCTGCCTCTATCCTCTTTGGCTATCATTTCTGACTACCTGCACTCCGTACTCCGCAGTCTGCTTGGTAGTTTAGAAGACACTCATTTCCACACGGCTCCTGCAGATCACTTCCCAATGCTCTGCCCAGCTCCCAGGGATCAATGCGCGGTGCCTGGGGTAAGCCCTGCGCTTCTTGTGTTAGTAAATGCTGTGCTCTCTGTTTGTTACTCATCTAGAGCAAGTTTCGGCCGCTTCGTGATCGGCGGTTTGGAAGACGGTTCCGAGACCGCGGATTCGCAGCGCAAGACTCTACTTAATGTGGTAAGTATGTTTCAGTGCCATGCTGATGCAGGGGTAAAAGGCAACTCTTGACGTGAGATGGCTCTCTGCAAGCGGGCGTGGGGGATAATGCTACAGAAGGTGTACGGAGTACATCTGCCAGACTTCATGTAGAGCCTCATACCAAGTACGTAAGTATATTAATAAGAATTACAAGTTTAGAAATGCCTTGTCCGGCAGTTGTGATATACAGTAACCAATGCCCCCTCAACACGATGCAACAAACACCTTAAGACCGTTGAACTCCGCTCTATGGCTTCTCATCCACCTTCTGCTGCTCATCCGGATTGGGCAAAAAGTTCAGCCATGGTCCTTCATTTATATATCCAACGAATCCACCAGCCTTGGTCTTATCGCTGACCCAAGGAGACACACGGCGCAAGAGCCGCAACCACCATGTCTCCATTGCTTCATACCTTGTGACATATCCAGACATGGTGACAATCGTGTTAGCATGGGGTCGTTGCTTCGCCTCATAAGCATCCAAAGCAGCAGTGATCTCGCTCTTTGTCGGTTTTCTCCCACCGTCCGCCTCGCATCGTCGTACCAAGGGTATCAATTCGTTCATTAAGTGGACAACACCCTCAATGGCCAAGTTGCCTCCTAGTCCAGGGTTGATGGTCGCTTTGTGAACGGCGTCACCCATCAATGCAACTCTACCACCGGTATTCCACTTTGGCTTCAAAACTCCCTCTTCAAGGGGCAGCATGTTTGCCCTAACCCTGCTTTCCCACAAGTCTTTGAAGGTATAGCCAGGGCCGACGGCATAGTCTCCGTACTTGGCGATTGTGGCCTCGGTCTCTTCTTCTGTGAAGCGCGGTGTATTGGGAGTCTGTGTTGTACGATCACTCTTCACAAACAGAAACCAAAAGACAAGACCAGGGACACCAGCAGCAATGACGCCGGAGAAGCCCGGGTAATAAACATTGTGGACAGCTCGCTCCGGCAAGAATTGCTTGCCGCCCGCCGACTCTTTAGAGTTCTTGGAGGTTGCAAAGATGCAATGATAGTTGCTGATGAAGCCACTCTGCATTTCTTTTGATGCAGCAGGATCAGTAGAAGCAATCTTATCAGCCATCAGGTTTCGAATTGTGCTGTGGATGCCATCGGCACCGAGGAGGATGTCTCCCTTGATGGTTTCACCCTTATCCGTAACTACCTCAACACCATCCTCCGTCTCAGTGAAGGAAGCAACACCAGTGTGAGCTCGGATTCTAGACTTGTCTGCAATCTGGTTATAGATGCAGCTAAGCATAAATCTTCGCTCCATAAAAGTAGTCCATCGATGGAGGGTCCTGTCAGGAACGGGATGGTAATCAGTCGGGTTGTCACCTTCGCTTATTTCTTGCAGGCATAGCGTAGCATTTTCAGGGGAAAAGGAAAAAGAAAAGAAAACGAAAATACTACCCAATCGTAGGATTCGCAATTTCATTTCACACAACTTACATCTTGGAAATCTCTTGCAGGATGGCCGAGTCTTCAAACATGTTACCATTCTCATCATAGTGTTGTCGAGTTTCTAACGGCACAACGCCAGCCTGGATCTCAGGCCAAATGCCAAGCTGCTCCATAACCCGCTGGGTATGCGGATGAATTGAGACAGAGGCGCCCAGATGAGGAGCGATCTCTCGCTTCTCTAACAGGACATAGTCGATCCCAGCCTTTTCCAGCGTCACCGCCGTTGTCAAACCGACAAGACTGCCGCCGGCAATGATTACCGTGAACCGCGACGAATTGGAGTCTGCCATGGTATCAGAAAACAAGCCGGAAGAATTTTAGTGTGTGTCTTCCAATGCCGTGAACGTTCAGGTTCATCAATATGGGGTTCAGCGGGCGTAAAAAACAAGCGTGAAAGTGACTGCGAGATTTAAGTCTCATAACAGCAACGTGTGTCTTTAATAAGCCCCCGAGTACGAAGTACACATAGTAAGTATTAATACCAGTTAGACAGCATTAGATGATTTGATGCGCGGCCGTATTTCTTTTGCAACTAGGGTGGTGCCGTCTTCCCCGTCGCCTGGTCGTCTCATACCCCTACCTTGGACATTTTAGCCTGTCTACGCTGTCCTGTCTACGCTGCCCGAGATGATGGATCTCCCCATATAAAATTGAATCATCTCCAGCTAGCAGTGAAGACTATGGGCGCTGGCAATCGAATTCTTACAGGTCATATCATGCGGAAAGACGGATGTTCAAGTGCCTGCGCCTACGTTCTCTCTTGGGAATGATTGTCAGAACTACGCCTGCAAGGGTCCCTGGACCAATGGAAATTTAAGCGCATGGAGGAAACGGGTCCTTCAGATACACGTGCGATACATGGCTATGGGGGAAATGTCAAAGGTGAACAAGGTAGACAGTTGTCAATTCTTCAGGGACCAAATTTAGCTTGTCTCCGATATCTGCAGTTCGCTACTAAAAGCGGGTGGCGAGTCTAGCTATTGGGGCTGCCTTAGCTGCTGTGAAGACGCATGTACGCCTCACGGACTTGTAACATATTGGCAGGCCTTCAAGGATTGAATCCATGCAAGGAACAGAAAGATTTTCCCTTCTCTCCTCCGTACTGTTACGGGGTACCTTGTCGTTGTCGTATGAGCATTCCTGTTTCGGCACAGGGAGTTGGTCGACTGCGGCTTCGCCGTTGCTATGACCATCATATATAGCTAACAATGCCGTCCCAAGATACCGGAATCATGCGTTGTTTGGGCGATTCTCAAAGTGTGCTTCGGGCTCCATCAAGACTCCGAAATGGCGACCTCCGCACCTGTAGACATGACACTGTTGCCGGATGAGAAGTACGAGATTGCTGTCTCGTATGGTACCATCATTGGCACAGGTGTCTTTGCAATTATTGTTTGCAGTACGAAACTTTACATTCGCAAGTTTATGTTGAACTCTTTTGGTATTGATGACTGGGCATGCTTGGTTGGACTGGTGAGTTGATTCAGCTCAATTATGGTATACGTGCGTCCCTCATCCTAACATATTATTTGCGACTAGATATTCGTTACGACATTCAACGGGATTGGATTGGCAGTGGTATACTATGGCGCTGGAAAACATATTCAACATGTCACGGCAGACGAACTTAAGCACTGGTTCATGGTATGTCGTCTGGTATCCCTTCCATCTCGCCACAGGCAAGAGGTAGCTAACCGCCGTTTGATCAACCAGCTATACTACGTTTGCATTTGTCTTTACTTATCGATATCCTTTGCCGTCAAATCGAGTATTCTTCTCTTTCTTCGAAGAGTCTTCCCTGTCCGTAAGTTTTACTTCAAGGCACAGACTTTCCAGATCTTGGCGCATTAACATTGTGCCTTTCCCACAGCATACGTTCAATACACCACTATGGGACTTCTGATCTTCTTTACGCTGTTTACTATTTCCGGAACTTTCCTCGCTGCGTTCCAATGCAATCCGCCCAAGTACACATATGACATCGTCTTTCTCATGTCTCCCGATCGCGCCAAGTTCTGCTTCCCAGCAATGACGTCTTACGCCATTTTCATGTATCAGGCAGTTCTCATCTTCTGCTGCGATATTATCATGTTCTTATTGCCGTTCCCTGCTCTGATGAGCGTGCAGCTGAACAGCAGGAAAAGTCTTGCGCTGTTGGCGGTCTTTGGAAGCGGCGTTGTCGCCTGTATCGCCCCGGCAATCAGATTCAAGAGCTTGAACTTTTACAAAACTGGAAGCACCGATACCACTTGTATGTTTGTCTCTTACTTCCACCAAAGATTTAGACCCAGCTAATCAGATTCCATCACAGTTGAGGGTGCATCTTCTTTGTACTGGATGGCCATTGAGTATAACATGGGTTTAGTCGCCGGATCCCTTCCAGCACTTCGTCCGCTCTTCCAACGTCTCGGCATGTTCGGTAGCAGCGCAGATCCTGCTTCCAGCGGCCAGAACCAATTCACGCCTTCGTACCAACTCGAAGATCAGAATAGCAAGCAATGGGGAACTGGAAGACGAACACAAGGAAGCAAAAACAGGTTCCAAGGTGACAGTGTACTGGACCAAACCGTCATGGACAGAGATGATTCTTCACGGGATAGCGAGGAAGCACGGATTGTGAAGACTGAGGTCTTTACGGTGACTAGCGAAGCTCGAGAAGGAGATTCACGAGGCAACCAGCAGGCCTGGCGCCAGTTCGATTAAACCAGCGTCTCAAACTTGGTACTACTATCGATGTTGATACCCTGTTTGTAATGTCTTAAAAAATGGAAATACGATGGGATATATCTGGTCATTTTCGGTATTGTTGGATGTTTGCAGTTTAATGTACCAACCAGCTCTAAAGCCTGGATGCGGAGCTACACGGGCGGTAATTTTGGCTTCTTTTTACACTACTATAGATCAAAAAGGCAATGTTATCTTTGTTTAATAAGACGGCAAGATGCGATACCCGAGATGTGGAAATATTGAGAGAGAGACCTTGTTAAACTTTAATAAATCTGCTCCAAGCCCTCGCGTGGATATATTGTGCTACTTTATCGGATTATCACAACTGGGCAGAGATCTCGTTGGCTTGGCAGCTTGCTAGGAGTTTCCAACATCCAAAGTTACAGACAACAATTAATGAGACCGCATTATTGGACAAACTGTATACATCTCTTCATGATTGATCCAAAATCTCACTCAGTTCTAGCAGCCAAGAGCGTTTAAGGCAGCTTTCTTTCGGTACGTAAAATAAGGCGGCGCCATGTGGCTTGCGCTACGAAATTAAGACGCCGTTGCCGTTTAGCCGTCGGTATGTTCCTGTCTTAGCAATCGCCAAATCGTTTGACTTGCCAACAATTCTTCTACCTCCATATAGAAATAGTTTACCGGTTCATTTCTTCTACAACGACAGAGATGTTGCCGTACTTTCGTCAACTAAACGAAGACAGGTCAACTGTACCAGGAACAACGAGGTCGATCTGCGTGACTGCCCGGGTATGTGCTCCTTAACGAGCGGCAGTTATAGCCCCTTGCCCAAACCGTTGAAAGCCTACTACTGCTAAAACGTAGTAGCTCATCACGGAGCGCACCCATGTATCGGAGACATTACAGGGCAATATAGGCAAGCAGACCAGGCCCAACTCCTGCATGCTGCTTCTTTTGGTCCAGTAATCTACTTTTCAGGAGGCTCTGGAAGACATTGGAACACAGCCACCTGCAGATCCCTATGAAAGGGAGTGTCAAGGAAGACTTATTGCTGCTGGCATTCTCAGATCTTATGCTCGTGCCTCGGACATTGTTCACAGGAGAAGTGGTTTACCGTTGAAGAAAAAGGCCTGAGAAACATCTGATATTTGCGGGCAAAACAGCCCGCTGTAATCACCGAGACTCAGTGCTGACAGGCGGGAACTGGGATTTTACCGAGTCAGATTCGTAAACGGAAGTGGGTAGAACAGAGTCAGCGTGGGGTCCATTAGCTCTTTAACAGGCAAGGAACCTTTTTGCTTGCATGTCTGGCCGGGTTCGGACACTGGCCGGGGTTATGGGCAATACCGGAGTAGAAACTCAGGCAATGGGTGTTTTGAGATCCCTGGTGGCCTTGGGGAAAGCATATGCTCGTAGATTACTTGTCGATCATTGCGATGATTAACCAACAGCCTTATATCGCTTGGTGTTATAATCCCCATGTGTTAGTAGTTGATCAATTGGGAGTGGTCAACGCGACCAGCGAGCCCTCGGTCGTGGTGGGAAGAAGTTTGGTAGCTGCACTTCCACGGCTGTAGAGCTAGCCTGAATCTCACTGAACTCATCCTAGAGAGTCAATTATTGCATGTTATACATTTTAGCACCCCACAGCCCTTCATCTTGAGACTTGAAGACTCCAAACTCATGTTGAGGAAGCCTCGGAGCCGAGCATAGTATAGTCAGCCGAGCAACCTCCCCGTAGCCCAGATATTGAGCCACAATATCCTTACTGTTGAAATGTATTTTCAATATGTTCAATTGGCTTAATTCTTTACCAGACTCTAGTCGGGAAGAGGGCCATTATATATACTATTTACTACTAATCGCTTGTATCGTCTTGTACAGTTACCTTCATGATTACTGCCTCTTTTCAGCACTTACATTGACTGCAACTCTGAATAAGATGCAGATGCTGTTACGACCGCCATTTCTCATGTCAAAGCAGGCTTTCAAAACGGCAATGCAGAAATGGTCGTGTACAGGGTAGCAGGATAGTAACAGAACCTTGTAGATGATCAAAAGTTTTCGAGTATATAAGGCTGTTGGAAGATTACAACTCTTGACACAATTATACGATATATGGGACAGAGGAATCGAAATCAAACCCAACGAAGAATAAGAGGTCCGATTGTGCTTCGTTCTAAAATGGATCCAACATCTATATCAAATAAACCCTAAATCGCCAAATACCGCTATGAAACTCCTTCTAAAATGCCATACACATGTTGAAGAACACAAAACATTCATCTAAGCCTCAACTGCAGCCAATTTCTGACTCTGCGGATTTTCAAAAACAAGGGGCACCAATGCCGAGCCGTCAGCCTGTAAATGCTTGGTGACGCCATATCGCTCTGATGACAACATCCAGTCAAGCAATCCCGTTGTAATAGTCTGGCAGTTCTCGATGTACTTCTGGATATCTTCTGATAGCTTCGTGTCGGGGGATGCAAGCGCTTTGAGAACCTGGAAGGCCTCTTCGAAGGTGCTCACCGAAGTCTGAAATATGTGCATGAATTCTTGGGTGACTGTGCTGATATCGTCTGTTCCGCTAGCATAGGCT